TCTCACCAATGTAGACATCAGACAATGCTGTATAAATATCTCCCTAATGTAGACATCAGACAATGCTGTATAAATATCTACCTAATGTAGACATCAGACAATGATGTATAAATATCTCACCAATGTAGACACCAGACAATGCTGTATAAATATCTACCTAATGTAGACATCAGACAATGCTGTATAAATATCTCACCAATGTAGACATCAGACAATGCTGTATAAATATCTCCCCGATGTAGACATCAGACAATGCTGTATAAATATCTCCCTAATGTAGACATCAGACAATGCTGTATAAATATCTCCCTAATGTAGACATCAGACAATGCTGTATAAATATCTCCCTAATGTAGACATCAGACAATGCTGTATAAATATTTCCCTAATGTAGACATCAGACAATGCTGTATAAATATCTCCCTAATGTAGACATCAGACAATGCTGTATAAATATCTCCCTAATGTAGACATCAGACAATGCTGTATAAATATCTCCCTAATGTAGACATCAGACAATGCTGTATAAATATCTCCCTAATGTAGACATCAGACAATGCTGTATAAATATCTCACCAATGTAGACATCAGACAGTGCTGTATAAATATCTCACCAATGTAGACATCAGACAGTGCTGTATAAATATCTCACCAATGTAGACATCAGACAATGCTGTATAAATATCTACCTGATGTAGACTTTTCTGCTGTGATTAACGAAACATGAACTTATCGGACTTACATCTTATGTTATATATAAAGTGTTTTTAAATTTCGTATTGAAAACTTATTTAAGATTAAAAGGCATTTCATGAGTTTAATTCAAAACTGATAATATTTAAAAAGTTTCTTAAAACACTGAACTTTATTTTGTCAATCGACATATGAACATCTTTTACCTTATCATTACAGATATCCACAGTAGGAAAAAAAACACCCATTTAAGCTTCTTTCGTTTAAAAATAATTCAATAAACTAGACCTTAAGCTACCGAATATCCAGGGTGACCCAGCATAGTTGTCTCACAGAGGTCTCTAAAATCGTAGAATTATTAAACAGTGACAGGGACATGGTCTCCTAATCCGTAGATTTAATTTGACAGATATAATGTTGTATAGATAAGGTAGCGGTGATCCAGTGGTGGAAAACACTGATCCAGACTATTCCCAGTAATATAAAAGTATGTGTAAAATTTTCATCATAAGGTATTGATTTTGGACTTCTGTGGACACAATATAGACTGTGGGTGACTAATGATGGAATATGGACGTGGGAAAACGCTCAGTACATACCGGGACTACCGGTATCGTCTGTGACATCCAATTGTCAGAAGTCACGACATCCCCAGTCTAAATGTCTTGGCACTGCTGGAACGTGTTATAGAAATATCGAAAACCTAGTTATACGTTGTCAATCCGGCTTAACTTAGTCAAAAGGTTCAAATCCAGGTTTGCTTAAAAACCTGTCCGTGTTTTAAGTAAGATGTGAACCATTTCCTTTCAGAATACCCATAAGACAGCAAGTATGTGCAACGCTTAACCAGGTACATCTCTTTACCCTAAAATCTTCACAGCACATCAACGTTGGTTTTTAAAGCAAAATGACAAAGAATTATCTGAAATATTCTCTCGTGCTATAGATCGAGTATGTCAAGTCTGGTGTTGTCTGTATATCGTGATCTCATGACACAACAAGTACGTCAAGTCTTGTGTTGTCTGTATATCGTGATCTCATGACACAACAACTACGTCAAGTCTTGTGTTGTCTGTATATCGTGATCTCATGACACAACAAGTACGTCAAGTCTTGTGTTGTCTGTATATCGTGATCTCATGACACAACAACTACGTCAAGTCTTGTGTTGTCTGTATATCGTGATCTCATGACACAACAAGTACGTCAAGTCTTGTGTTGTCTGTGTATCCTGATCTCATGACACAACAAGTACGTCAAGTCTTGTGTTGTCTGTATATCGTGATCTCATGACACAACAAGTACGTCAAGTCTTGTGTTGTCTGTATATCGTGATCTCATGACACACAACAACTACGTCAAGTGTTGTGTTGTCTGTATATCGTGATCTCATGACTCAACAAGTACGTCAAGTCTTGTGTTGTCTGTATATCGTGATCTCATGACACAGGTACGCCAAGTCTTGTGTTGTCTGTATATCGTGACCTTATGACACAACTACGTCAAGTCTTCGTTGTGACCTTCACCTTGGACGAGTATCTATCTTCTCTTTCTTTAGTTTGAAATGTCAGGGTTGTCTTCTCTGACGTGGGTGTGTTACATTTACCGAACTAAATCTTTATCATTCGACATTGAACGTAAATCGTCCTCAAGATTAGTTATTCTTCCTGCCTAAACTAATTTTGTTATACAAAGTGACTTTGTAACTTTATGTCTGAATAAGCTCCATGATTTTGTTCCAATGTGACTCCCGATGTTCTCCGAGTCTTTCCATGATAAAACAATGTTGCTGTATGATCCAATGTGACTCCCGATGTTCTCCGAGTCTTTCCATGATAAAACAATGTTGCTGTATGATCCAATGTGACTCCTCGGTGTTCCCCGAGTCTTTCCATGATAAAACAATTTTACTGTATGTTCCAATGTGACTCCTCCGAGTCTTTCCATGATAAACCAATGTTGCTGTATAATTCAAAGTGGCCTTAATGTTTGACCCTTCAATCTCGATATCACGAATAGCAACATTATGACCTGAATGACCTTTATACACACACACACACGGACCATGAATATCAGCACCGTTTTATAGAGTAAATAAGGAGAGTAATACTTGGTGTATTAATGAACACGGTAAGGCGATGGCAGGATATCAACTCGTCTCAAAACTCAAAACAAATGACAAGATAAGAAATTATGATAGTCACCTAATCTTTATTTTTTATGTGAAAAACTGTAATGGAATGTGTGGTATGTTTGTTTAGATTGTTTAGTACAATGTATAATGTTCACTAACACAAAGATCTGTGGACGGACAGATAAGGGAAGATGGACATATAAAAAGTAATTAAATATGTTCTCAAATAAATTAATATATCGCTACATCTACGTCACATAATAAAAAGAAAAGATAACCTCGTGCTGACGCTGCTTCAATGCTGTCCACACAGTCCTACATGTGATCAAGGATCGTCCAATCAAAACAGAGCTTATTAGAAATTCAGCTTCAGTGCTAGCTGTATTTTGATTGGAGAAAGCGTTGGAGAGCGCCAAGCCAGCGAGGTGACACGAATAATTTATGGTTGGATGGAATAAATTAAGGGCTGCACGACCTTCAGTGGACGGCAGAGGATAAATAAATAAAAATTAAATAATTAAAAATTTGAGACAGATTGTGTTAATATTGAGTGGTACTGGATTAATACTCGATTATATAAACCAAATCATACTGTGTGAGATAGCACATCTGACATCTCTCTACAGCTAAATTGTTATAAAACAATCGTAAACGCAGACATTTCCTATTGATTTAAAACATGTGTATCACACCACTTGTCTCAAAGATAAATAATATTATTAGCTGAATGTTAAACATTCAAAAAATATCTAAACATCGAAGTAATAAAAAAAACCGCTAAGCATACAGACCTAAGAGGTATAGTGTTATAAATAGATCACACACGTGCTAATCAATAGTTCTATATACTTTATGAAAAAAAAACATGCTTATTTGTACTCTACGCAATAATGTCAGAACTTTGTTTAATAAAATCATAGTCAAATCAGATACCTAAAGAAAGATTCCTTCCTTTGACTTTTTTAATTGTCAATTTGAGACTATCAATTACCGTTATGACAGATTGGTTTTTAAAATTTGATCATTCTCATTGTCTAAACTTCCAAAATCTACGTTCTTAACAAAATAGTTCTGAATTTTGTATATCTAAAGTAATCACAGAATTGGTTTCAAAACTACACAGAACACACAAAATCTAAGTATCAAACATCATGATTTTACGGTGCTTATAGAAACAAGTTGGGGTAGTCTACGTTGAACTCCGGTCTATAAAACTAGATATAAACCCAGGCAACCCAGGTCGATAAAACTAGATATCAACCCAGGCAACCCAGGTCTATAAAACTAGATATCAACCCAGGCAACCCAGGTCGATAAAACTAGATATCAACCCAGGCGACCCAGGTCGATAAAACTAGATATCAACCACGGCAACTCCGGTCTATAAAACTAGATATCAACCCAGGCAACCTAGGTCGATAAAACTAGATATCAACCAATGCAACTCAGGTCGATAAAACTAGATATCAACAAAGGCAATTTAATGTAGAAATCAATACTGAACACTTTGATCGAACTTGAACACAAAGCTAAAATTTGTTCGTAAATTGAACAATATTATCAACACACGGGTACATTTGTTCATTAACTAAACAACAAAGTTAAAACGGCAAACATATGTTAAATATTTTCAGAAATAAAAACAACATAGTTTGAATTCTACTCTTTGAACACACTGAACACCAGATTGTGAGCACGTGCCGCTCACTGAACACATCACTGAACACGTGGAATTCATTGAACAGATAGATTGGACGGCCGTCTGTATCAATATGTGAATATTTGAAGAAAAAGCTTGGAACGTTGCAAGAATTATCTTAGGCCTCTACACGTGTTGTCTGACATCTATATATGTAAAACAAAAATACGCTGATCCGAACACAGCCTACCAACGAATCTTTGTTTTATGACGTCATGAGCAGTAATATTATCATATATTTGCTTAATGATATTATCATTCTATTATGCAATGTATTCCTCAATTCTTGCAACGTCCCATAAAAGACTTTTTCTCATTCAAAATAAATATAATAATGATTTAAATAATTTAAGTTATAATCAACACCTCGCATGGACCGGTTTACATCTGTGAAAGCTCCGGAGGATAAACGTTCTCTTACATACATCGGGTCTGTTACTCTGGCTGTAACTCGTGGTACTCGCTTCTCACCAATCAGGCCCGCAGTAACTGGCGATGTTCACAGAACTCCTTCATATGTTGTAGCACTTGTAGTGACTCTTTGAGAATGTCATTTGTGTCTCCGAGTTCTTTTCGAAACTGCGCAAACCCTTCTGCGCTCGTGTCCTGACGGCGGATATTTTTGTATGCGTTTTCGGCCATGTTCAAAAATTGTTTTTCCATCACTGCACAAGAGCAATTGTCTGGTCGTACTTCCGGTTCCGACTTGCTTAATTTATTGTTGAGAATGCTTACATCTGTCTCCAATTGTTTCAAGTAGTTCAAATTCATTTGTTTCTCCAATTCTGGAAAGAAAGAAAAAGAAGCACGTTTGTAAATGATATATTTGCTTACGAATCCGGAAGACATGGTTATATAAGACAAAACTTTTCAATGAAACAAAAGACACAATTTGTTCTGTTTTACATCGAAGTTAATCAAATGTTTACCTTTTCGTCTTCTTTTTGCAATAATGGCGGCATCATCCTCATAATCACAGTCAAATCTGTCAGACGCTTTTCTCTTACGTTGAGTAAGGTGCGAGATGAACTTCTTAATCAGGCGAGAATCTTCATCGTCATAACGCTCTTCCGTTTCTATGACGTCACTGTCTGAGCTCGCCCTGTACCGATTCCTTCGCGTGGGGTACATGACGTCAGCGTAAACTGGAAGTTCAAATAATGAAAATTACCCATACGGTTTCTATACTATCATGCCAATAAAAACTTTATGTTGATATACAAAACACATATATTACTAATAGTAAGGAAATGCTATAATATTAAGTTCGCTTTGTATTCTTATAATTGAGTAATTCCAACACTGAGAATGATATTACATTTGTACATTGTTAGTTTGATCCCCTGTGACATTGATATCACGTTACCTAATTCTAACAACCACCTACCAACAACTTAACCGGGAAATGCTTTAAAGATAATCGTGTTACCTTCTGGTTCAGGACCGAGGAATGGTCGACTTGACACGTCAAATGTCAGCTGTTTCTTCGCTCCCCTTTTTGAAAGTTCTTCCAGAAACATTGCTCGATGGTACTCCGGGGACAATCCCGACCCCCGGGTATCCGCAGTATCGCGCAGATATGGAGATGGGGACCGGTTTCCCCTGTAAGGTCTGTCCAACATGGACTGCATCATGGGAGATCTCCTTGGGCTCGGACGCTCCTGGTGGATTTTCATTGGGGTTCGGTCCTGCATACAAGCTTGAAGGCCGTATTCCGAATTCACTGTCGGTACCGGCGAGGATTTCATGGGAGAGCCTTTCATAACAGGATCAATGGTTTGAGAAAACGAAGGATGGCAATGTAGTGTCTTTGGAATCCTGTCATGCATCACCTGTTATAGACAAACACATGAGTTGTATTGTTTAGTGCCGGAACCTGTCAGAAAGCAAGGACGTTCGCTTTCCCATTGCAGTAATGTACTGGGTAGGGGATAACGGCGATCGACACTAACAATGAGTACATACATCTACAGTGTGAGCCAGGTAAACTAATCAATGCACGCTATTTACACGTGTTTTCAGGGCGCGATCAATGACCAGTACAATATTGGCCTATGATACATTTAAATAAACAATGCTGGGGCTATGAACACATTGTTTAAACATATATCGACATTATTGGTTTAGTATTTGGTCACCACCTCGTTTGAAGTAATAGAATTCTCCCTCAAGTTACAATTAGCAGGGTACATGGGTGGATTTGAGATCATACAGAATTCTAATTTCTTGTATTCTGCGGCATTTCAATTTTTTTCTCAATATGTCTTGCGTACATCACAAAAGAAAAATGGCGACAATAAAAAAATGAACTTACCCTGTTCTGATCAACGATGGGGGTGAAGCCACTGCTGTGGTAATGTACAGCACTGTTCGGTGATACTGGAGGGGACCTTGGTTTTGTTCTCTCTGCTAACATCCAGTCAGAATTTTCCCCATATATGGTATAATTGTTTTTGTCCGGCGCGGGAGATGGCAGGCGGGATTCACGATTATCACTGATGGAAACTGGCTTCTCGTCGGAGCCATCAACATCGACATTGCGTTTTGGAAATCTAAAGAAAACGTCATCAGAAAGGGTTGACCGAGGAGAAGGTGGAATGGAATCTGTGTCTCTGAGACATGTCTCTACTTCACTGTCCTCACGTGAGCGACGACACTCCTGATTGGTGGATCGGAACTGTTTCAACTTTTGTAGAAGATCCTTTGGAATGGATTCCACGGAGGTGCTGCGTTCTTTCAACTCCATGGTTGGATACAATTTCTAGTTTGTCATCCTACAAAACAATAAACTGCGATCAGATTTGATGTCAGAATAGCGAAAGAAAGCGTCTACGACTGTTAACAATTTCAATGAAAAATGGGGAATAAAACCAAAGTAAAATAGTGATGCCGTATATACGACCAGTCTACCTACGTTTATAATGACACGGTGTGTTTTCACTGTGGTTGATCGTCGGTACATATGAAACTCAACTACCCGGTCTTGGGACTTTTAAAGATCTTCTGTTGATGCCAGCGGCTAAACGCCAGACTAAGACCATACATTTATATAACGGTACTCTCAGCTATTCCGGTAATATTCCATTAATTGCCATATACATAAGCGGCCCCGACTTTGTACTATACTGTATCTTAATCGGCCCAGAGTTGATTGCAGTCTAATCCAATATGCATTGGATTTTAATACAGATATGACTTATGAATTGCAAAGATTATGGCGAGAACATAAGCGACCCCGTCCGAAAAGTTTTTTGCAGATCTGACGCGGCCCAGTTTAATCCACTATAGACATCAGAAGCAGCGATGCCGCTATTGGATGTCATTACCCGGCTTTACGAACTTCACAAACGTCGGTATTAACGGTCGGTGTGGCATTTCAGTTTTAATCCCAATCTGCAGGATAAATGGCCACAGACATTTAAACCGTATACTCTCCCTTCTTCTATAACCTACTAAGTGTTGATGGAGATTAGCAGATTTGCATTATTTTACTATGTTTTCGTAGAATTGAGATATTTCGTGTAGAAAGCTCCGGTATCTAAATAATATATATATTTATTTTTTAGGACACGAAACGGATCTTACATACAGCAGAAGGACTGTAACCGTGATGCGAAATTCTGTGATTATTTTTTACAAGTTCATTGGGGCGTAAAGCACATCGGAGGCAGGTCACGTGGTCAGTTTTACATTCTTTATATGTACTAAACAGATATTCTTAGATTTCTGAAATTCCGCTTCGTGTATAATTTACATAATTAGATCCGTAAGAATTGACTAATGTACTTTAGGCCAGGAACGTTAACGAGGCGTATGTTTAATTGGCTGAGAATGAGAAGTAGGAGTGATAGTTTAGACAGGGAGAGGCGTCCTTCCACTTGAAGCTCATCGCCAATCAACATTTAAATACCACCGAGGAATGTATTTAGTGGTTTAATTGGTGACTAATCACGCGTGTCGGAAGGATATCAACACTGCGGAGTAATACTAGAGGGTGATGACCCTGCGATAAGACCATAACAATGATTGACTCATTTGATACATCCCAAAATTAGTGAGAATTCGTGTCAATTCTGGCCTTGGCAACAAAGACGACTATCAATTAAAGGTACAACATTTGTATCACAACAAATCTAATTCTCCGTTTTGTCGGATACACACATTGTTTTCCCGTCATGCAACATTTGCCTTCATTTGTTTTAACACAATTAGGCTGTAGATGGCGTTATTGACGCTTGGAATGCCAGCATTATGTGAGCCACGATCAGCTGATGAGAACTTTGAGCCCGCGCGGGTTCCCAGGACGTATCTGGTTCTCAAAGATGCACATGGAGACAAACTAAGACAATAGCTTGTAAGGCGTAACATGCAACATGTTTGTGAAGGGTAATCAGTCTCGTAGCGAAACAATGGCTACCTAACGGAGCATGTTTTTTTTTGTGTTTCCCGTTCATATGTGTCTTTTGTTCACGGGTGGGTACATTACAGAGAGATGTGTATTACAATACCGCTAAAGTCAAACACATTTGTGGTTCGCCATAAGTCATGTTGACAAGATGATGGCGATCGGTGTGCTGCCTGGTCCAGCCTACAACCAAGCCACGTTACCAACGATAGTGTTAAGTCCTTTAAATTTATGTGGTTAAATTTCAATGGTGATAAAATCATTTTTATATAAAACAATTTCACCACTGCTGGTGGATGATAGCACACTATCTGTATTATAGCGTTACCATTGGCAACGAATTTTTATTTATAGCGGTCTAACAACTAATGCAACGGAAGACATAAAATAACAAAAAAAAAAAATAAATAAATAAATAAAAACATGCTCTTAAACATGTTTACATATTTTGTCACTGAACATCTAAGAGGACCGTTTTGGGTAATTTGCCGCGCTTGATGAAGATCGACACCCGATCTATCTGTAATTTTAATCACCCAGTCAATCAACCAATCAGCGTTTACAAAAATATTTATGTCTAACACCGTCACGTTATCATAGACTCAACTCATAAAAATGACTTTGCCAATAACATCCTATCCACTTTCAGATTTCAGACATTTTTTGTGACAGGGAAGTAATTCTTGGAAGAGACCGAAAAGAAAGCGTAAATTATCGTGTGTGTACATCCCAGTGGTGTACCCACCTTAACGATTCTTTTTCGAGGGCGATTCTGATTTGTCAATTCCTGTGTCGATATTTATATTTTTTCGCACTGCATCGTAATTACATCAGTCACACGAACACCTGTGCACGAGAAAGCGACCTGCAAGTTTCGCGACTACGCTCACCTGTTCCGACCTTACCTGGTCTGTATTTATCACACCTGAAAGGTTACAGCTTATCTCCTGCTTGGGGTACCCTGTCGCTTATATATGTACTCCTATTTGTTATGCTAACACGCTGAATATTGCGTGCAGTATTTCAGTGCACGTCGTGATACTTGGGTAAGCGTCACAAATTTACATACCAGACGTGTAAGGTACATTAATGTTAACTAATGAATGCAACGCATTAGAAAATTTCGCCGTTTTTTTTCATCACTTATTTACGTATCGATAAAGATATTATCAAAATTGAGATCAAATGAGAAGATCGACAAAAGTCCTATGTAATGATATGATGATTATATGGAGTGGCAGTTACTTAGCAGTAATGAGTTTGCCCATTGAAGGACATACTCAGCTACAGTTACATCAGTCTCCTGTCGTGGATTTAATGTCCACCATCTCCAAACAGGTTGTTAGGATCTAGTTAGCTCGAGGAATCTCCTCCAATATGTTTCAAATTCAGCATGTTTTGATGTAGAAAATAGTGTCATCAAATTAGTATTAATTAATAAAAAAATACATAGATAATATATGTTAAAAACAATATCAATATTTTGTCGATATGAAAAAGTAGTAAGTTACCGTAAATATGAGAATAGATAAAAAATAAATTTACCTGTATGATTGATTAACGTGCCCGGTCCCGTCTGATCACAGCTATATAATCCTAGTAATGTTATTTCATAGTAATAAGTAAGATATACAGGTAACACGAGGTCCGTTAGTATAGGGCTACCAAGCCAGTCTGAACCAAACGCTCAGTGCCAGGTACGTTTACCTACATCAGGTGAGTACTCGAGCGTGACCAGGTAACGGCACTCAAGGGTACCGTTACAACGCCAGGTAAAGGCAGATAACACCGCCCCATTATACGGCTTGTAAATATTGAATTCCGATCGTCGGACAGGTAAACCCACTTATGGGTTTTCCCAGACAGGTAGGGAGTCGGGCGAGATTGTTCCCCTGTCAATCATAGTTAAGTCCCACCCACTCACTACCACACAAATGAAATATGTTTAATTTGGAAACTATTTCATGGTGGAATTTAGTTTGCAAATAATGAAATTTGAGAGTACGGCGTAGCAGCGGTATGGTGGAAACCCAGAGGTTATACACATACAGTCATTTTTAACCCAACTTTTTAAATTCAAAAATAGATAATCTGTCACAGTATTATGTATACACAGGGCAAAAAACACATCAAATGCATACACAGGCGACAAAATTCCATTACTCACAAAAACCGCACACTAAAATTCCAAAATTATGTTGATTTTACTAAAAACATGTGTACTAAATCACATTTTTCGCAAAGGAAGAATTTTGAACTTAACCTGGCATTTCACAAGTAAAAAAAACTATGGAAAAAGAATAGTAAAACAGAAATTTAGATAGTAAAACATAATTATAGATAGTAAAACAGAATTATAGATAGTAAAACAGGATTACAGATAGTGAAACAGAAATATAGATAGTAGAACAGAATTACAGATAGTAAAACAGAATTACAGATAGTAGAACAGAAATATAGATAGTAAAACAGAATTACAGATAGTAAAACAGAAATATAGATAGTAGAACAGAATTACAGATAGTAAAACAGAAATGTAGATAGTAAAACAGAATTACAGATAGTAAAACAGAAATATAGATAGTAAAACAGAATTACAGATAGTAAAACAGAAATATAGATAGTAAAACAGAATTACAGATAGTAAAACAGAAATGTAGATAGTAAAACAGAATTACAGATAGTAAAACAGAAATAGATAGTAAAACAGAATAGATAGTAAAACAGAATTACAGAAAGTAAAACAGGATTACAGATAGTAAAACAGAAATATAGATAGTAAAACAGAATTACAGATAGTAAAACAGAATTATAGATAGTAAAACAGAATTATAGATAGTAAAACAGAAAACAGAATTACAGAAATATAGATAGTAAAACAGAATTATAGATAGTAAAACAGAAATATAGATAGTAAAACAGAATTACAGATAGTAGAACAGAAATATAGATAGTAAAACAGAATTACAGATAGTAAAACAGAAATGTAGATAGTAAAACAGAATTACAGATAGTAAAACAGAATTATAGATAGTAAAACAGAATTACAGATAGTAAAACAGAATTACAGAAAGTAAAACAGGATTACAGATAGTAAAACAGAAATATAGATAGTAAAACAGAATTACAGATAGTAGAACAGAAATATAGATAGTAAAACAGAATTATAGATAGTAAAACAGAAATATAGATAGTAAAACAGAATTACAGATAGTAGAACAGAATTATAGATAGTAAAACAGAATTATAGATAGTAGAACAGAATTATAGATAGTAAAACAGGATTACAGATAGTAAAACATAATTATAGATAAAGAAAAGAGGAAACTGAAACTAGAAATATAGAACGTCAAACACAAATACGAACGAAATAGGTCAAAGGTCAAACTGAAATACAAACCAAGTAGGTCGAAGGTCAAACAGATACGGACGGTAAAAGTCGAAGGTCGAACTGAAATAAAACGAAATAGGTCGAAGGTCAAACACAGATACGAACGGAGAAGGTCGGAAGTCAATCAGAAATAAGAACAGAGTAGATCGAAGGTCAGACTGAAATACGGGCGAAGAAGGTCAAAGGTGAAAAAATGCATACACAATCTCCGAGCGTCAAACGAATACAGTTATTGATTAAGTCAAAACATTGAAACATGATGTCCAAACTAGCACGGGACATACATCATACTGAAAACTATAGCGTTTTGTTTTTGTGTGTTACATATTCATTCAGTCCCAGTTTGAATATTTTTTTGTTCAAATTAACAAATTCCCTGACAAACCAACTGGAAAATAGATTAAAGCGGAAATAATTCTTGTGAGATTTTGAATTCGTAAGTTTAAGAATGCAAACGATATAGATATAGGTCCACTGTCACGCATGACCTGATCCACGGCAAAACAGGTCAAGTTTAGTTTAGAATAATCATATTCTTATAACCTTCTATTAATACTATTCATCCAGGAATTTGTTGTATTGTAGTAATAAAGCGATTACATTAATCTTGGGTAGAATGACGACTATTCAGACAGTGCTATCACACCATACAGGTGGAGAAATACCTGACATCTCCTACCCATGCCTTAAGTAAATAACGTAATGACACATCCTAATCACCTTAGACTACCTGTACATACCTGTTCGGACGTCCCAAACTTGTGAACGGAACAACTAAATTGTTTTTATTGAATTAGAAGCTATCATCAGTGCTCATCCTGAGCTGAGACAGGAAGAATGAAGGGACTTTCTAATTTCTAAGGATGTGTTTGCATTTTATATTCCGAAAGCCCGTTATAAAAAGTAATTTGTTCAAAGAAAAAATACATATATACACAAGCGTTTGAACAGATGTAATGGAAGGTCTACGGAAATGTCAGAATTTATCGTTTATCTCTCCTTTGTATGATCTATTAAAAACGGCAACATGTAAAACAACAACCAGCAACAGTGTTTGTATAAGTAGTTGTGATAAGCACACACTCACCCTCACACCAACACAACTTATAGGTACCCCCCCCCAACACACACACACACACACCATCAGCCCCCTCTCTCACACACCCAACCTTAACCCTCACACACGCACACAATTCAACCCTCTCTACCATACACACTTATCCATCCATCCAACCATCCATCCACCCACCCACCCATCCATCCATCCATCCATCCATCCATCCATTTCTCCATCCATCCATCCATCCATCCATCCTCCCTCCCTCCACCCATCCATCCATCCATCCATTCCTCCCTCCCTCCCTCCACCCATCTATCCATCCATCCATCCATATAAACATACAATCACTGGGCTTGGTAGAGTATATCACATCACCAGTTAAGACATCCACATCTGGGGGTTAGACAAAATTCTAGCAGTGTAAATTTTTCGAATCTATGTATGTTACACCACTAACAAATGAAGATAACCAATGATAAAAAGATTTCGACTGTGGTCGGAAGGACAAATATTTTTTTAGTAATCGTTTTTATAGTTTCGAATTGGCGGGGTCATTTCGAGCAACAGACATCAAAACGAAGCTACAGTGTATAGATCGAATGATAATGCGATAAACGACAACGGACACGGAATCCGGATTACGTGACTAATTCACCAAAATGTTACAAACTTATGTCAATATGTTGTTTAGGAATGAAATGAGTTAGCGTGAAAACTAGCATATCCCTGTTATCGTACAGCTTATAAAACAATGTGTAGCTAGTATTGTGTCGGCATGTCCGACTGTCCTTCAAGCATATTAAGCCCATTGTGTCTGGACGCTTATTTAACGATACTATTGTCCATATTTCGTAAAGTTATTGCTGTAAAGTCCAAAAATATTGTCCGAGTGTCGTAAAGTGAGTGTGCGAGTGTCGTAAGGTTGTTGTCCCAGTGTCGTAAAGTTGTTGTCCGAGTGTCATAAAGTTGATGTCCGAGTGTCATAAAGTTGTTGTCAGAGTGTCGTAAAGTTGTTGTCCGAGTGTCGTAAAATTGTTGTCCGAGTGTCGTTAAGTGAGTGTATTTACGAGGTTGGTAAGGTTGTTGTCCGATTGTGGTAAAGTTGTTGTCAGAGTGTCGTAAAGTAAGTGTGCGAGTGTGGTAAGGTTGTTGTCCGAGTGTCGTAAAGTGAGTGTGCGAGTGTGGTAAGGTTGTTGTCTGAGAATCGTAAAGTTGTTGTCTGAGAATCGTAAAGTTGCTGTCTGGGTGTCATAAAGTTGTTGTCCGAGTGTCATAAAGTTGTTGACCGAGTGTCGTAAAGTAAGTGTGCGAGTGTCGTAAGGTTGTTGTCGGGGTTGGTAAAGTTGTTATCGGGATGTGGTAAAGTTGTTGTCGGGATGTGGTAAAGTTGTTGTCTGGATGTGGTAAAGTTGTTGTCGGGATGTGGTAAAGTTGTTGTCGGGGTGTAAAAGTTGTTGTCGGGATGTGGTAAAGTTGTTGTCGGGGTGTAAAAGTTGTTGTCGGGATTTGGTAAAGTTGTTATCGGGATGTGGTAAAGTTGTTGTCTGGATGTGGTAAAGTTGTTGTCTGGATGTGGTAAAGTTGTTGTCTGGATGTGGTAAAGTTGTTGTCGGGATGTGGTAAAGTTGTTGTCGGGATTTGGTAAAGTTGTTGTCTGGATTTGGTAAAGTTGTTGTCTGGATGTGGTAAAGTTGTTGTCTGGATGTGGTAAAGTTGTTGTCTGGATTTGGTAAAGTTGTTGTCGGGATGTGGTAAAGTTGTTGTCTGGATGTGGTAAAGTTGTTGTCTGGATGTGGTAAAGTTGTTGTCGGGGTGTGGTAAGGTTGTTGCCGGGGTGTGGTAAATTTGTTGTCGGGGTGTGGTAAAGTTGTTGTCTGGATGTGGTAAAGTTGTTGTCGGGATTTGGTAAAGTTGTTGTCTGGATGTGGTAAAGTTGTTGTCTGGATGTGGTAAAGTTGTTGTCGGGATTTGGTAAAGTTGTTGTCGGGATGTGGTAAAGTTGTTGTCTGGATGTGGTAAATGTCGGGGTGTAAAAGTTGTTGTCGGGATGTGGTAAAGTTGTTGTCGGGGTGTGGTAAAGTTGTTGTCGGGATTTGGTAAAGTTGTTGTCGGGGTGTGGTAAAGTTGTTGTCTGGATGTGGTAAAGTTGTTGTCGGGGTGTAAAAGTTGTTGTCGGGATGTGGTAAAGTTGTTGTCGGGGTGTGGTAAAGTTGTTGTCGGGATGTGGTAAAGTTGTTGTCGGGGTGTGGTAAAGTTGTTGTCGGGATTAGGTAAAGTTGTTGTCTGGATGTGGTAAAGTTGTTGTCTGGATGTGGTAAATTTGTTGTCGGGATTTGGTAAAGTTGTTGTCGGGGTGTGGTAAAGTTGTTGTCGGCATGTGGTAAAGTTGTTGTCGGGGTGTGGTAAAGTTGTTGTCGGGGTGTGGTAAAGTTGTTGTCGGGATGTGGTAAAGTTGTTGTCGGGGTGTGGTAAAGTTGTTGTCGGGATGTGGTAAAGTTGTTGTCTGGATGTGGTAAAGTTGTTGTCTGGATGTGGTAAAGTTGTTGTCGGGATGTGGTAAATTTGTTGTCGGAGTGTTGTAAAGTAATGTGTATCGTAAAATAAGTGAAGGAAAGTCTTAAATTTGCTTTCTAAATGTGGTAAAGTTAGTGTCGGAGTTTTGTAAAATATATGTCCGAGTGTTGTGATGTTGGTTTCCGAGTATCGTATCAGAAGTATCCGAGCCTCATTGAGGTGATGTTGAAATGTCTTTGCAGTAGTCGAGGGTCGTAGAGGTAGCCATTTCTAGTTCGAAATGCGATAATTGTTTTCATTTTAAGGAAAAAAAATAGAACAATGCCCCTCTAGTATGAAAAAAGCCTGTCGCCTCGTATGGCACGAGGACGGCTTAAGTTGCGGGTAAGTTGGGTACATGCCTATCAACGTACAGAAGGGACTTGTCCATTGTTAGCGGTGTTGATCTCCTATTTCTGATGATTTACACTTAAGACCGCAAATTTAGGATTAAGACAGCTTAGTGGAGTTCTTTTTGTGCGGTTTGATGTCATGTTATAAATATACGATCCACTGGGTTAAGATTTCGGCGTGTGGTTGGATGCCACATAACAGGCACTGATTGAATGTTTGACGAACAATTTCATTCCTCGTGAAATGAGTCATAGTAAATTAGGAGACTCTAAGATATCCATGTTCACTGCCAGCATCTCAAGAGGTGGTAATTCTGCCATTACTAAACTAGAACTAAACCGAAGTAAATGAGAAAAGTTGTGAGTAAAGTCCAGCACAGAACGTCTATTGATGACAAATACAAGATTTCCTTTCCAAGTCATGCATCTAGCATAATATCTTGTTGTGAACAGACAGACATTTATCCAGCGTGTATTTCAAGGAATTGTCATTCCACTATATGTAACAGAGGTCATTATTTATTTCAATACCTCCGCTAGGAATCGAACCCGGGACCCCTGATGTACTAGTCTGACTCTCAACGAATCGAGCTAAAGAGAAGTTCTCTCTAGTCGAGTGATATATTGCGGCTAGTATTTTACCAGGGTAACACATATATCTGTCGTCTGTGATGCTATGTTGACCGGTAATTTCTCTGTTATTTGTTTTTACATGTGTTTTATTTATAAGAATGGTGGTACGATTCTGGATGTACTCCCATGAAGTCCTTAAACCTTTGTCACCATCACGTCACTGACGAGCACTGAGTCCGATCTGTATTCAAAAGCGTTCGTATTAAGCAGGAAAACATCCTATTGACATTATTAACTGGTGTCCGATTATTTTTGTAGAATATCCAATCAGATGTGTCGTTACATCTGTGTTAGGATGCCTTGTTCCATTTCGTGCCAAGCTATATTTAACATACTTGGAACCGATCTTACTTTATAAGCTGAATCTGTGAACATGTTATAATACAGAGTCGATTGTTGATTAAGAATATGAGGGTGAGGATTTCAGTATCAGCCCTGTGATACACTACTTCACATTGTCGATATTGTTACAACCATCTGTTGTTTAAGGTGAGAAAGTGAACGATTTAAGGAGTGAAAGTTTATCTCTGCAATCTATCTCAGGATTCGATTTTTTTTCATTCTAAAATTTCTGTGCCCTAATAAAAAATTTAAATATCAACGCAATTCATTGAAACACCAAGTACGCGTAGATGCGCCGTCAGATTGAAAAAAAGACCAATCATTGCTTCTTCCTTCCTATATAGACGGGTTCGTTTCATACACACTCAGTGACACGTATATACCTATATATTTATCAAATCTCGCTGTAACTTAGTCTCGGATAAATCTCTCACAGCACACGGTTATCAACACAGAGCATTGTTCCATCAAAATGATTAAAATTCCACGAACTTTCTGTTGATCTGGTGGGGACGGGAATGAAAAAGACGCTTTTGTTCAGAAATCGTCGGGTCGTTAGTCGCGTTTGTGTGGGCGACAGAGCGACAAACGGCCGCTTATAGGCTGTATTGTTTCCGATACTTTACAACAACAGTGTGATATAACCGTAGACGTAGAGCTTAGAGAGGTGAACGAAGGGAAGCAACTCCTACAATTATGATGGAGAAATAATAGAAAAATATTTCAAAAATGAATAAGCGATATTAATACAATTTTTTTCATTAATTATTATCAATAGTAATCTTCTGATCATAGCATTGATTTTTTCTACTAAAACAGTATGATGTCGGGTTTTTATTCTCGGCTTACAATAAGCAGCAGAAACATGGCGGACCCATCCGTGAAAATTGTACAGGTGACGGACAAACATAGAATATTGTGTTTTGTTTGGGTGACACCCATTATATGTATTCGCAAATATTTGAGAAATTCTACACACACATGATTTTTCATCGACAAACATCTATTTAAGCTGTTCAAACAAATCCAATTTTCAATGACTTGACGTATACAGAGGGTTTGACTGCTCGTGTTTGTATTGTGCCATCACCCCATTGTGCTGACGTATCCACTGCCGATACACAAGTCTTATAGAGTTTGTGTTCCGATTGGAAATGACACCTTTACAAAGGTCGAGTGGTCAACTAGTTACTGACCAGGAATCTGACCATTAAATGGACAATCTATATAGGACGAAAACTCCTACTTGACCCTGCTTACAGCAATATAAATACACAACACGATGGATGTAGTACCAAATTAAAACCTCTCACTACACCATCCAACATTGCACAGGATTGAAGAAAGAGGGTACAAGTGTAGTTATATTTGTAGTGTCTGGTATAAAAATGATTTTACTGACTATGTAAATATGATTATTCGGCAGGGGACTGTAACGGATGTCAGTAACGTTCATCTGAAACATCAAGCGTCGAGTCGACTGCCTGTCTATCTAACAGCTCCTGTCCGATCTCTCATTATCAGAAAAGTTACAGTGTTGTGCGTTTCATGACACGTCACAGATATATGTACATGTTATCAACAGGAATGTTAATTTCAATCGATCCTTTACGTTACAATTTGAGGCCCGATTACACTCAATCTTGATTTTGCTCTAGGTTTATTGGTCAAAGCCCAATATCTAACTTGAACTCTGTTCGAAAATCCTTCTTATCATCGAAAAGCTGTATTTGAGCACGAGAACGAAAGCGCGCGTGTGTCGTCCATCAGTCCGTCCCTCCGTCGTCCGTCTCTAAACAGTGTCTCGTGACCACTTCTCCTAAATAAGTAATAATACTCTACATCAACAGCAGCTCGAGCTGTAAGTAATATCTATTTATTTGTTTTATTTTCCATTCCGGATATTTTTGGTGTATCAAAACTATACAAGGAACGCAATGTCTGATCTTGATATGGGGAGACAGTCTGGGTGTGAATAAGACAATAGCATATTTCATTGTATATTGGTTCAACATGCATGGAGAGAGACTCGCCAGACTGCCCACCACACACAGAGAGAGACTCGCCAGACTGCCCATCACACATAGAGAGAGACTCGCCAGACTGTCTACCACACATGGAGAGAGATTAGCCAGACTGCCCACCACACATGGAGAGAGACTCACCAGACTGTCTACCACACATGGAGAGAGATTAGCCAGACTGCTCACCACACATGGAGAGAGATTAGCCAGACTGCCCACCACACATGGAGAGAGACTCGCCAGACTGCCCACCACACATGGAGAGAGACTCGCCAGACTGCCTACCACACATGGAGAGAGACTCGCCAGACAGACTGCCCACCACACATGGAGAGAGACTCGCCAGACTGCCCACCACACATGGAGAGAGACTCGCCAGACTGCCCACCACACATGGAGAGAGACTCGCCAGACTGCCCACCACACATGGAGAGAGACTCGCCAGACTGCCCACCACACATGGAGAGAGACTCGCCAGACTGCCTACCACACATGGAGAGAGACTCACCAGACTGCTCACCACACATGGAGAGAGACTCACCAGACAGACTGCCCACCACACATGGAGAGAGACTCGCCAGACAGCCCACCACACAGAGACTGCCCACCACACATCGCCAGACTGCTCACCACACAGAGAGAGACTCGCTCACCACACATGGAGGGAGACTGCCCACCACACATGGAGAGAGACTCGCCTACCACACATGGAGAGACTGCCCACCACACATGGAGAGAGACTCGCCAGACTGCCCACCACACATGGAGAGAGACTCGCCAGACTGCCCACCACACATGGAGAGAGACTCGCCAGACTGCTCACCACACATGGAGAGAGACTCGCCAGACTGCCCACCACACATGGAGAGAGACTCACCAGACTGCCCACCACACATGGAGAGAGACTCGCCAGATCGCCTATCAAATATATAGCGAGAGACTCGCCAGACTGCCCACCACACATGGAGAGAGACTCGCCAGATCGCCTATCAAATATATAGCGAGAGACTCGCCAGACTGCCCACCACACATGGAGAGACTCGTCAGACTGCCCACCACATATGGTGAGAAACTCAACAGACTGTCTACCACACATGGAGAGAGACTCGCTAGACTGTCTACCACACATGAAGAGAGACTCACCAGACAGCCCACCACACATGAAGAGAGACTCACCAAACTGTCTATCACACTTGGAGAGAGACTCGCCAGACTGTCTACTACACATGGAGAGAGACTCGCCTGACTGCTCATCACACCTGGAGAGAGACCCACCAGACAGCCCACCACATTTGCTGCATAACCCATTCAGGAGCCCGAGTTTGAGACTGGGATGCTGTTCATGAGCTGCAGCCTCAGCATCCTGTACCTATTAACTGGTGTGATGTGTGTGATCTAGATGTGTTCCATGTTAAATTGGAAACCTCGAAAGGATTTGGTTTCTGACGTTCTGATGTCATCAACACTCCATTGTGGAACAGTGACGTAATTGGAATTTTTTTTAATCTATAACTTTTATGAAGTCGGGTGTGCTGGAATGAATGTTGATCCATGAAACAATGATGGTGGCACTACGACCGCTATCTTGACAAGAGTTTTTGAATATTTAAAGTCTAAAAGCTATAGCTCTGGAAAACATCTGTTCTAGTTTATATATTTCCTTCCTGCTCTGAGCAATTTGATCGGAAACTAATAGTTTCTAGAAATTTCTCAGAATATCTAATTTCTAGATTACTAGACACGTTGTCAGGCTCACATATGATAGAAAAGGCTTAAAACGATTAAACGGTCTTTATTTCAATGTCTGGAACACATACTCCGCCATGTTTTAAAAGTGGTATGATGCTTTCCTCTGGTGTTAGATTGTCAGAGAGATTTTAGCACACTTTACCATATTTAATGGAGAATTGCCGCGGCTGACATCTTCTGTGAAGACGGCCTGCTGAATTTGGTGGCGTCGCGGAGCATGTTTTGACAGCTGACTAACTTCCGATACAGTAGGAAACATCCACTAGATGGCGCTATGATACAACAGCATAAGCACGTGATCAGCAAACTAAGCGCCATCTTGTCCCAGCAGAAGTCTTTATTCGTCAGAATTTCTGCCAAATAAAATAATCATTAGTTCGGATGCATCCCAACTATCAGTTGTTCGCAACTGTTGACATGATAGCCCAAGTCTGTATGCTGCAATTTCTTATATACTGAGGGGAATGTTCAGTGTTAATTTCAAATATCAAAACCAAGGCCTTTGTCATGAGTGGAGTTACGTTTGTGTTATATGACCTGCTTAGTGTTATCAATATTGGCCTTTCATCTATGACCTTACACTGCTCAGACGTAGTCTTATGTCTGTCATCGTGGTTGATTGTTGCATAGTACAGTTCTGATCAGTCTGTGCCTACAGCGCTGTGCTAAATCATTCTCAATTTTCGCAAAATGGCGACCTATTAATACGGCGCGGTCTAAGGGGAATAACTCGTACAGGAGTTACGTGTATGCTTATGAAGGTTCCTTGCTCAGAGGAATTCTCATGTAAACACAAACCGTGTTGTTCAATGTGGAGGAAATCTTGCGAGATCTCGGTACATGTGACTGGCAGTTAAAAGGCGTTCACCTCATCAAATATTACATAAATATGTAAATGATTATCAGGTTTGGCAATAGTTTTACATTTTGCCGGTCTACTGCCGCCATATTGAAAATTTTTGTTCACTTTTGCCATGGCGCTGTATATCTGTCATTCTCTGATCTCAAATGGACGAACTTTACAAAAGATTGATTTCTATTGTTACATTGGCCAGTGTAATCTCCATCTGACGTCACAAGCCAAAATCACCTCTATCGCTAAAAAAACTCGGATTAATGGACTCGCTCTTCTATGATATGAGTAACAATAATTCACGATCTCGTAGAAGACACTAGCACTTACTAACTTATGAAACTTAACTTAGAAAAAAAATCTTGAATGCAAAAGCAAAAAAAAAAAAAAAAAATAATAAAGATATATAGTGAAAAAAACGGGACTGAAAAAAAGTGCCCGTAATAGCGGGGTGGTCGTAATTTTGAGGTGGTCGTTAGGTGAGGTTTCACTGTAATAATAATAAAAATAAAAAAAAAAAAATCAATAGAAGAAACACCAAAATGCGCATATCTGATCTAAAGGTAAACATAGTATTGTCAACAGAGAAGTAATGTTTAATTGGTATTAAATGAGGTGACAGAAATAAAAAGAGGCAAGGCATAGCTTCGTTACAACTGATGGACTTACTGATTGTCGAATAACTCTCCACCACATTGACAGACCCGCCCACGTCAATTGTATCAGTACTTCCTGTCTGTCGCCGAAATCGTCCACTTCCGTTTTCTTGTCGATCTGTATTACGTCGCTTCCGGCCCCAGCCTGTGTAACTGTCGTCACATTTTTCCTAAATTTCAAATATTGACTTGTTAAAGCTCAGTATTTAGGATTAGTAGACCATTAGAGATCAAAGCATTTAAATGTGATCACATTTACGCACCAAAAACTAACATTTACCTTGGTTTGATTAGTACAACACCTTAATATAATATAAACTTTATTTATTTTACAACAATTGTGAAACAAGTTATGTTAATTTATACAAATCACTCTTGTTGGCCCGGATGTAAGCGCGCGAGGGGTCTTATTGTGGGAGGAAACCGGAGTACCCGGGGAAAACTCACGTGGTCGTGCAGGTGACCCCCTTACCTTTTCACGTCCGTTCCGGGAATCGAAAGGCGAGTGCGTTACCACTGCGCCAACCGACAACACCTCAATCACACGAAACATTCTATAGCTTACAATCACAAATCGCACTTCATGTATTCACTACATCTAAACAGTGAAAGGTTGCTGGCAGTCTGTGAGGAGTAATTCACACTAACGATATCATTATTTTCTACAATTTCTACCTCAAAGTTTCAACAGTGACATGTACATTTATTGAACACTCACTGGGAAACATGGACCCTGACAGAGCTACAATGACATGTACACTTATAGAACACTCACTGGGAAACATGGACCCTGACAGAGCTACAATGACATATACACTTATTGAACACTCACTGGGAAACATGGACCCTGACAGAGCTACAATGACATATACACTTATTGAACACTCACTGGGAAACATGGACCCTGACAGAGCTACAATGACATATACACTTATTGAACACTCACTGGGAAACATGGACCCTGACAGAGCTACAATGACATATACACTTATTGAACACTCACTGGGAAACATGGACCCTGACAGAGCTACAATGACATATACACTTATTGAACACTCACTGGGAAACATGGACCCTGACAGAGCTACAATGACATATACACTTATTGAACACTCACTGGGAAACATGGACCCTGACAGAGCTACAATGACATATACACTTATTGAACACTCACTGGGAAACATGGACCCTGACAGAGCTACAATGACATATACACTTATTGAACACTCACTGGGAAACATGGACCCTGACAGAGCTACAATGACATATACACTTATTGAACACCCACTGGGAAACATGGACCCTGACAGAGCTACAATGACATATACACTTATTGAACACTCACTGGGAAACATGGACCCTGACAGAGCTACAATGACATATACACTTATTGAACACTCACTGGGAAACATGGACCCTGACAGAGCTGGAGAGTGCACGAAAAATTCATAACGACTGAACCACCATCAAAGTCTGTCGTTCGGAATGCCCCGAACTCACTAATTAGGGTTCCCTGTTTTAGCTTCCAAAAGTTTCCGAATAGTTCCGGTTCGACCGCACAACTGAAATAAGAAAGAACACTACCTGTTTAGTATTATTCCCTAGCCTAAGAGTAACACAGATATATCTCAATCCAAGCTATAAGTCCTTACAACAAGGAAACATGTGGGTTACATATAAAGGTTTTGTTTCATATGACACAGTCAACAACTTATCTTAATGTTAACTTATTCTCCCAATGCATTCAAATGCTCAGTAGAAAACAGACGTTTAAAAACTATGTGATTTGATGTTACAAAGAGATAGATAGACCAATTAACTGTTACTTCTGACTGTATAACTAGGACTTGCCGTCGGTAAACTAGAAATGAAGATTTTGTTATGACATCCATGACTACGATTGACTACACACACATTTGTGTGACTTCCGTTTTCCGTGTTGAAGATTCCGTGCATAATGATTGTCCTTTTCTGGCGAAAAAGCTTACCATGACCTTAAGTTTGGACTTTTTTCTGATGGCTTTGATTTGTTAGGTAAATCATTTTGAGCGTTGCGCACTGTAAGGCCAAATGAAACTGTTAATACAATGGCTGACATCACATAAATGTTTTAGGCGCACTTTTTCTGGATTTTGGTATTTTCAAAGATGACACCTTATAGCAGACATATCCAAAAATACATCTTTAATTCAGTAATCGCATGATACTTACAAGTCTTCTATGATGACAATGTCGGCAGCCTGACAATACCTGGCCTTCATATCGAAGTCATCTGCAACACCACAGATATCCAATATTATTGACAGAATCTACATTAGAGTCGTTGTGGAAGCAGAGGCCGCTTACACTACAGAAACACGGGGTCTCATTGTCCATGCATGTTGCCATTTTATAGCAATTCAACATTAGAAATCGTATATACGATGTTAACAGACGTTATTAAATAGGGATCAAAGCTATTTCGACAATAAAGAACTTACTGATAAACTCCTCTTCAAGTTTCAGCGTCATAATCAGTCTATCCGTCAGTTTGACCTCTGACCCTATGACCTCGTCTCCTGTGACGACTTTGTAGAAGGATAAATAGGCCCTTGGTTTAGTTGTTCTATTGAGGCCGGTATCATCTGCCTTGTCACTATGGAGATACGTGAGGTGATTAGCCTAAACTTGCTCATGAGTAGTTGACAGGGTCACATGAAGAGAAGATGCACACTAGATTTACCAGCAAAGATAATACCATATAAAAAACAAATAAAACAATTGTTCTATTGTTCTAAGATAAATTCCAGCAAAACAAAAGGAGGTTCATGGATTTCTATGGGTTTATAGAGGGAGACATTTCAACGGCAAAGTCTCAACGAGAACGATCAACATTATAAATACAGTTTCTTAGCGAAACGGAGAATTTTACGTCATCATCTCGAGTTATCAGCTTATCTCACAGCACAGATTACAGACAGCAACACTAGAAAACTGTAATAGGTCCAACTCATGACAATTTACAAAAGGAACTAGCAAACTGCACTGAACAATCTAAAAGGAATAACTCTGGGGGTGAAACTGACCAATCATTAACAGGAGGAAATATTCAAACACTTACCTGTGTCGTTTTTTATATTAAACATGTTTATCATTAGGGATTGCAACTGTTTACATTTGATCGCTCGTTATATCTAGATTATAATGCAATAGTAGTCGGCTGTGCTTGTCTTACTTAATTGTGGTCTTACTGCTTCACTTTAACCTCCTTTTGATTATGTGTATTAATTATTTAATCTGCTATCAATGTTAGTACTTACGCGGCGCCGAGGTAGTTACTGACAACGATGTCATTGGTGTCAGCTGTACACATCACCGGGATCTGCTTATCCGCTCCGGTCTGAAACGCTCCCAACTTCTGGACGATTATACGGAACATCATCTCCTGTGTGCAGCATTACTATATTTTACGTTTAGGTTAAGGAATTTATTGTTGTAGCTAAACATCTTTATGAGAATGGTTATCAGAGAAAATTACTGCGTATCAAACAAACGATAAATAAAGTGTTCGGTGTATGGTTTAGGATATTTCGTTAGAGTAAAGGGAAGCAACCGATGTCACCATCTCCAACAAAATATAGTAAGAAAAACCATACCACTGCCTACTATGTCAACAACTAACTTACAGTGAAGTTAAAGTTAGACAAAATTCCAATAATATGAAGTTAAAACAGTTGATGTTGGATGTCAGTGACTTGGCAGAGCCGTCTATTGTGGACGTCGTTCGTTCGCCCGTTCACATGTCGCCTAACTCAGGCCATGGCCGAATACGTCCTATGTAGACGAACCCAGAAAAGAAACATAAGTTTTTTTTTACCCAAGTTTTTTTTTGTCTACGAGGAGATTATTCCGGTTGCTGACATAAGGGAAAACTTCCTTTTATTCACCTCCTGTAGTGTTGGAGAGGTTTAACAACACAGTTTGAAAATTTTCTTTGGTTCCATCCTGTGTTGATGTCGTCAGAATATGAGACTCGATGTTAAGTCTCTCTAGGTTTAGCCCTACAGATCCTAAAATGTGAAACTCGATGTTAAGTCTCTCTAGGTTTAGTCCTACAGATCCTAAAATGTGAAACTCGATGTGAAGTCTCTCTAGGTTTAGCCCTACAGATCCTAAAATGTGAAACTCGATGTGAAGTCTCTCTAGGTTTAGCCCTACAGATCCTAAAATGTGAAACTCGATGTTAAGTCTCTCTAGGTTTAGTCCTACAGATCCTAAAATGTGAAACTCGATGTGAAGTCTCTCTAGGTTTAGCCCTACAGATCCTAAAATGTGAAACTCGATGTGAAGTCTCTCTAGGTTTAGCCTACTGATCTTAACATGTGAAACTCGATGTGAAGTCTCTCTAGGTTTAGCCCTACAGATCCTAAAATGTGAAACTCGATGTTAAGTCTCTCTAGGTTTAGTCCTACAGATCCTAAAATGTGAAACTCGATGTGAAGTCTCTCTAGGTTTAGCCCTACAGATCCTAAAATGTGAAACTCGATGTTAAGTCTCTCTAGGTTTAGTCCTACAGATCCTAAAATGTGAAACTCGATGTGAAGTCTCTCTAGGTTTAGCCCTACAGATCCTAAAATGTGAAACTCGATGTTAAGTCTCTGGTTTAGTCCTACAGATCCTAAATGTGAAACTCGTTGTTAAGTCTCTCTAGGTTTAGTCCTACAGATCCTAAAACGTGAAACCCGATGTGAAGTCTCTCTTGGTTATCCCTACAGATCGTTAAATGTGGAACTCTATGTTAAATCTCTCCAGGTTTAGCCCTACAGATCCTAAAACGTGAAACTCGATGTTAAGTCTCTCTCGGTTTAGCCCTACAGATCTTAAAATGTGAAACCTCTATGTTAAGTCTCTGGTTTAGCCCTACAAATACTAAAATTTGAAACTCTATGTTAAGTCTCTCTGGGTTAGCCCTACAGTTAGTACAATGTGACACTCTGTGTTAAGTCTCTCTGGGTTAGCCCTACAGTTAGTACAATGTGACACTCTATGTTAAGTCTCTCTGGGTTAGCCCTACAGTTAGTACAATGTGACACTCTATGTTAAGTCTCTCTGGGTTAGCCCTACAGTTAGTACAATGTGACACTCTATGTTAAGTCTCTCTGGGTTAGCCCTACAGTTAGTACAATGTGACACTCTATGTTAAGTCTCTCCGGGTTAGCCCTACAGTTAGTACAATGTGACACTCTATGTTAAGTCTCTCTGGGTTAGCCCTACAGTTAGTACAATGTGACACTCGATGTTAAGTCTCTCTGGGTTAGCCCTACAGTTAGTACAATGTGACACTCTATGTTAAGTCTCTCTGGGTTAGCCCTACAGTTAGTACAATGTGACACTCTATGTTAAGTCTCTCTGGGTTAGCCCTACAGTTAGTGAAATGTGTTATAAAGCGTTAGCTACATGAACTACTCACCCATTCAATATTACAAGAAACAAAATCAAATTCATAAAATTCTTGTTCCTCTGATGTCAGCTGTTTACAGTCTTCTCCCTGACCTTTAATGAAGATGAGTCCATCGTTTGCTGCACCAGTAACCTTGACGACGAGATTACTCCGCGTACAGCTGATGACACGAACTGTAAAATGATGTTAATTATAAATTACCTAGTTTTATGATTTAGACGTGATTACGATGTCAAATCAGAGACAATTAAGAGAATCGAAGCAGAAGGACTGACTATGTTTTATACTGACGCTTATACTTTTGAAAACTACCAACCTGTTATAAATAGATTTATTTATAACCATCAACAATATAGATTTAAATGACAACTGCCACTTTATTTTTTCAATATTGATTTTCGAAATATAGAAAATGAACAGATGCCAATGTTACATTGTATGTTTAGTAGAAGCTAATGTTACATTGTATGTTTAGCAGAATCCAATGTTACATTGTATGTTTAGCAGAATCCAATGTTACATTGTATGTTTAGCAAAAAGCCAATGTTACACTGTATGTTTAATAGAAGCCAATGTTACATTGTATGTTTAATAGAAGCCAATGTTACATTGTATGTTTAGCAGAAGCTAATGTTACATTGTATGTTTAGCAGAAGTTTGTGTTACATTGTATGTTTAGCAAAAAGCCAATGTTACATTGTATGTTTACTAGAAGCTAATGTTACATTGTATGTTTAATAGAAGTCAATGTCACATTGTATGTTTACTAGAAGCTAATGTTACATTGTATGTTTAATAGAAGTCAATGTCACATTGTATGTTTAATAGAAGTCAATGTCACATTGTATGTTTAATAGAAGTCAATGTCACATTGTATGTTTAATAGAAGTCAATGTTACATTGTATGTTTACTAGAAGCTAATGTTACATTGTATGTTTACTAGAAGCTAATGTTACATTGTATGTTTACTAGAAGCTAATGTTACATTGTATGTTTAATAGAAGCTAATGTTACATTGTATGTTTAGCAGAAGCTAATATTACATTGTATGTTTAGTAGAAGCTTATGTTACAATATGTATTTACTAGAAGCTATTATACCCAAAGTTTACAAATGGAGATATAAACACAGTTGCCTAAGTGAAATACCTTTTTATTGTTGCTTGCCTTGATCTCAAACGTACAATCTAGGACACCTACATATAAGTGTCGAACAATGACTATTGGTGCGACTAATTACAGGAAAAGCAGCGTCAATTTGTGTCTACTTACGTGAAGGATTGAAAGTCGCAGCGTACGTTAGACAGGTCACAACAGTGACCAGTGACCATGAATAACACATCGTTGACGAGAACAGCTTGTCAAGATTCATTCAGAAGCCAACGATCTATATAACAGCTCTAGGTAAACAAAACACAAAATTATCTCGGGAATATCAGAAGAACCTTTCATTCATTTGCCTTGTGTACATAATCCAGTTTAGCAGGCCATAAGGTATTAATTAGCGAGTGTAGTGTATCACATTAAATCCTATTTAAAATATTTCAGGATAAAACTTCATTCGTAGAGATATCAATATAATTAGATATATCGTTAAAAGTATATTTTTAACGTTTCTGACAGATAACATGTGCATCACGTACAAGCTCACAAAGATGACCGACTTGCATTCATAATAAGATAATATATATTAAAAAATCGCATCATCTAATTAATAAGAAAAAACGACACGTTGAATGGAAATACTCGTTCTCCTCATTCCCGTTTACATGGTCCCTTTTTGGTCCTTTCTTACAATTTCATCGTCACGGCTTACCGGACTTCACAGAGGTTACATACCACTCCCAGAGAGTCTGTATATAGTGACCACGTCAGTTTTATTCATATTAATAAATGCCGACATCTGACAAATGAAGTTACAGCCAATGCCGGTAAATGTCTAAATATTTGATGACCCCGCCAAATAAAATTAAGTCTATTATTGCCATGGTAACTGTTTGACACAGATTGTACTAGGTTATGTATAAGTTCACATGTCTTAGTAAGACATCCACCTAATGTCATTCTGATATATCTTATACCATTTTTCTAAGACCAAGCAATCACATGAGTAGATCGTTATACATTGTTTTACGGGATATTATATGTTTAGACTCTGTTACAACAGTATCAGATGTCAGTGTAATTCGGACCGGTTCCTCTGTAATGTGACATCGCAATTCCATCAATAGATTTAAACTATCGCTAGATTTACATAGACGAATGTAGAATATAATTTGCAATTAATTTTATTAAAATTCATTACAATAACAGTCATAATTTTTATACACTATTGAGTCTACATGTACGGAAGCGCATTCCTGCCACGTTGTGTTTTAATTTATCTCGAAATTTTGAGTTGATAAGTCGAAATTTTGAGTTTGTAAGTCGAAATTTCGAGATGGTGACGGAAATTTCGAGTTAGTATTCCGAAATTTTGAGATATTAACCCGAAATTTGGAGATATGAGATATACATAGTCACATTCATGTGCAGTGCTTACTAACTCGAAATTTCGAGTTAAAATAAAACACAACGTGGCCGGAATACACTTCCATATACATGTAAGCGACTTGATGAAATTCACGGAAATGATGAGAAAGAACAAACGAAATTCATTATCTATAAACGATCAGATGATGTGAACTTATAAAATATCGAATGGACGAATAATGATACACACAGCGAAGGTTATAACTATAATGTTCATTAAAAACATTAAAATGATATAAGGACCAATCATGAACTGATGACACATTGAACTGTGCAATCATTCTCATCTATTCTTAGCACTGTTTATACTATGTTAGATGTATTATACTCTGTACATCACTATATTAACCTGTCTATCTCTGTACAGCACTATATTAACCTGTCTATCTCTGTACAGCACTATATTAACCTGTCTATCTCTGTACAGCACTACAGTAACCTGTTTATCACTGTACAGCACTATATTAACCTGTCTATCTCCGTACAGCACTACAGTAACCTGTTTATCTCTGTACATCACTATATTAACCTGTCTATCTCTGTACAGCACTATATTAACCTGTCTATCTCTGTACAGCACTACAGTAACCTGTTTATCACTGTACAGCACTATATTAACCTGTCTATCTCCGTACAGCACTACAGTAACCTGTTTATCTCTGTACATCACTATATTAACCTGTCTATCTCTGTACAGCACTACAGTAACCTGTTTATCACTGTACAGCACTATATTAACCTGTCTATCCCCGTACAGCACTACAGTAACCTGTTTATCTCTGTACATCACTATATTAACCTGTCTATCTCCGTACAGCACTACAGTAACCTGTTTATCTCTGTACATCACTATATTAACCTGTCTATCTCCGTACAGCACTACAGTAACCTGTTTATCTCTGTGCAGCACTACATTAACCTGTATATCTCTGTACACCACTACATTAACCTGTTTATCTCTGTACAACACTACACTAACCTGTTTATCTCTGTACAGCACTACACTAACCTGTTTATCTCTGTACAGCACTACATTAACCTGTTTATCTCTGTACAGCACTACAGTAACATGTCTATCTCCGTACATCACTACATTAACCTGTTTATCTCTGTACAGCACTACAGTAACCTGTTTATCTCTGTACAACACTACACTAACCTGTTTATCTCTGTACAGCACTACAGTAACCTGTCTATCTCCGTACATCACTACATTAACCTGTTTATCTCTGTACAGCACTACATTAACCTGTTATATCTCCGTACATCACTATATTAGCCTGTTTATCTCTGTACAGCACTACATTAACCTGTATATCTCTGTACACCACTACATTAACCTGTCTATCTCTGTACAGCACTACAGTAACCTGTTTATCTCTGTACAACACTACACTAACCTGTTTATCTCTGTACAGCACTACATAAACCAGTTTATCTCTGTACAACACTACATTAACCTGCTTATCTCTGTACAGCACTATATTAACATGTTTATCTCTATAAAGCTCTACATTAACCTGTTTATCTCTGTACAGCACTACATTAACCTGTTTATCTTTTTACAGCACTATATTAACATGTTTATCTCCGTACAGCACTACATTAACCTGTTTATCTCTGTACAGCACTACATTAACCTGTTTATCTCTGTACAGCACTACATAAACCAGTTTATCTCTGTACAGCACTACATTAACCTGTTTATCTCTGTACAGCACTACATAAACCAGTTTATCTCTGTACAGCACTATATTAACCTGTTTATCTCTGTACAGCACTACATAAACCAGTTTATCTCTGTAATGTCTTTGATACATACTTTAACCATAATGTAGAAACCATCATAAAGTTGTTAATTACTTTATTTTCATAACTTATTCTACTCATCTACGAAATACACATGTAAAGTTATTTTAGCAAATGACAACAATCTGAATATGAAACCTGTTTTAACCTACATTTTCTTGTTAGTCTGAATTACTGATTTATATAAACAGTATTGGTAACATGGAACATTTACATCCAAAATGTCAGGGGTCTTTGTCAGTGAATCGGGACAATGAAGGTTGCTCAGAAATCAACAAGAAAAAATAATAAACTATTTACCTTCGTTATATATTTAATAAAAGAATCAACACCTCAAACTGTCACCAGAGAAAATTATTATACATAATTATAGCAAATTAATCTCGCTCATCCAGATATGATAAATATGGATATTGTGAGGCAGGGAAATCTTCTCCACTGTTATCCTGTCACATCTACATCGTAAAGTATAAATCATAGATCAAACAATGTAATATAATTATACAGTGATGGTAACACGGTGCTTTTAGGGGAAGATTCACAGGTGCAGAGAAACAGAATATCAAATTCTTGGCTATTTCTTCTGAGGTGTATTTGAACGTCAATATTATTATATTGACGGATTTCCGCAATATTTTGCAGGCATATCGACTGTTCTTTCAATACTGGAGATTTTTTTGGTCCACTTTAAAAACTATGCGATCAAAACTATTGAATTTTCGTACCTTTATTTTTTTAAATATTCGAATTATGCAGGTAATTAAATTGTCTACACGGCAGAACATATCGACTGTTCTTTCAATACTGGAGATTTTTTTGGTCCACTTTAAAAACTATGCGATCAAAACTATTGAATTTTCTTACCTTTATTTAAATATTCGAATTATGCAGGTAATTAAATTGTCTACACGGCAGAACATATCGACTGTTCTTTCAATACTGGAGATTTTTTTTGGTCAACTTTAAAAACTATGCCATCAAAACTATTGAATTTTCTTACCTTTATTTAAATATTCTAATTATGCAGGTAATTAAATTGTCTGCACGGATGAACATAAACACATGCTAAGAATTTCTGTAACAAGGACGGAATGATTGCAACTGAGTACGTACATATATCGCAAGAATGATTTCAATTTCAATTTCAACAAATTTTATTGACGAATGTCAAAAGAAATTGGACATCACTCATTGCCTATTTAAGTCCTCTCCTTCAGGTGACTACCTGTGGTAAACAAACAAACAGACATATATATATATACAATTTTGTAAAAGAAAGACATAAGGGGAAGTAACTCATTATTGTAAACAAACTAGTCCGGGAATGGTTTATGATTCATTTGGACATGAATTCTTAAGGAACGTTTTAACACTCCAAGTTTATAATATATTTGGATACTATGAGTTCCTATAGAACCCTTCATTTCTCCAAGCTTATAACATATTTGGAATGTACATGTTAAATAATTGTTTACAAATAAAGACATTATATTTCTACAAGCATCATCAGTATACCTAAAATTCAGAACATATCAAAACTAAACATGCATAAAAAATACTGCCAGTTACTCTGTGGTGTTTCATGATAACTATATGACCTGTTTACCGTCCGTCAGCGTTTGAGTTTATACAAAAGTACCCGTTATGACTGTTCAGTTACCTTTTAAAATTGATACATAGGGCATAGAAAGTCGGAGACACATGACAACAGGTAAGATTGAAGTAAAATATCACTTGTTTCTTCATCTCCGTTATTTTAACATTTATAATTTACATACAGTCATTCTAAAATTGTTTCCAGGTTACATGTTACATTTCAGTTAAAATACACGAAAAATTAGAAGAAATATTACGTTAAGAAAGTCTCTTTCAATTTGATACTCTTTCACTTTAAAAAGAGGTGGGTGTCTATCCATGTCCTACACAGTGAGTGATTATGCCTCCATGTCCTACACAGTGAGTGATTATGCCCCTGGTGGTTTACATGTACCCTCATGTATTTGCAGCACATACTGAATTGCAGCATATGTTGCTACTATGCTTCGTTGAATACTGTCATTTTGCTGTAAAATCGGTAGCACTATTGCAGTACACACTACTCTGAAGCATGATAGTATGCTGCAAAGCAGCTATGTGCTGCCTCTTTTTCATTTAGGGCTGTATTGTAGTGTGATGACAGACGGCAATGCAGCACGTGCAGCCATCATGCTTCATTCTATTTGACTTTCTGATGACCTACTTTCTGTGCTGCAAATATGCTGGAATCATGCTGCATTTATGCTGCAAATTTATACCGGGTAGTCTGACATGTTCCTGCTTTTAATGAAGACTCGTTTTTTAGCCAAATATCTATTTTCTTATAAACACAATTGTTAATGGTTAGTTTATACAGACAAATAAAAAAAAGTAAGCGTTGACATTTTTATACTGATAGTTAGGACACCACTAAGGAAGGATCTAGAGTGGTACCGAAGGGCCTCGTCATCGTCTCTGGCTGTGGTAGGTGTGCTAGTGTAACAAAGTCTTCGATCCTTTGCACAATCATAAGTTTTTACTCCAGACAGATGTAAACATTGACCAATATTAGCACACCCAAGCTGTGTCACGTTTACTGTCATCCAGATGGTAACAACTTGAGGGCGTAACCTGTAGTACTCACTGCACGTGGCAGGGTACTTCCACAATCTCTCTCCCCTCTAGAAGAAAAAATGAATTGATTATTTTCCTCATGGGTTACAAAATCAACAAGCCAACACGAACTTTACCAGTTCAGTAAAGGGGATATTGTCAGTTTTGTAAACAATTTTAATTGCTTGTCCATATCGTACATATATAGGAACTGAATAGATTTTACCATTGTCATAGTGGCAATCTATGGCAGTAGCTGTCTACACATCTTATGGTGCCAGCTAGCGTACCATAGAATAATTGTAGATAGCTGTAGTCATTCATTGCCGCTATGAAGATGAAAAAATCATGACACGACAAGCCTACATCAGATCCACATTGATTTTTGCCGATCTTGGTGTAAGCATCCAACTGATTTATCCGTTGGTCAGGAAATTAATACTCCAATGAGCTACATATTTGCTATATGTTCAATTTGAATGACCCTTTACTTGACATTTTTCTTACTGTCCAACAGAAAATAAAATCACAAAAAGTGATTATGTTAATCTGTCATTTTGCAACAGCAGAATGCGAGGTACTCAAAATAATGACAACTAGTTCTAGATCGAAATCTGTTTTGATATTTAGTGATAACTATTTCTTAATGGTGTATTCGATTTAATCACGTATGGCGATGTTGGACAAGGGAGCTTACTCCTTTTATAGAAGAAGTTTTTGGCGGATTAATATAGATGATTATCTAGTATGTGAATCATGTAATCGTTCCACGTGACTGACTGTATACATAGTGTTTTCATGGTCCAAGGTTTGTTATTTTCAGTCTGTAGATGCAATAAGAGAAACAACAGCCAAAATGGACATAAATTTAATGAGATGAAAACTGAAAAGGATAAATATATCAATGCCAACTGAATTAAAAGCAATTTTGACAGATTATTTGGTAATATAGGATACATTTTGTATTTCTGTAGTACACATATAATAAAAGTCATGGGCACATGGTTACCTACCCATGTCTACACATTTGGCGACATCCTGTTTACACATGGGACAACACCGGAACTTGCGACAGCAGTTCTTACAAGCTACTTTGTGTCGACAGGGAAGGAATCGTGCATCCGAGAGTCTCTCCTTACACAATGCACATGGTAGGGGGAGCTCCGAGAACAGCTCAGCCAGAAACTGGTCCCCAAGGGAAGGCTTGGCCGTTTGCGGTCGTCTAGAGGCAGACAAGTACAAACAAGTTTTCCAATCAATGGGATTGACATTTCATTTAAAATGCTGTAAACTCAATGCAAAAATACTTATCATAAGAATACAAACATAGAGAAGATTTCTGAATCATTTTCAATATGGAGCCTTCACAATGTTCATAACTTTGAAGATATTCTTTCAAACAGACCTTTCATCAAACTTTATCTTTGTGAGAACGACATATTTCAATCCTGACCAAGTTTGAACTGCACAAACTATCTTTGTTGTAAAGTCATACCTACAGTTACGGTATCAATGATTTTAAAGTTGATGCAATGGTAGAAATATACAGAAACATTTATAATAATAAGGGAAAGCACTCTGTAAACAACGGACACTGAAGAGCATAGTTATACAAACATGTGTTCTGGGAGACATCTGGTCAGGGATACCACAAGATAGAGATGACAGAAAAAAGAAAAACGTCACAAGTAATGGAGCAACAACATTTTGATCTCTTTGATAACCATTTGGTAGATGGTAGGTAGGGTTCAATTTTAGTCATTCTGTACTCCATGGATACAGTATGTCTAATTTCCTATTTTTTCTGAACAATAACATCATAGATACAGCACTGTCCTCTGTCTGTATCTCATTTGAACACTGCAACTGAGATACGATTCGCACCCCTCTCCGAATCTCTCATGAACAGAACACATCAGACCTCTCATTCTCCAGGAGCTCTTGAACAACAACATCGCAGACACATCAATCGATCCCCCATATCTCTCCTGAGTAGTGACATCATAGACACATCAATCACTCCCCATATCTCTCCTGAGTAGTGACGTCATAGTCACATCAATCACTCCCCCATATCTCCCCTGAGTAGTGACGTCATAGACACATCAATCACTCCCTAAAATTCTCCTGAGTAGTGACGTCATAGACACACCAATCACTCATATCTCTCCCCGAGTAATGACGTCATAGGTACATCAATCACTCCCCATATCTCTCCTACGTAGTGACATCATAGACACATCAATCACTCCCAATATATCTCCTGAGTAGTGACGTCAAAGACACATCAATCACTCCTATCTCTCCCCGAGTAATGACGTCATAGGTACATCAATCACTCCCCAAATCTCTTCTGAATAGTGACGTCATAGACACATCAATCACTCCTATCTCTCCCCGAGTAATGACGTCATAGGTACATCAATCACCCCCTTATATCTCTTCTGAATAGTGACGTCCTAGACACATCAATCACTCCTAATATATCTCCTGAGTAGTGACGTCATAGACACACCATATATCTCATGAACAGAAGACATCACTAACTGCTCTGTCCCTTTGAATCACTCCTATAAACAGTAACATTGGGAGATAAGTTGTTGACGGATATATGAAGTAAACTATACCTGTCCACCTGTCTGATTGTTTATTAAATATGACAGTAGCAGTACTTACATACATCATTTCCAACTACAAATACTTACATTTTCGCAGCAAATTTGCTGACTGCCTCCTTCAATCTTTCGCTGCGACATACTTCAAGGGGCGTTCCGTTCCTGTTGTTCCTGGCTTGAAGACTCGCTCCCTTTTCTATCAGCTTACATGCTACTTGGTAGCGTTCGTTGTCCTCCTGGACACTGACTTGCATTGACAGGCCAAACAACTGTAATAACTGTTAGAAGAGAGATATATATCTAGATATAATTCATAGTCAGTGCAATTTATCATCATAACAGACATTCAAGTGTGACTGAACATCAAAAACAACATATCGATCTTGAAAGAAATCATTGTTTAATGTAATTACTATTATGTATTTTAAACAAATAATTGAAACCTGTTATTTCTCTCGTATCCAAACATGAGAAACATGAACATGGTATTCCTACACAACAGTAACAACATTCCTACACAACAGTAACAACCTTCCTACACAACAGTAACAACATTCCTACACAGCAGTAACAACATTCCTACACAGCAGTAACAACATTCCTACACAACAGTAACAACATTCCTACACAACAGAAACAACATTCCTACACAACAGTAACAACCTTCGTTCACAACAGTAACAACATTCATACACAACAGTAACAACATTCATACACAACAGTAACAACATTCATACACAACAGTAACAACATTCCTACACAACAGAAACAACCTTCCTACAAAACAGTATCAACCTTCCTACACAACAGTAACAACATTCCTACACAACAGTAACAACCTTCCTACACAACAGTAACAACATTCATACACAACAGTAACAACCTTCCTACACAACAGTAACAACCTTCGTTCACAACAGTAACAACATTCATACACAACAGTAACAACATTCATACACAACAGTAACAACATTCATACACAACAGTAACAGAAACAACCTTCCTACAAAACAGTATCAACCTTCCTACACAACAGTAACAACATTCCTACACAACAGTAACAACCTTCCTACACAACAGTAACAACATTCATACACAACAGTAACAACCTTCCTACACAACAGAAACAACCTTCGTTCACAACAGTAACAACATTCATACACAACAGTAACAACATTCATACACAACATTAACAACCTTCCTACAGAACAGAAACAACCTTCGTACACAACAGAAACAACATTCATACACAACAGTAACAACATTCCTACACAACAGTAACAACATTCGTACACAACAGAAACAACCTTCCTACACATCAGTAACAACCTTCCTACACAACAGTAACAACATTCCTACACAACAGTAACAACATTCGTACACAACAGAAACAACATTCCTACACAACAGTAACAACATTCCTACACAACAGTAACAACATTCGTACACAACAGAAACAACCTTCCTACAGAACAGAAACAACCTTCGTACACAACAGAAACAACATTCCTACACAACAGTAACAACCTTCCTACACAACAGTAACAACCTTCCTACACAACAGTAACAACCTTCCTACACAACAGTAACAACATTCGTACACAACAGAAACAACCTTCCTACAGAACAGAAACAACCTTCGTACACAACAGAAACAACATTCCTACACAACAGTAACAACCTTCCTACACAACAGTAACAACATTCCTACACAACAGTAACAACATTCGTACACAACAGAAACAACCTTCCTACAGAACAGAAACAACCTTCCTACACAACAGTAACAACCTTCCTACACAACAGAAACAACATTCGTACACAGGAAATGACATTTATACATGTCTTGTGTTACATTTGTTCTGGGATTCCGAATCATTAGGTTGAAATAACACTGGGCATGTATCTGTTTTGAAAGACAATACTTGGTAGGCAATTTCACAAATTTGATAAAAAAAAGTTATTTAAAGATTTTGACACGTGTAACACACGTGCCTCCAAGACAAGTCGAGGTCAATCATCTGCTCATTCTTCCTGAATTTCATCATTTTTTAAAATTATTTTAACTATTAAGTTTTCATTTTTATTCTATCCTGTATTGATTAAGCAGATTTTGTTTGAAATGTAGGCTGAAAGGTGGATAAAAGTAAATCCTTTGACCAAACAGCCTAACATGCCACCGCCCCGTTTTAAGGATCTTTTAGGTTTTTGAGAGAATCTAAAAAATTCTTACAGGTTTGACTAATGATGTCTTATAAAATGGCAGAGATAATTTTGTAACGTTTTGTTTTGGCATTCGTGGAAGAAAACACAGAAAAGACTAGAACAACTACACATATATTTGTATATAACTTTATCTGCATTTTGTACAGTTAAATATAGAAATATTCACACTCACTCTCACACTATCAATAATTTAATCACTTGTTGATACTGGTATACCATTCATCCTCTTCACAGACAGAGAGCCTACAGTCTGTTCATAGATAGTTGGGATAGTTATTCACACAATTCCACATAATGTCACTCGTTGACAGTGACCAACATCTCGCCACTAACACCGACACCTTGCCAAGGTAGTCAAGACTTGCTACTACGTAAGCAGAGTGCCTAGATCTCCTCTACTATTGAGGCTAATATCTCAGTTCATCATAGCTGGGCAACAGCAACATACACTAGGAACAATACTGGGAGGGTACAGCACGTAGTCTGCCTGTCACCACCCTTATATCAGTTGACATTACATTGACACAGTCATGAGGCTTCTTTGTCTTAAGTCTGGTAGTCATATATTTGTGGGCTCTAGTTGGTACTCATCATCTGTCCATCTTGTGAAGCTATAGGTGTAAATGTAAATAAATATAATTATAAAAAATTGATACTTCAATACTATAGGTTACTTAATGATCTATAAAACCCTCTATTATTTGTCGCCATATAATTATAGTATTTGTCTGCAATAAACCTAATTGTGCAAATGACCTTTACAGATACCGGAAGTATATAAAATTCTGTGATGCGTGACCGAATTCGACATAAAATAACACGGAAACGACTTATCACCACACTTGCTGAAGCTGGCTTCCATACATCTTACATGAACAAAACTAAGTGATATCTATAGATGTACAGTAACTAAATGACGTATCAATACTATATATAATTAATTAACACTCATACATCAAGAATAATTATCTTTGAATCATTCATAATGGTATTTAGAACTTATACACCTGTATACAGTCACAACAAATTAGTACGCTTGAGTGAACACGCACTGATGAATAGATTGCTTGACCAGTAATAGAGTAAAACTTAACAGAGCATAAAACAATCCATTAAAACAGCACAGTACGAATGATAAAAAGCATACTTACCCCAGTCAGAGTTCTGAGCACCATCCCATATCTCATTATGGCTCGAAAACTAACCCGAATAATGGTAAACAGGTCAAAAAGCAATGGCTGTGAACATCGTCCGTATTCTTTTGCGCGTTCATACATACACTAGTGACTAATTCCCTGATATAATATATATGGTAAACATACTTGCGTTCATGAACCATTCACCTGAACAAATAGAAAAAAAACCCTTCATTCTTACTTTCCTTTCTATTGGGTGGACATAAAAGACATTGTAACCTTGATGATAGGTCAAGATCATCTATTTAAACAAGTTAATGACCTTGTGCCTTTTGACTTATTTGAAGATTTGAAAATTGTGACTGTTGTGTGACCTTGCAAGTTGATCAGTGTCGTTAATTTGAGCACACTTCGATTTTCTTTATTGCACTCCTGGTCAAATATCTTCATTTAGGGCCAATTCTCACATGGCTAATTTAGCTATTAAACAATTCAATTAAGAAACTGATATACGGCAAATACTGTCTGATAAAAATTCCCTATTGGGTTCTGGCCTTGTGGTCAGATTCATTATTCATAAAAATTGCTTCAGGCCAAAATTCGATAATACCCTTGCAGGAGGAAGAAATTAGGAACTTATATTTCCCCAATTGGGCCTCGCCTGAGATTCAATATTTATGCAAGCTTGGTTTCCCTCCCACTTCCTTGCTTCTAACCAAATTTGTTCAGTCATACATGGCTAGAAGTGAGTGTTAGTAAAATGTTGAAGGATGCCGGACGCCGAAAAGACGATGGACATTGCACTATCACATAATCTCACCAGTCCGTTGGACCAGGTGAGCTAATGAAGTAAAAACACAAGTTAAAAGGCGAATGAACGCCGCACCACATTAAGACTCACCATGCAGTCTACATGTATTAACACTATGATAATTATCACATTCATTCCGATTCCAGTAAATCATAGTCACTCTACATACAGGGTCCATTGCATCTCCCCTGTGTCCAAGCAATGCCATATGAAGGGGTGTATCACCATCCTTGTCTATCACAGTCACGGAGGCACCTGTTGGGACAGACAGTTACACGTGGATAAAATAATTTGCTGTTGGGTTAGAACTAATAAATTCTGTATAAAACACTTGAGTTATATAATGTAGTTCTTTATTATACAATCTGAGTGCAAGACAAAAATATTCCAAGCATCTCTTCCAAGAGCTAGACCATGATTTGTAATGTTAGGCCTGCACAAGCAGTACAAATTTAACAGTACCACAAAATCATTGTTATGTATTCAAGCGTTTTTATACAACAACATATCTCAGGTAGTCAATTTGACGTGATAAGATTATTTGATATGGTTGAAGCCATCAGCACCATTGACTACACGACAGCGTCTACTTACCATGCTGAAGCAATGTTTGCGCAGTTTCTAAATAGCCCTGGTGAGCAGCAAGGTGAAGAGGTGTAAGATTATTTTTGTTCCTTATGTCAACAGTGGCTTTACCCTACATAGAAAAAAATACGTCACCAGTGTGACATCAGATGCGGAACAATATTAAAATCAAAATCGTTTTAATACTCACACGTAACAGTCCTACATACACATGAGTAACAGTCCTACATACACACGAGTAACAGTCCTACATACACACGAGTAACAGTCCTACATACACATGAGTAATAGTCCTACATACACACAAGTAACAGTCCTATATACACACGAGTAACAGTCCTACATACACACGAGTAACAGTCCTATATATACACACGAGTAACAGTCCTAAATATACACACGAGTAACAGTCCTACATACACACGAGTAACATTCCTATATACACATGAGTAACAGTCCTATATATACACACGAGTAACAGTCCTATATATACACACGAGTAACAGTCCTACATACACACGTGTAACAGTCCTATATATACACACGAGTAACATTCCTATATATACACACGAGTAACAGTCCTACATACACACGAGTAACAGTCCTACATACACACGAGTAACAGTCCTACATACACACGAGTAACAGTCCTATATATACACACGAGTAACAGTCCTACATACACACGAGTAACAGTCCTATATATACACACGAGTAACAGTCCTATATATACACACGAGTAACAGTCCTACATACACACGAGTAACAGTCCTACATACACACGAGTAACAGTCCTATATATACACACGAGTAACAGTCCTATATATACACACGAATAACAGTCCTATATAAACACACGAGTAACAGTCCTATATATACACACGAGTAACAGTCCTATATATACACACGAGTAACAGTCCTACATACACACGAGTAACAGTCCTATATATACACACGAGTAACAGTCCTATATATACACACGAGTAACAGTCCTACATACACACGAGTAACAGTCCTACATACACATGCGTAACAGTCCTACATACACACGAAAAACAGTCCTATATATACACACGAGTAACAGTCCTATATACACACGAGTAACAGTCCTACATATACACACGAGTAACATTCCTACATACACATGAGTAACATTCCTACAAACACACGAGTAACATTCCTACATACACATGAGTAACAGTCCTATATATACACACGAGTAACAGTCCTGCATACACACGAGTAACATTCCTACATACACACGAGTAACAGTCCTATATACACATGAGTAACAGTCCTATATATACACACGAGTAACAGTCCTACATACACACGAGTAACAGTCCTACATACACACGAGTAACAGTCCTACATACACATGAGTAACATTCCTACATACACATGAGTAACAGTCCTATATATACACACGAGTAACAGTCCTATATATACACATGAGTAACAGTCCTACACACACTTGTGTAACTGTTCTTTTAACACAGATGTAACATATTTTGGACAAATATTACGTGCCATATAAATAAATATAACGGTCATAGATAGATTACTACAGAAGATGTTGCTGTGGTTGTAGAGAAGATGTCACTTACTTTCAGTATAAGGAGATTAGCGATCTCGCTGTGGTTGTTGATGGCGGCAATATGCAGGGCTGCATGTCCGTCAGTTTTCTGGACATCCACTATGGTAGATGCCTTGGTCAGAATCTTCTCTGTTGCACTAAACATGACATACATATACAGTTAAGATTTCTTATTGTTCATATGTTTTTCTAAGGGTGAAGAAATGTAAATAAAAATATTTTTGTCTTTTAAGAAATGACATACTATGACCACTAACGACCAGTTAATGACGTTCTGACAACAGGTATCTGATAAGGGGGACATACTACCTCAGTAATAAGGCATTAAACTTTCTCATAGCTTATGATGATCTGAAATGTGACTGGTTCTAACCTGACTTGGTACGGTTTGTATTTCTCAGGGACCTTGGGGTCATTGACCTTCTGGTTCTGTAGGAAATGTGGCCTTTGGCAAAACACAGTACATGAAAGTGACTTGCCTTCATGTTTGGTACTGAGATATCCACTATTCACTACACCCAACCCACCAGGTAGCCTCACCACAAAATGCCCTTTGCAGTTGACCAAGTGATAAGTTGAACAACACAAACGTGTTGTAATATAATGTAATTCACAGGTTTTTGGTCCTGCGTCACTTACAACTCATTGCCTTTGAAGGCGGCCCATTGTAAAGGATTGAATCCTCGTTGGTTGGTGACCTTGGGATCCAGATTTGGATGGCTGAGCAGCAAGTTCACTCCTCTCTCATTTCGCTTCATTATGGCATCATGAAGAGGTGTGTCACCCTCAGCATCCTTTAACCACATTATACAAGTAAGATAACAACTTAAAGCAACATCTCCTACACCAAACACCAACATAAATTTAAATGAGGAATCAGTTATTCATAAAATAAATACCTTATATTTCAGAATAAAAGTTATTTTCTATATTTGGATATATTGAAATAAGAAGCTCAAGGGACTGAAAGCTCGAATTATAGAAATGGTGTTTTTGTTCATGTAACATAAAATCAATCTGAGATGGCTAAAACTACGTAGCATATACAATGCTGATAAAAAGCGTACTGTATTGTTAAAATTCAGTCTAGCCAAATTTTCAATCCAACCTGTCACAGTGTTGTAATGTCAGTGTTGTAACTCTGTTTACCCAAATGTTCAATCGAGTCCCGTCAGAGTGCTGTAACACTGTCTACCCAAATGTTCAATCCAAACCTGTCAGAGTGCTATAACACTGTCTACCCAAATGTTCCATCCAATCCTGTCAAAGTGTTGTAACGCTGTCTACCCAAATGTTCAATCCAAACCTGTCAAAGTGTTGTAATGTCACAGTGTTGTAACTCTGTTTACCCAAATGTTCAATCGAGTCCTGTCAGAGTGCTGTAACACTGTCTACCCAAATGTTCAATCCAAACCTGTCAGAGTGCTGTAACGCTGTCTACCCAAATGTTCAATCCAAACCTGTCAAAGTGTTGTAATGTCACAGTGTTGTAACTCTGTTTACCCAAAATGTTCAATTGAGTCCTGTCAGAGTGCTGTAACACTGTCTACCCAAATGTTCAATCGAGTCCTGTCAGAGTGCTGTAACACTGTCTACCCAAATGTTCAATCCAAACCTGTCAAAGTGTTGTAACGCTGTCTACCCAAATGTTCAATCCAAACCTGTCAAAGTGTTGTAATGTCACAGTGTTGTAACTCTGTTTACCCAAATGTTCAATCGAGTCCTGTCAGAGTGCTGTAACACTGTCTACCCAAATGTTCCATCCAATCCTGTCAAAGTGTTGTAACACTGTCTACCCAAATGTTCAATCCAAACCTGTCAGAGTGCTGTAACACTGTCTACCCAAATGTTCAATCCAAACCTGTCAGAGTGCTGTAACGCTGTCTACCCAAATGTTCAATCCAAACCTGTCAAAGTGTTGTAATGTCACAGTGTTGTAACTCTGTTTACCCAAAATGTTCAATTGAGTCCTGTCAGAGTGCTGTAACACTGTCTACCCAAATGTTCAATCCAAACCTGTCAGAGTGCTATAACACTGTCTACCCAAATGTTCCATCCAATCCTGTCAAAGTGTTGTAACGCTGTCTACCCAAATGTTCAATCCAAACCTGTCAAAGTGTTGTAATGTCACAGTGTTGTAACTCTGTTTACCCAAATGTTCAATCGAGTCCTGTCAGAGTGCTGTAACACTGTCTTCCCAAATGTTCAATCCAATGTTGTAACTCTGTCTGCCCTAGTCTTACATCCCGAACTATCACCTAAGGTCTAATCTCTTCCTATCTCAGCAACCTTTTCTCGATCCTACACTTCGAAAGATTGTAGGGCTGAAACTTCAGCCTCTACACTATTGTCCATAAAGTAAAGGAACCCAACAAAATCTTAACATATCTGAGATTTTCAGGGTTGAATCCTCACTTTAATCTCACTCTTAACCTACCCGAATATTTGGGTTACAACCCTTCTCCAGGACCACCTTCAGAATATTGTTCATGCCCTCATAAGCAGCAGTATGAGCCGTGGAGCGACCATGTATGTTACAGGCATTCACATTGGCACCCTTTTGTACTAGGTACAAGGCAATAGCTTCCTTCTTTCTACAAGGGAAGTTAAAATTATAAAACATTATTCGGCTGCTTAACAACTAAAAGAGTCAATCTTCATTTTTCATCTACTTAGCTCTTGTTTGACGAATACAGGTCAACCTACACTTTCTATGTACACGCCTCCAGTCTGAATTATACAGATCAGCCTACACTTTGTATCTACCCAGACCCAGTCTGACATACACAGGTCAACCTACACTTTGCATCTACCCAGACCCAGTCTTACATACACATGTCAACCTTCACTTGCTATCTATCCTGCTCCCGTCTGACATACACAGGTCAATTTACACTTTCTATCTTCCAAGCTCCTGTCTGACATACACAGACCATCCTGCACTTTCTATCTACCCAGCTCCTCTTTCTATCAACCTGGCAACTGCCTTCCAAACACATGTCATACTACACTTTCTACCTCCCCAGCTCCAGTTTTACATACACATGTCAACTGTCAATTTCTTTCTACCCGGCTCCTGTCTGACATACTTCAGTCATATTCGCTGTCTCTCTACCCGCCTCCAGACTGATATACACAAATCATACTACACTTTTTATCTACCCAGCTTTTCTTTCTATCTTCCTGACAACTGTCTGACATACACATGTCATACCACACTCTCTACCAGGCACCTGTCAGATATACACAAACCATCCTTCGTTTTCTATTTTCCGAGCTCATGCCTGATATACGCAGGTCATACCACATTTTTTTATTTAATCGGATCCTTTGTGATATCAACTGATCACCCGACACTTTTTGCCTATCTGGCTACTATCTGACATACGCAGGTCAACCTCCACTCTCTATCTACCCAGTTCCTGACTGACATGTACAGGTCGTGGGTCTCCACATCTTTTCCATAGTCATCCTAACATGTTCTTCTAATTCCCTAATTGGTATAAAGTTTGGTCTTCTGGTGTCTGGTAGTGAAGATCAAATGTCCCAACTTAACATATGTTTCTGAGAATGTCTTCTGATAATTACCCGGCTATGGCCGAAAGCAGTGCTGTACTCTTGTCTGCGCTCTCAGCATCGATTCTGGCACCATTGTCTACAAGAAGCTTGACTACCTCCTCATGACCCTCATAAGAGGCTATCATTAATGGAGTCAGGTTCTTAAAGGTGCAGTTTCCCTAAAATCATTAATGTTAATGTAAGAAATTGTGAATAGAACTTCCCAATTTAATAATAATAAAAAGAATAGTAAAACAGTATATCAAAGTGGAAGGCAGTTCCTGAGAAGCTTTTCTTTATCTGTTCCACTATGCCCTAGCAGTTTTTGGTTGTTTTCACCGGCAGTCCTAAGCTGTTTCCATCTCTTAACTGTTTTAGAGGACGAATGATTTAAATGAGTTTGCAAGGAACGGCTAGAAAATGTTAACAGCCTGTACGTAAATAGCCCTATTATAATATTGAAGTTATGAAAAGCAAAGGAATGCTACAAACAGTTAAAATATGCCAACATGCAAATTGTCTTTTCGAAATATACTAAAACTAACTTCTCAGCAATACTAAAAACTGCTTAGAACACTGAATATACTGCACGTTATGTAGTTTTTTTTCTTACAATAATTAAGAATATAATTTCAATTTATAATAAATTAACAAGTTAGTTTCATTAATTTGAGTCTACTAATGTCTTAGGATTTTGGAAAGTGATCTAAAGTACCTAGTCTTACATGACATTTGGAAGTGAGTGTTTTGTCATGTATCTAGCAGTCTATTGTAAATATAGACAAAGTGTATTAAATGCCAGGTAATAAATTAATGATGTATATCTGATGGTCACTTGTTAAATAGACACACCGTATCCTGATATGAGGATACAATGCCCTTCAGTTAAACAAATTATATAAAGCATCTATACTGATTTACTTTAGTGTAATGTCCTTTTAAAAACAAATAACAATACTTCATTTAATTCATGTATTATAGAATAATCTTAGATGTCACATTTATCCTCAAATCTGCTGAATCCTGGATCATGGCATATTCTAACAGAGTTTAAGTCATGTGACAGATTCAAACAGAAATGTCTTGGAAAGGTGAAACAGAAACACTCCAAACTGATTCAAACAGAAATGTCTCGGAATGGTGAAACACTCCAGACTGATTCAAACAAAAATGTCTTGGAATGGTGAAACACTCCAGACTGATTCAAACAGAAATGTCTTGGAATGGTGAAACAGAAAACACTCCAGACTCGGAATGGTGAAACAGAAACACTCCAGACTGATTCAAACAGAAATGTCTCGGAATGGTGAAACAGAAACACTTGAGACTGATTCAAACAGAAATGTCTTGGAATGGTGAAACAGAAACACTTGAGACTGATTCAAACAGAAATGTCTTGGAATGGTGAAACAGAAACACTCCAGACTGATTCAAACAGAAATGTCTTGGAATGGTGAAACAGAAACACTCCAGACTTATTCAAACAGAAATGCCTTGGAATGGTGAAACAGAAACACTCCAGACTGATTCAAACAGAAATGTCTTGGAATGGTGAAACAGAAACACTTGAGACTGATTCAAACAGAAATGTCTTGGAATGGTGAAACAGAAACACTCCAGACTGATTCAAACAGAAATGTCTTGGAATGGTGAAACAGAAACACTGGAGACTTATTCAAACAGAAATGCCTTGGAATGGTGAAACAGAAACACTCCAGACTGATTCAAACAGAAATGTCTTGGAATGGTGAAACAGAAACACTCCAGACTGATTCAAACAGAAATGACTTGGAATGGTGAAACAGAAACACTCCAGACTGATTCAAACAGAAAAATGTGAAACAGAAACACTTGATTCAAACAGAAATGGAATGGAAACAGAAACACTCCAGACTGATTCAAACAGAAATGCCTTGGAATGGTGAAACAGAAACACTCCAGACTGATTCAAACAGAAATGTCTTGGAATGGTGAAACAGAAACACTTGAGACTGATTCAAACAGAAATGTCTTGGAATGGTGAAACAGAAACACTCCAGACTGATTCAAACAGAAATGTCTTGGAATGGTGAAAAAGAAACACTCCAGACTGATTCAAACAGAAATGCCTTGGAATGGTGAAACAGAAACACTCCAGACTGATTCAAACAGAAATGTCTTGGAATGGTGAAACAGAAACACTTGAGACTGATTCAAACAGAAATGTCTTGGAATGGTGGAACAGAAACACTCCAGACTGATTCAAACGGAAATGTCTTGGAATGGTGAAACAGAAACATTGGAGACTGATTCAAACAGAAATGTCTTGGAATGGTGAAACAGAAACACTCCAGACTTATTCAAACAGAAATGTCTTGGAATGGTGAAACAGAAACACTCCAAACTGATTCAAACAGAAATGTCTTGGAATGGTGAAACACTCCAGACTGATTCAAACAGAAATGTCTTGGAATGGTGAAACAGAAACACTTGAGACTGATTCAAACAGAAATGTCTTGGAATGGTGAAACAGAAACACTCCAGACTGATTCAAACAGAAATGTCTTGGAATGGTGAAACAGAAACACTGGAGACTGATTCAAACAGAAATGTCTTGGAATGGTGAAACAGAAACACTCCAGACTGATTCAAACAGAAATGCCTTGGAATGGTGAAACAGAAACACTCCAGACTGATTCAAACAGAAATGTCTTGGAATGGTGAAACAGAAACACTCCAGACTTATTCAAACAGAAATGTCTTGGAATGGTGAAACAGAAACACTCCATACTGATTCAAACAGATTCAAACAGAAATGTCTTGGAATGGTGAAACAGAAACACTCCAGACTGATTCAAACAGAAATGCCTTGGAATGGTGAAACAGAAACACTCCAGACTGATTCAAACAGAAATGTCTTGGAATGGTGAAACAGAAACAGACTGATTCAAACAGAAATGTCTTGGAATGGTGAAACAGAAACACTCCAGACTGATTCAAACAGAAATGATCTTGGAATGGTGAAACAGAAACACTCCAGACTGATTCAAACAGAAATGTCTTGGAATGGTGAAACAGAAACACTCCAGACTGATTCAAACAGAAATGTCTTGGAATGGTGAAACAGAAACACTTCAAACAGAAACTTGAATTCAAACAGAAATGATTCAAACAGAAATGTCTTGGAATGGTGAAACAGAAACACACTGATTCAAACAGAAATGTCTTGGAATGGTGAAACAGAAACACTCCAGACTGATTCAAACAGAAATGTCTTGGAATGGTGAAACAGAAACACTCCAGACTGATTCAAACAGAAATGTCTTGGAATGGTGAAACAGAAACACTCCAGACTGATTCAAACAGAAATGTCTTGGAATGGTGAAACAGAAACACTCCAGACTGATTCAAACAGAAATGTCTTGGAATGGTGAAACAGAAACACTTGAGACTGATTCAAACAGAAATGTCTTGGAATGGTGAAACAGAAACACTCCAGACTGATTCAAACAGAAATGTCTTGGAATGGTGAAACAGAAACACTTGAGACTGATTCAAACAGAAATGTCTTGGAATGGTGAAACAGAAACACTCCAGACTGATTCAAACAGAAATGTCTTGGAATGGTGAAACAGAAACACTCCAGACTGATTCAAACAGAAATGTCTTGGAATGGTGAAACAGAAACACTCCAGACTGATTCAAACAGAAATGTCTTGGAATGGTGAAACAGAAACACTCCAGACTGATTCAAACAGAAATGTCTTGGAATGGTGAAACAGAAACACTCCAGACTGATTCAAACAGAAATGTCTTGGAATGGTGAAACAGAAACACTCCAGACTGATTCAAACAGAAATGTCTCGGAATGGTGAAACACTCCAGACTGATTCAAACAAAAATGTCTTGGAATGGTGAAACACTCCAGACTGATTCAAACAGAAATGTCTTGGAATGGTGAAACAGAAACACTCCAGACTGATTCAAACAGAAATGTCTCGGAATGGTGAAACAGAAACACTCCAGACTGATTCAAACAGAAATGTCTCGGAATGGTGAAACAGAAACACTCCAGAATGATTCAAACAGAAATGTCTTGGAATATGAAACAGAAACACTTGAGACTGATTAAAACAGAAATGCCTAAGAATAGTGAAACACAGCACTTTTGCCAAAAACCGATATGTCTTTTTCGAATGTGGATAAGAATCACAATAGTAAGATATGGTCATTGCTTTAACTGTAACCTACATATTAGCATTAAAATTCACAAACAACATTTATAATTATGATCAAACAGAGAACTGATATCAGTCTGGTTTCCTTATAGTGTTAATGGGTGTGACACTCTAAAGGAAAGTTCACCAGGTCTTTGTTCTTTTCCAGAATACTTTTTACAGTTGACACATTTCCTTGTGCAGCTGCAGTGACAATCTGTTCCGGTCCAACAGCTCTGCTTGTCAAGGTATCCAATACTAGCAAGTGGGCAATCATACGTGTCAGTCCATCTGACATTTCAGCAGCAGCAGAACCTGTTAATATATAGTTGTAAACAACAACTACGGAAACGTATTACGGCCACGTTGTGTTTTATTTTAACTCGAAATATCGAGATAGTAACTCGAAATTTCGAATTAGTAATCCGAAATTTTGAGTAAGTAATCAGAAATTTCGAGAGAGCGACTCGACATTTTGAGTTAGTAATACGAAATTTTGAATTTATAGGTTTCGGGTTCGACTTACTAACTCAAAATTTCGGATAACTAACCACGTTCTGTTTTATTTTAACTCGAAATTTCGAGTTAGTAATCCGAAATTTTGAGATATTAACCCGAAATTTCGAGAGAGCGACTCGAAATTTGGAGTTAGTAACTCAAAATTTCGAGTTAGTAATACAAAATTTGGAGTTAATAAGTTTCGGGTTCGACTTACTAACTCTAAATTTTGGATTACTAACTCGAAATTTCGAGTGGCTATCTCGAAATGTCGTGTTTATATCTTAAAATTTCGGATAACTAACTCAAAATTTCGTGTAATGGTAAGTAGCTTTAAGGTGTCACGGAAAAAGACATTTTGTCATTGATGATAGTTAGACTCAAGTGATAGGATTTAAGCCAGGGTCGACATATGCATACCATTAAACTGTCATCCTATACTAATATTGCTAACGTAAGTCTGAATGCTTTACTATCCAAAATAAACATATATTGCATTTATTCTCAAAAATGTAATTTACCTATGTAAACAACAATAAACTTAACCTTATCGCCACGGGAAAAAAATGTAATTTACTATCTCTGATACCACATCTGTTATATGATTGTGTATCTATACTGACACCTGATACCACATCTGTTATATGATTGTGTATCTATACTGACACCTGATACCACATCTGTTATATGATTGTGTATCTATACTGACTACACACCTGATACCACATCTGTTATATGATTGTGTATCTATACTGATACCACATCTGTTATATATGATCTATGTGAATCTATACTGACTACACACCTGATACCACATCTGTTATATGATTGTGTATCTATGACTACACACCTGATACCACATCTGTTATATGATTGTGTATCTATACTACACACCTGATACCACATCTGTTATATCTGTGTATCTATTGACATATTTATATGATTGTGTATCTATACACACCTGATACCACATCTGTTATATGATTGTGTATCTATACTGACTACACACCTGATACCACATCTGTTATATGATTGTGTATCTATACTGACTACACACCTGATACCACATCTGTTATATGATTGTGTATCTATACTGACTACACACCTGATACCACATCTGTTATATGATTGTGTATCTATACTGACTACACACCTGATACCACATCTGTTATATGATTGTGTATCTATATTGACTACACACCTGATACCACATCTGTTATATGATTGTGTATCTATACTGACTACACACCTGATACCACATCTGTTATATGATTGTGTATCTATACTGACTACACACCTGATACCACATCTGTTATATGATTGTGTATCTATACTGACTACACACCTGATACCACATCTGTTATATGATTGTGTATCTATACTGACTACACACCTGATACCACATCTGTTATATGATTGTGTATCTATACTGACTACACACCTGATACCACATCTGTTATATGATTGTGTATCTATACTGACTACACACCTGATACCACATCTGTTATATGATTGTGTATCTATACTGACACCTGATACCACATCTGTTATATGATTGTGTATCTATACTGACTACACACCTGATACCACATCTGTTATATGATTGTGTATCTATACTGACTACACACCTGATACCACATCTGTTATATGATTGTGTATGATCTATACACACCTATATCTGTTATATGATTGTGTATCTATACTGACACCTGATACCACATCTGTTATATGATTGTGTATCTATACTGACTACACACCTGATACCACATCTGTTATATGAATGTGTATCTATATTGACTACACACCTGATACCACATCTGTTATATGATTGTGTATCTATACTGACTACACACCTGATACCACATCTGTTATATGATTGTGTATGACTACACACCTATACCACATCTGTTATATGATTGTGTATCTATACACACCTGATACCACATCTGTTATATGAATGTGTATCTATACTGACTACACACCTGATACCACATCTGTTATATGATTGTGTATCTATACTGACTACACACCTGATACCACATCTGTTATATGATTGTGTATCTATACTGACTACACACCTGATACCACATCTGTTATATGATTGTGTATCTATTCTGACACCTGATACCACATCTGTTATATGATTGTGTATCTATACTGACTACACACCTGATACCACATCTGTTATATGATTGTGTATCTATACTGACTACACACCTGATACCACATCTGTTATATGATTGTGTATCTATACTGACTACACACCTGATACCACATCTGTTATATGATTGTGTATCTATACTGACTACACACTGATACCACACACCTGATACCACATCTGTTATATGATTGTGTGTATACACACCTGATACCATACTACACACCTGATACCACATCTGTTATATGATTGTGTATCTATACTGACTACACACCTGATACCACATCTGTTATATGATTGTGTATCTATACTGACTACACACCTGATACCACATCTGTTATATGATTGTGTATCTATACTGACTACACACCTGATACCACATCTGTTATATGATTGTGTATCTTTACTGACTACTCTACTGTTTTACATTCTTTTTTATGTTTGTTTATCTTTATTGACACCTGATACCACATCTGTTATATGATTGTGTATCTATACTGTTATATGATTGTGACTACACACCTGATACCACATCTGTTATATGATTGTGTATACACACCTATACCACATCTGTTATATGATTGTGTACTATACTGACTACACACCTGATACCACATCTGTTATATGATTGTGTATCTATACTGACTACACACCTGATACCACATCTGTTATATGATTGTGTATCTATACTGACTACACACCTGATACCACAACTGTTATATGAATGTGTATCTATACTGACAACACACCTGATACCACATCTGTTATATGATTGTGTATCTATACTGACACCTGATACCACATCTGTTATATGATTGTGTATCTATACTGACTACACACCTGATACCACATCTGTTATATGATTGTGTATCTATACTGTATCTATACTACACACCTGATACCACATCTGTTATATGATTGTGTATCTATACTGACTACACACCTGATACCACATCTGTTATATGATTGTGTATCTATACTGACTACACACCTGATACCACATCTGTTATATGATTGTGTATCTATACTGACTACACACCTGATACCACATCTGTTATATGATTGTGTATCTATATTGACTACACACCTGATACCACATCTGTTATATGATTGTGTATCTATACTGACACCTGATACCACATCATCTGTTATATGATTGTGTATCTATACTGACTACACACCTGATACCACATCTGTTATATGATTGTGTATCTATACTGACTACACACCTGATACCACATCTGTTATATGATTGTGTATCTATACTGACTACACACCTGATACCACATCTGTTATATGATTGTGTATCTATACTGACTACACACCTGATACCACATCTGTTATATGATTGTGTATCTATACTGACTACACACCTGATACCACATCTGTTATATGATTGTGTATCTATACTGACTACACACCTGATACCACATCTGTTATATGATTGTGTATCTCTCCTGACACCTGATACCACATCTGTTATATGATTGTGTATCTATACTGACTACACACCTGATACCACATCTGTTATATGATTGTGTATCTATACTGACTGATATATGATTACACACCTGATACCACATCTGTTATATGATTGTGTATCTATACTGACTACACACCTGATACCACATCTGTTATATGATTGTGCTGACTACACACCTATACCACATCTGTTATATGATTGTGACTACACACCTGATACCACATCTGTTATATGGTCTGTGTATCTAAACGCTACACAGCTAAATACCACATCTGTTATATGATTTTCACTACTCTGCCTACCTTGTTTATCGCCTAGTACACACAATAGAATAGAAAATAGAAGTACTTATAACACAGCCAATAGAATATCTTCTTCTATTTATGTTATATATGTCAATTATATTGGATTAAGCATCCAGAATAGAATATTACGACAGTATTCTTTCATATATAATGTGTAACAGAGTTAGTATAATAGAAAGTTGATCTGTAATATGTACACATGTACACGTTAGTATGCTTAATTATAATTCAAGGAACATAAACTGATGAAAAATTTAGTAAAGAAGCACGAATTGAAAACAAATATAAAGTGGCTTCATAGGAGGGGGGGGTTTCACTTTACCATGGACTTTATCATACCTACACCAGCACTGATGTCATCATACCAACCAGTTGAATTGAACCGTCAAGTTAAGCATGCAAGCAAGTTTAATTGCGATTGATACAGATAAAATGGGCAAAAGAATTGTGTATTACATCACACTTTACCATGGACTTTATCATACCTACACCGGCACTGATGTCATCATACCAACCAGTTGAATTGAACCGTCAAGTTAAGCATGCAAGCAAGTTTAATTGCGATTGATACAGATAAAATGGGCAAAAGAATTGTGTATTACATCACTCTTAATCTATGTTGAGCATGGCTGCTTCATACACCTCATTATTTCCGGTCTAAAACCGGAACCCCAAAATAATGTAACATCAATCGTCTACCCAGTGGTGATAGCGAACTAACTCACTGCGACATTATAATGGGTTACCTATATCAATGTATTATATTATAACAATGTATTTCATATGATTTAACACTGAAGATTAATGTAACCAGAGTATACAAGCCTTGTCCACTTCATCATCCCAACCTCCGTGGTTCTTCTGCATCAACTCAACTTTCTTCTTGTCTCCTAGTACACGAACAATGTCATTGACTTTGAAAGTGTCCACCTATAAATGATTGACGACCTTAAACACGACTATGTCAGGCTGTAAAGGGAGAGAGGGCAATACATTCTGACCTATCACCAGTATTCTATTCATACACCCCTCTCTCAGACTGACCTATTACACATGTTCTATTTATACATCCCTCTCTCAGACTGACCTATCACCAGTATTCTATTTATACATCCCTCTCTCAGACTGATCTATCACACATGTTCTATTTATACACCCCTCTCTCAGACTGACCTATCACACATGTTCTATTTATACACCCCTCTCTCAGACTGACCTATCACACATGTTCTATTTATACACCCCTCTCTCAGACTGACCTATCACACATGTTCTATTTATACACCCCTCTCTCAGACTGACCTATCACACATGTTCTATTTATACACCCCTCTCTCAGACTGACCTATCACACATGTTCTATTTATACACCCCTCTATCAGACTGACCTATCACACATGTTCTATTTATACACCCCTCTCTCAGACTGACCTATCACACATGTTCTATTTATACACCCCTCTCTCAGACTGACCTATCACACATGTTCTATTTATACACCCCTCTATCAGACTGACCTATCACACATGTTCTATTTATACACCCCTCTATCAGACTGACCTATCACACATGTTCTATTTATACACCCCTCTCTCAGACTGACCTATCACACATGTTCTATTTATACACCCCTCTCTCAGACTGACCTATCACACATGTTCTATTTATACACCCCTCTCTCAGACTGACCTATCACACATGTTCTATTTATACACCCCTCTCTCAGACTGACCTATCACACATGTTCTATTTATACACCCCTCTCTCAGACTGAACTATCACACATGTTCTATTTATACACCCCTCTCTCAGACTGACCTATCACACATGTTCTTTTGATTTCAGGCAGTCAGCTGCATACAATGAGAATATATAAAAGGTTTAGAAATCCCGATCGCTGATCTGGTTCAGTTTGCTGAAAGTGCTTCATCTAAATTATACAAAATGATTCCCCTTCACCCAAGTATGCTTCTGACCAAATCGTGCAAAAATCCTAACAATTCTACAAAAGAAAAAAGATCTTTTAAATAATTTATTCTCGTTTTCCTGTCGGGATCTGCCTGTCTTACCTCAGAGGGGAAGAATTAGGATAATATGAATTTGATCAATTTCCCCTATTGGGCCACACCACTCGAATCCCAGGGGCACGAGATGAACCGTTTATACAAGATTGATTCCCCTTCACTCCTTCAATTCAGACTGAATTTCAGGAAAATCCAATCATTCCTACAGGAATTCCCCCACCTCGCCCCCAGACTCCATAATTCATACAATTGTTTGCCCTTCTCCCCAAAGGATGTTTCTGACCCAAGGCCTAACGCTTGTACTATGGCATCAGCTGATTGGTCCTTATACCCAAGGCCTAACGCTTGTACTATGGCATCAGCTGATTGGTCCTTATACCCAAGGCCTAACGCTTGTACTATGGCATCAGCTGATTGGTCCTTATACCCAATGCCTAACCTCTGTAGTATGGCATCAGCTGATTGGTCCTTAGACCCAAGGCCTAACGCTTGTACTATGGCATCAGCTGATTGGTCCTTATACCCAAGGCCTAACGCTTGTACTATGGCATCAGCTGATTGGTCCTTATACCCAAGGCCTAACGCTTGTAGTATGGCATCAGCTGATTGGTCCTTATACCCAAGGCCTAACGCTTGTACTATGGCATCAGCTGATTGGTCCTTAGACCCAAGGCCTAACGCTTGTACTATGGCATCAGCTGATTGGTCCTTATACCCAAGGCCTAACGCTTGTACTATGGCATCAGCTGATTGGTCCTTAGACCCAATGCCTAACGCCTGTACTATGGCATCAGCTGATTGGTCCTTATACCCAAGGCCTAACCTCTGTAGTATGGCATCAGCTGATTGGTCCTTATACCCAAGGCCTAACCTCTGTAGTATGGCATCAGCTGATTGGTCCTTAGACCCAATGCCTAACGCCTGTACTATGGCATCAGCTGATTGGTCCTTAGACCCAATGCCTAACGCCTGTACTATGGCATCAGCTGATTGGTCCTTATACCCAAGGCCTAACGCTTGTACTATGGCATCAGCTGATTGGTCCTTATACCCAAGGCCTAACCTCTGTAGTATGGCATCAGCTGATTGGTCCTTATACCCAAGGCCTAACGCTTGTAGTATGGCATCAGCTGATTGGTCCTTAGACCCAATGCCTAACACCTGTAGTATGGCATCAGCTGATTGGTCCTTATACCCAAGGCCTAACGCCTGTAGTATAGCATCAGCTAATCGGTCTAAAGGGCCATGTGAGCTAAAATGAACATATCTTATAATATATTTATTCGTTATGAATTTGTTGTGTACCTTTGACAGTGCCCCTTTGTAGAACTGCCATGTAGATCCACTGTACTCTACTTCAATTGTTGATTCATCGACTATCCTCGTCACCCTCATCGTCTCACCAACACACTACAACAACCAGAATCGTAAGGTCAAGGTCAAAACTTAAAGTAAGTTTTCATTATATCAGAATTCACTGATGATATATCAATACAAATTCTATAAGAGAACATGTCTGAAAATTATGTCGATCATGCCAAAATTTTAATAGGAATGCAAAAACGAGTCAGCCGATGCCGGTTCTCCCCAGGAATAATCAGAAACAACATTGTCAAACAATTGGATTATTTACCTCACTCATGCGCATGCTCCAGCCCCCATGACCTCTCTGTACTTTCTTTAAAGATTCTGGTGGAAGATGGACGCAGACCTTGTCACCCACATTGAACTTTGAACTTGAATTTGTAGGGCGTGGAGACTGCCGGTTAATTGCCACTTTTGGTTTCACCCCTGTGTCCTGGCTGATGGCTCCTTCAGTAAAAAAGTCATAAACAATCGATTAGCTGTTGAGGGACAAAATTGCATGTCAACATTATGTTAACGTTACAACATACTGTGGCTCTCGATAGGAACACTGTTTTCTCCCTCACAAGAGATTTACGTGATCATCAGGGAAAGACAAATATATGGTTGTCAAGGGGACGATAACTCACACACAGTGTTAGCAGCAGCATTTATATTGCGTAATTTGTCAGAACTAGATATAGTTATGGATTTCAACATTTCATGGACCATTCGTGGTGGCCAATATTGAGAGCTCACAACGCCTTCCAATATGTTAAGAAAACGCGGAAGAAATATTTTTTGTGTAATGTAGACACCCTAACATTGGGAATAAGACACAATATCAGACGCAAGTTTACTCTCTCAACACCAATGAGGTAAAAAGTGCTATTATCTTGAGATATTCAAGATTTTGTGGTGAATACGATTTAACTGCTCAGTATCGACAAATACCAGCAACTGGTAGGTGTTCCTGTAAGTAGTAGAACCCCCGCGCCTCCTCAACACATTTTACATCCACTTTTCCCTGACTGCCAACACGGTAAACATTCGATTCGTTGTTTGGCCATTTGACCTTAACAGCATTCCTCGTGCCGACAGCAGCACCATAAGGTCGGATGTCCACAACCGTGCCTTTTGATCCAATACCGCCTACACCAAGACAACAGTCAAATGAAAAGTACATATTTTTTTAAACAATATTTAAAAACCACACACATAGAAAGAAATATCTTTTGTTTCAACACCGTTCTTCCTTTCACAAATATTTCATTAACTTGGTAATTGTTGAAAGGCTTAAACTTGTGTTTACAAAATACTTCTAAATGAAAATAAGGTAATGAGTCGAAAAATGTGCGTGCATACCATCCTGGTCTCCAAATTCCCAGTGAGGTCCCCGTTGGACCTTGGCCCCAGGGAGGATCCCAACAGCCCGAATCTTGGTTCCAGTCGACCTCTTCATTACCGCCACCCTGCAGCAGTGATATGCGGTGAGAACATGGTACTAACTGGGTGATAGTTTAGACAGGTTTGATTTATCATCAGTTATCAGTTTTAACTAGGTAACGGTTTAATGTATCATCAGTTATCAGTTTTAACTAGGTAACGGTTTAATGTATCATCAGTTATCAGTTTTAACTAGGTAACGGTTTAATGTATCATCAGTTATCAGTTTTAACTAGGTAACGGTTTAATGTATCACCAGTTATCAGTTTTAACTAGGTAACGGTTTAATGTATCACCAGTTATAAGTTTTAACTAGGTAACGGTTTAATGTATGATTAGTTATCAGTTTTAACTAGGTAACGGTTTAATGTATCATCAGTTATCAGTTTTAACTAGGTAACGGTTTAATGTATGATTAGTTATCAGTTTTAACTAGGTAACGGTTTAATGTATCATCTGTTATCAGTGTACTACCCTTTTACCGAACAGATTTAAAACATTCATGTTTACCACGAGGTGCCTGGTGTTTCCTTGCGATGAAAGGGATGGTCTAAGTCATGCACACTCGTGAAATAGCAGGAACTGCAAAGGTCAACATCCGGGCACTGTGTACACTGCCAGCGCATGCCAAGAATTATCTTTCCACAATTGTTACAATTCACGTCAGCGTGCTTTGCCCCTAAAACGTAAAAAAAACTAAATTTGAATAGTGATTGATCTGTGAGTATGGTAGATGTTCAGAAGATCATATAGTTATTATCATGAACAGTGAATACATGTATCCTATCACAGATGTCATTTTCTCATGACGATATTACAACTGCTGTTATGTACACGTTATGTTTTATGTTCAATAACATACTTACCAATTGGAGCATTATCCCAAATCCGCAGGTCGTATTTTCCGCCTTTACCCGCTCGGCAGTTAGTTTTACCGCCCTTGTCCCAAATCACGTCATAATTATCCTCGTTGTCCATGACAACTGTTCCAATGTGACCTTCACCCTGATCGGCGTTTCCATGACACCAGTCTGGACCACGGACAACACGTAACCCCACAGACATGTTATATATCCTCTGTAAACGAGTAAACAAGAGATCCCAGAGGACGACCATCATTGTTTGGTCAACACGTAACCCCACAGACATGTTAAATACCCTCTGTAAACGAGTAAACAAGAGATCCCAGAGGACGTCCATCATTGTTTGACCTTTATTTGTTCTAAAAGTTAGATCGTTTTTCTTCTTTCTTTTCTCTTTTCTGCTCTTGCTCTAAACGATACAAAGTTTGAACATTCCTTTGCAGAAATAGAGAATAAGAAATTCGAGGAAGATTGATAGAATAATTACAATAACAAACTTTACCAGGCGAAAAGAAAGATGGGCGTCTGTCGGCCATTTTACATTTCTGATCAGTCCCAAAATCAAACGGGCACAACTACTGACCAAGTGGAACCTGCATATGAATTGTGAGAGAGACCCATCCTCTACTTCATCTCGGCTATTCTGTGAGAAAGATTCAACAAATTTTCTCAAGAAATAAATATAACAAACTTAATTGCAAAAATCCAAGATGGCTAATCGCTAATTAAGCTAAGCGACATTTCCCTTAGGTCAATAGAGGAATAGACTATGACATACTCACAAAAACATATTTCACACCATGACGAAACTTTAAAAATGCATTCAATACTTATAATAAATAAGAAATAACTAAAATGTGAATAGGACCCGAAAATTGTTTTTGACAGATAAATATCAGGACATTAACCGATGGAGTGCGCTAGAGTGGAGGGCCCTGGCGTGAGGGCCCTGGCGTGGAGGGCCCTAGCGTAGTGGGGTCCTAGTGTGGAGGGCCCTGGCGTGGAGAGCCCTAGCGATGTGGGACCCAAGCGTGGAGGTTCAGATCACTTTATTACATGTGTTCTCAACGTTTACCGATGGAGGGTGCTAGCGTGGAGGGTATTAGCATGGAGGGTCCTAGCGTGGCGGGCCCTGGCGTGGAGTACTTTAGCGTAAAATTAGCGTAGAGGACCCTGGCGTTGAGTATTCTAACGTGGAACTAGCGTGGAGGACACTGACGTGGAGGACCCTAGTGTGGAGGACCTTGGAATAGGGGGCCTAAGCGTGGATGGCCCTGACGTGGAGGACCCTAGCGTGGAGGACACTGGCGTGGAGGGTCTTAGCGTGGATGGCCTTGCATGGTTGGTCCTGGCGTGGAGGGACATAAAGACATGTATGAAGACGTCTTTATCGTCCCTCAACATCCCACCGGAAAAATCGAGGAAAGCAGTCCGACGTCAACATTGTCTTTTGTCGTTTTGACACCTATTACAATCTTGCATAAACTCATCTACACACACAACTGAAAGCTGTCTCTATAATTATGTCCACCCTGCTAGAATTTTGACAGGGAAATGTTGCCAGCTGTTTACAAACACAAATTTGAAAATGGACCCACGCATTTCTGAAATATCACGGTTTAAAGAAATGTTCGTTTTTGGCTTAACGGAATTTAAAACAATATAGAGAGCGTTTCAAGGACAGTGACCGATAAGGTCATATGAGATTTAAGCTCTCAGATACGTTTGGTTATTTTCTGTGCGTTACTATATTGGTTCTTTGCTGACTTGAGTCGGTTTGTAAGATATCCCAGTACGGCAGAATGCCTGTAATTGACGGTAAATATGTATCGCTTTTAGGCGATAATGTTCTCAAGGCGATGCCAAACTCTGATCAGATGGAAATCAAAGTGACGCTGTAATTGAATAAAACAAACCGAAAAAAACCCAAACAAACAAATTTTCTCAATATTAACATTAATCTACATTTCCGTTAATTAAGTATATGAAATTGTACGATCACACGACCAATAGAATTTGTCCAGCTGGATCGCTATATAATTTACTGCTATAGATAACGTTGTTGTACATTCATGGTACATTACGGTAAATATATTCTTATGGCAATGCGGATTTCTTTATACAAAATGCGGGGAACGGCGTGATTTGATGTACACTTGTCATAAAGTTATAACAAAAAATCACTTTTATCACTGGTGTTGCTGTGTAAGTCTGTTTCTAAATTGCACGTATTTTTTTCATCATGAAGAACCAATGTAGTTTCGGTTTACGTATATAAACCATCGACAAAGCATACATGCAATGTTGTTAAGATACATTTAAAAAGTAAAACTTTGAAGTTTTAATTTTTACGTTGCCCTAAAATGTGTTTCTGAATTCAATAACCAAACAATAAAGATAAAGGCTCGGTAAACTGCGCATAAAACAACAAAATGTTGTCATCAAAATCCAGAAGAGGTCTGAAGTTAATAAACGAACAGAAATAATAGTTACATACTCATTATGACACATTTTATGAACAACATTCACACTAACCTCTAGATGTCAGAATATATTGCCTAAAGAGGATCCCAAATACAATCTCGTAAGAGGTCCAATACGGAGTCTTTAACTTCAGGAAGTAAATAACAACAACGGAAATTCCCAGAACTATAATATAACCTGTAACTGAATATGGAAACCTCTACAGAGCGACGTACCGTGCACCTGTAACTGAATATGGAAACCCCTACAGAGCGACGTACCATGTACCTGTAACTGAATATGGAAACCCCTACAGACCGACGTACCGTGCACCTGTAACTGAATATGGAAACCCCTACAGAGCGACGTACCGCGAACCTGTTAATGGATATGGAAACCCCTACAGAGCGACGTACCACGCACCTGTAACTGAATATGGTAATCCCTACAGACCGACGTACCGTGCACATGTAACTGAATATGGTAATCCCTACAGAGCGACGTACCGCGCACCTGTAACTGAAAATGGGAACCCCTACAGAGCGACGTATCGTGAACCTGTTAATGGATATGTTAACCCCTACAGACCGACGTACCGTGTACCTGTAACTGAATATGGTAACCCCTACAGACCGACGTACCGCGTACCTGTTACTGGATATGTTAACCGACGTGCTATGAAAATGTAACGTTTTGTGGGAACCCCTACATACTGCTGTATCGTACAGATGTAACTGAATATGGTACCCAGTCCAAACCAAACGTTGAATTGTACTACGCGAGAATAATTGAGGATGTCACGCAGAACATTTGCATACTCTCTTTTTGGCAAATACATGTTATTTTTGGTAAAAGAAAAAAATTGTAAAATTATTAACGACCACTTTCTTTCCTCTGATTGGTCAACCTGTGTTTTAATTTCCTTTGACATTTCTGCTGATACGGGCTTCCGTACGTCTTGTTGCCACACAAGGTAATATTGGATACCAAGAATCTATAGGTTTTCACTGAAGCTGTTGTGATTTTCTCGTTTGATATATGTGTGTTTAGAATCAATATCATCGACTGTGTGAAGCATTTTAAATTAGTGTAAATAATTTACTAACCAACTAACATTGTAAGTTGCTGTAAATTACACCTGTTGTACACCTGCAGTGTATTGGACATGATTTAGGCATGCATCATACATATATATAGATTGTCGACTGGTTTCGTGGAAGTGTTGATGTATACACATATAGGCCACATTGTGATCGGTTACTAGCTACGTGTACTTTAATTTACACAATTTGTGAATTAATTGTAAGGCGGTGGAAATGAGAATTATCGATATGATAATCAACATTCTTCAGTACAATCAATTACATTAACTGTCCTACAGCCGTGACGATGTATACATGTAGGTCTAGCTATACGTTCCTGGGTATATATTTGTCCCTATATCTATGTTAATGTGTCCTACAGCCGTGACGATGTATACAGGTAGGTCTAGCTATAGGTTCCCCGGTATACCTTTGTCCCTATATCTATGTTAATGTGTCCGACAGCCGTGACGATGTATACAGGTAGGTCTAGCTATAGGTTCCCCGGTATACCTTTGTCCCTATATCTATGTTAATGTGTCCTACAGCCGTGAGGATGTATACAGGTAGGTCTAGCTATAGGTTCCCCGGTATACCTTTGTCCCTATATCTATGTTAATGTGTCCGACAGCCGTGACGATGTATACAGGTAGGTCTAGCTATACGTTCCCCGGTATACCTTTGTCCCTATATCTATGTTAATGTGTCCTACAGCCGTGACGATGTATACATGTAGGTCTAGCTACACGTTCACGGGTATACCTTTGTCCCTATATCTATGTTAATGTGTCCTACAGCCGTGACGATGTATACATGTAGGTCTAGCTACACGTTCCCCGGTATACCTTTGTCCCTATATCTGTGTTAAAGTGTCCTACAGCCGTGACGATGTATACATGTAGGTCTAGCTACACGTTCACGGGTATACCTTTGTCCCTATATCCATGTTAAAGTGTCCTACAGCCGTGACGATGTATACATGTAGGTCTAGCTATACGTTCACGGGTATACCTTTGTCCCTATATCTATGTTAAAGTGTCCTACAGCCGTGACGATGTATACAGGTAGGTCTAGCTACACGTTCCCGGTATACCTTTGTCCCGATATCCATGTTAATGTGTCCTACAGCCGTGACGATGTATACATGAAGGTCTAGCTACACGTTCACGGGTATACCTTTGTCCCTATATCTATGTTAAAGTGTCCTGCAGCCGTGACGATGTATACAGGTAGGTCTAGCTACACGTTCCCCGGTATACCTTTGTCCCTATATCTGTGTTAAAGTGTCCTACAGCCGTGACGATGTATACATGTAGGTCTAGCTACACGTTCCTGGGTATACCTTTGTCCCTATATCTATGTTAAAGTGTCCTGCAGCCGTGACGATGTATACAGGTAGGTCTAGCTACACGTTCCCCGGTATACCTTTGTCCCTATATCTATGTTAAAGTGTCCTGCAGCCGTGACGAAGTATACATGTAGGTCTAGCTGCACGTTCACGGGTATACCTTTGTCCCTATATCTATGTTAAAGTGTCCTACAGCCGTGACGATGTATACATGTAGGTCTAGCTATACGTTCCCAGGTATACCTCTGTCCCTATATCTGTGTTAAAGTGTCCTACAGCCGTGAGGATGTTTACATGTAGGTGTAGCTATACGTCCCCAGGTATACCTTTGTCCCTATATCTATGTTAAAGTGTCCTACAGCCGTGAGGATGTATACAGTTAGGTCTAGCTATACGTCCCCATGTATACCTTTGTCCCTATATCTATGTTAAAGTGTTCTACAGCCGTGAGGATGTATACATGTAGGTCTAGCTATACGTCCCCAGGTATACCTTTGTCCCTATATCTATGTTAAAGTGTCCTAAAGCCGTGAGGATGTATACATGTAGGTCTAGCTATACGTCCCCAGGTATACCTCTGTCCCTATATCTAAAGTGTCCTACAGCCGTGAGGATGTATACCTGTAGGTCTAGCTATACGTCCCCAGGTATACCTCTGTCCCTATATCTAAAGTGTCCTACAGCCGTGAGGATGTATACATGTAGGTCTAGCTATACGTCCCCAGGTATACCTTTGTCCCTATATCTATGTTAAAGTGTCCTACAGCCGTGACGATGTATACATGTAGGTCCCCGGTATACCTCTGTCCCTATATCTATGTAAATGTTGATTTTAAGACCATTTTCGAGCTTTTCAGCATGTAAAAGTCATTTCTGACAAAATTGCAAATTTTTTCAAGCAGTGTTAGCTTGAAAATTTTCAAAAATTTAATTTAAATCTTAAAAGCTAAAATACCAAATTTTCTTCATGTCTCCATAGTTTTTACGAATATTTCTGCCTTTTCAACATTTTCCATCTGTTTTAGGCATTGTCAGCTTGCGGATATTGAGATATTCAATTCATCAAAATACATTTTTTTTGAAGCATTGTCAGTTTGAATTTCCATAAAAATTGGAAAAAAAATCCATCTTGAAATGTTGATTTTAAGACTATTTTGGTGTTTTTCAGCATGGAAATGTAATTTCTGATAAAAGTGCAAATTCTGTCAAGAATTGTCCGCTTGAAAATTTTCAAAAATTAAATTTCATTTTTAAATGATAAAATACCACATTTTCTTTATGTCTCTATAGTTTTTATGACTATTTCTCGCTATTTCGACATTTTACATCAGTTTGGAAGCATTGTCAGCTTGCGGATATTGAGGTATTTAAGAACTCTTCAAAATACAAATTTTTTGCAGCATTGTCAGATTCAATTTTCCATGAAAAATTGAAAAAATCTGTATTATGCTTGAAATGTTGATTTTAAGACCATTTTCGTGTTTTTCAGCATGAAAAAGTCATTTTTGAAAAAAGTGCAAATTTTGTCAAGCATTGTCAGCTTGAAAATTTTCAAAAATTTTAATTCCATTTTTAAAAGCTAAAATATCGCATTTTCTTCATGTCTCTATATTTTATACGACTATTTCTCGCTTTTTCGACATTTTCCATCATTTTGGAAGGATTTTCAGCTTGTGGATATTGACATATTCAAGAGTTCTTCAAAATACAAAATTTTTGAAGCATTGTTAGCTTGTTTTTTACCACATGTTGGAAGTTGAAGTCTTACAAGAAGTGATGATTGTAATGATGAGTCTGGATATTCAAGACATTTGAGTGAGAAATGCAGTCGGAAATGCAATGTAGACTGACGGAATTTTAAAAATTTCAATTCATAGTGAAACCGACCTAGTTTTTGACTGGACAAACCAGAATCATAAGAGATGTTTGTGTTTCTGATAAGACAGTGACAGGATTTTTTAACATTTATATAGTGACCAAATTTTACAAGCACACAAGGTTTGAAGTCAAATTTATACAAGAACTGATGTTATCTTGTGTGTGGAGTTCTGTGACTTTTAGATGAGAAATAAGCCTGTAGAAGGGTAACATTCTTTATGCAGGAAGAAGAACCTACATACATTCAGCAGGTTGTGAGGGTATAATAACTTTCAGAGCAAGGAAAATATATATTTTTTCAAAGAAGAGAAAAAATGTTCCTGAAATTCTGTTTTAACATGAAAACCTATATATACTATGTGCTTATAGCAAAAATCCAGAATGCTGAATAGCATACACTCATTGAAATTGATGTTACTCTTAAATTACCGACACCAACGCATAGAGGATTGAGAGGAGACATGATTCAAGTATACAAACTAACACATGGAGGATATGATAGGGCTGTCGCTGAGGATAGCAAGAGGGCACAGTCTTCAACTATTAAAAAGAAGGAGCAGACTTAATCTGAGGAAGTATTCTTTCTGTGAACGGGTAGTTAACCACTGGAATTCACTTCCTAATGCCGTTGTAACGTCACCAACAATCCAAACTTTCGAAATCCTGATTGGATAATCATTGGAGGCAAACTGAACATGTTTATAATCATGAACTATACAATAACACACTGATCCATATTCGGGATGCTAATTCTTTTTAACTCTGATATGGATATATAGGCTTGTTAAACCTGTGTCCAGTATATCACTATTATTATATTGCTTTTGGTCTATAAAGGTAACAAGTGACCCAAGGGCCTTAATGGTTACCTTAGTTACAATACTGTTGTTGTCTAATACCATTTCATAGAAACAAACTTGTTGATAAAGAGAGATAACCTGAACTTGTTTGTACATGTGATGCAAATGTTGACTGTATATAACATTAATTTGCATCTCAACATTAGCTTTGAGTTACAAAATATTAGTCCTACATGGACTATTGCATGCTAATTGGTTCTATTATATCTAGTTATTGAAATTTGAGTTAATTACCCCTTTAGGACCTCTGGAGGTCAGCCAAGGTCAATACATGCATATCATCAATCTGTCATCTTATAGTACAACTCTGAACAAGTTTAAACTATTTCCACCTGAAAATAAAAAAATAATATTCTCATATAAGATTCTAATTTATCTAGGTACTGAAAAGATTTTTGTAATTTACCCTTTTTTGGCCCCGTCCATCAGCCCTTGTGGTCAGCTATGATCAATATGTGACATCATTAACTACCAATTTTAATGAAGTTTAAACCATTTCTAAAAGAAAATGAACAAATGATGTTCAAAACTAATTTCCCTATATATACATATTTTGTATACCGTAAAAACCCACGTAATGTCCGCATCTGTGTAATGTCCGCACCCCTTTTCTGACACAAAAATCTGGGGAACAAACCCACCTTCCATGTAATGTCCGCGGGTAAAAAATGCAAATTGAAGCTGCCGATTTCATTTCACGTACGCTAATGTCGTAATGGCCGAGAGCATGTCGCATTGTGTAAACTTACAGGTACCATTCAAGAATTCACTTAATTGTTTATAACAACAGTTATTCTAACATAATGGTACGGTAAGCTTCAGTATGACAAGTCCTCATTGCGATAATTGGTGTTTTGATATATAGCAGTGTTATAAACAGCTTGGGTCGTCTATCACCTCGAGTGTGATTGACAGCGTGTGATTAGCCAATTAACGGTAACAAGTGACCCAAGGGCCTTAATGGTTACCTTAGTTGACAACCATGTCTAATACCATTTATTACAAACCTTGTTGAGGAAGAGAACTTCAACCTGAAGTTTGTACATGTGATGCAAATGTTGACTGTATATAACATTAATTGGATCTCAACATTAGCTTTTGAGACATCACGTCTGATTATTTATTTACATGTAATATTCCATGTAATTGTTATTTATTGTTATTTTGTAAATTTAGAATGAAAATGTTGTGTTATTTTGATGCTCATGGGGTATGCCAAGGGAATACATGCATACATCAACTGTCATCTTATAGTACAATCTGAACAAGTTTAAACTATTTCCACCTGAAAATAAAAAAATAATATTCTCATATAAGATTCTAATTTATCTAGGTACTGAAAAGATTTTTGTAATTTACCCTTTTTTGGCCCCGCCCATCAGCCCTTGTGGTCAGCTATGATCAATATGTGACATCATTAACTACCAATTTTAATGAAGTTTAAACCATTTCTAAAAGAAAATGAACAAATGATGTTCAAAACTAATTTCCCTATATATACATATTTTGTATACTTTATCCTTTCCCTGGGGGAAAATGTGAGACCTTGGGTCATAAAATTTACAATTTTGGTAAAGCATCTTCAATACCTTTTCATCATGAAGAGTATTTCAATTTCAATGAAGAGTATTTGATTCTGCCAAACTTGGGTTTTTCGACGAGTTTTGAAATGTCTAGCAATTTGACACTTTTTGGCCCCACCCATCAGCCCCTGGAGGATGGGGCCATATAATGTACAATTTTGGTGAACCTTTTACCATGGTAGGTTTCATTGAAATTGAATGCCCAAGTTTTCCAGAAGAATTGAAAAATGTTAAAAGTTAAAATGCTGGACCCTGGATAAAATTCAATCACAACAGGCCCCACTTGTATAAAACAACTCAACTTGAGATTTCCTCAAGTCGAGATTTTCCTCAGCTGATATCTCCTCAAAAACGGCTTGTATAAAATTTTCTCAAGGAACAGGAGGAAGGCATCGGCTAGGATGTCCTGAAATTCCTTGAGGAATTTTCATACAAGATATTTTCAAGGAGATATTAGCTGAGGAAAATCTCGACTTGAGGAAATCTCAAGTTGAGATGTTTTATACAAGTGGGGCCAGGTCACCATGAGACTATGCCTTAGGTGACCTGAAAATTTCGTAATTCAAATGAAAACGAAAATAGATTTCCAAGATTTCTATTTTAATTTGTTCATGTGTCTTCATCTTCATGTCACTCAGGGGCCTTACACACTTTACATAAATCTTCAAATAGAATGTTGTAAACAAATGATAAATTAAAGATGGGATCTGTTGATGCTAGAACAAATTACGACATCTATCTTCTTCTAAGTCAAAACATCACTTCACATCCTAAAGACCCCAAACAATGTCTTTTCCTGAGGAGCATTTAAGGAAGCACTGATGCTGAGTCCGAGGACAGTACGTGTGTCTACTGGATCTATCACGCCATCATCCCATAGCCTGAAATATCAAAAAAGAGTTCATATTCCTGACTTAAACTTAAAATATCAAACACAGTTTTGTCACTGAGTGACAACTGCCTAAAATATGAAACATAGGGAGAAGAACAAAAAACTACCTGATACTGGAGAAATACAATCACCTTACCTGACACTAGAGAAATACAATAATCTTACCTGACACTACAAAAATACAATCACCTTACCTGACACTAGAGAAATACAATCACCTTACCTGACACTGGAGAAATACAATCACCTTACCTGACACTACAGAAATACAATAATCTTACCTGACACTACAGAAATACAATCACCTTACCTGACACTACAGAAATACAATCACCTTACCTGACACTACAGAAATACAATCACCTTACCTGACACTACAGAAATACAATCACCTTACCTGACACTGGAGAAATACAATCACCTTACCTGACACTACAGAAATACAATCACCTTACCTGATACTACAGAAATACAATCACCTTACCTGACACTACAGAAATACAATCACCTTACCTGACACTGGAGAAATACAATCACCTTACCTGATACTACAGAAATACAATCACCTTACCTGACACTACAGAAATACAATCACCTTACCTGACACTGGAGAAATACAATCACCTTACCTGACACTACAGAAATACAATCACCTTACCTGATACTACAGAAATACAATCACCTTACCTGACACTACAGAAATACAATAATCTTACCTGACACTACAGAAATACAATCACCTTACCTGACACTAGAGAAATACAATAACCTTACCTGACACTACAAAAATACAATCACCTTACCTGACACTACAGAAATACAATAACCTTACCTGACACTACAGAAATACAATCACCTTACCTGAGATTTGAGAAATACAATTACCTTACCTGACACTACAGAAATACAATCACCTTACCTGAGATTTGAGAAATACAATTACCTTACCTGACACTACAGAAATACAATCACCTTACCTGACACTACAGAAATACAATCACCTTACCTGACACTACAGAAATACAATCACCTTACCTGACACTACAGAAATACAATCACCTTACCTGACACTACAGAAATACAATCACCTTACCTGAGATTTGAGAAATACAATCATCTTACCTGACACTACAGAAATACAATCACCTTACCTGACACTACAGAAATACAATCACCTTACCTGACACTGGAGAAATACAATAACCTTACCTGACACTACAGAAATACAATCACCTTACCTGAGATTTGAGAAATACAATCATCTTACCTGACACTACAGAAATACAATCACCTTACCTGACACTACAGAAATACAATAACCTTACCTGAGATTTGAGAAATACAATCATCTTACCTGACACTACAGAAATACAATCACCTTACCTGACACTACAGAAATACAATCACCTTACCTGACACTACAGAAATACAATCATCTTACCTGACACTACAGAAATACAATCACCTTACCTGACACTACAGAAATACAATAATCTTACCTGACACTACAGAAATACAATCACCTTACCTGACACTACAGAAATACAATCACCTTACCTGACACTACAGAAATACAATCACCTTACCTGACACTACAGAAATACAATCACCTTACCTGACACTACAGAAATACAATAACCTTACCTGACACTACAGAAATACAATCACCTTACCTGACACTACAGAAATACAATCACCTTACCTGACACTACAGAAATACAATCACCTTACCTGACACTACAGAAATACAATCACCTTACCTGACACTACAGAAATACAATCACCTTACCTGAGATTTGAGAAATACAATCACCTTACCTGACACTACAGAAATACAATCACCTTACCTGACACTACAGAAATACAATAATCTTACCTGACACTACAGAAATACAATCACCTTACCTGAGATTTGAGAAATACAATCATCTTACCTGACACTACAGAAATACAATCACCTTACCTGAGATTTGAGAAATACAATCACCTTACCTGACACTACAGAAATACAATCACCTTACCTGACACTAGAGAAATACAATAACCTTACCTGACACTACAGAAATACAATCACCTTACCTGACACTACAGAAATACAATCACCTTACCTGACACTACAGAAATACAATCACCTTACCTGACACTGGAGAAATACAATCACCTTACCTGACACTACAGAAATACAATCACCTTACCTGACACTACAGAAATACAATCACCTTACCTGACACTGGAGAAATACAATAACCTTACCTGACACTACAGAAATACAATCACCTTACCTGAGATTTGAGAAATACAATTACCTTACCTGACACTACAGAAATACAATCACCTTACCTGACACTGGAGAAATACAATCACCTTACCTGAGATTTGAGAAATACAATCACCTTACCTGACACTACAGAAATACAATCACCTTACCTGACACTACAGAAATACAATCACCTTACCTGACACTGGAGAAATACAATAACCTTACCTGACACTAGAGAAATACAATCACCTTACCTGACACTGGAGAAATACAATCACCTTACCTGACACTACAGAAATACAATCACCTTACCTGACACTGGAGAAATACAATAACCTTACCTGACACTACAGAAATACAATCACCTTACCTGAGATTTGAGAAATACAATTACCTTACCTGACACTACAGAAATACAATCACCTTACCTGACACTGGAGAAATACAATCACCTTACCTGAGATTTGAGAAATACAATCACCTTACCTGACACTACAGAAATACAATCACCTTACCTGACACTGGAGAAATACAATCACCTTACCTGAGATTTGAGAAATACAATCACCTTACCTGACACTACAGAAATACAATCACCTTACCTGACACTGGAGAAATACAATCACCTTACCTGAGATTTGAGAAATACAATCACCTTACCTGACACTACAGAAATACAATCACCTTACCTGACACTGGAGAAATACAATCACCTTACCTGAGATTTGAGAAATACAATCACCTTACCTGACACTACAGAAATACAATCACCTTACCTGACACTGGAGAAATACAATCACCTTACCTGAGATTACCTGACACTACAGAAATACAATCACCTTACCTGACACTACAGAAATACAATAATCTTACCTGACACTGAAGAAGTACTTTCTGGACATTACAAATAGCTAATTAAGTCTTACCTTGCACTGGAAAAGTAAGGATGACCCTCTTTTTCATATTTTTGAATGACTGGAGCCTTAAGAGCTTGCTCCTCTTCCTCTGTCCACTAAAAATAAAAAATGGATTATTTCTGGTAGATTTGGTTTTCACAATGTTTGTGTCATATTATACCGATAGTTTTGGTTGGTAGATTTGATTTGATGTCTAGCAAGCTTTCTGTTTTTAAAGACTATTACTACTGCTATTACAATCAGGTCTTGTAATTTGCTTCCAGATTTGAAATTATTTTAAATATATAATACACTGTTAGTTGAAGCAGGTTATATCCTGTAACAAACATCTCTTTGGCCAAATTTTCAAAAACGGAAAGGATGTGTAGCATACAGAAAAGAAAAGGAGAAATGCTCTTTGTACTAGGAAATGAGTTTTTTAAAAACAACCTGCTTTTAATTGATGTCAATATTTCCAATAATCTAACAACCAATCAGTACACACCGTAAACTTATAGTGAGCACATGTTAGCTGCCTTTATAACTGACTGATCATGTGATCACTATCATCACTAAATATATCCAAATATCACAACAAAAAAAAATAAATCTGGGAGGGAATTGCAAAAAATGGGGAATTTCGCTATCACAATGCGAGACAAAATTCAGAATTTAATATTTTGTAGGGATGTATGGCAAATATAGACTATAATGGACAAATGGAAATCTGAACAGCCCACCATGTTGCTTTGCCTACCTGTTTGCCTTCTCGATGTCGCTGTTCTCGTGTAATCTGAGCCAGCACGTTTGCTGCTTGTTCTCCTCCCATCACAGAGATCCTGGAGTTGGGCCACATGTATAAGAACCGAGGCCTGAATAATGAATGATTATTATGAATTAAAAAAACTCAACAAGAATCAAATTGGCCTTCGTAGTCCACCTGTTACTCGGTGCATTCATATTCACATTATTGACATTCATCTGAAGGACCTACCAGACAAACATCATGACATGAAGACATTAAATTAGAAGTTATTTGAATGTTTTCCCAAATGTGACCTCTCGTTTACCATATTGCACTAAAACCTAACATTGCTACCACCAATACAAATCTTGATAGCCCTTTCTTTATATTTGTTGAGTATATATACAGTTGTGATAGAATGTCGAACAATAAAAAATCTAATTCTAAGTAAGGTTTATAACAATGCCAGATTACAAAATCATTTTCTTATTCAAATATTGCAAACTAAGTTGGAATGAAAATTACAACATTGAAATGGTGCAACTTGATATTTGAATGGTTCTTCCTTTCATTCCGAAAGCTGATATCAAATAATTTGAGAAAAAACTATCCAGTAATTGAGTAAAAAAGACGCTAAACCCTTACCCATAAGCTCTACCACACATTCCGTAATTGCCTGCTCCGTAGGATCCGCCAATGATCACTGTAAACTTCGGAACTTTAGCACAAGCCACGGCCGTAACCATTTTAGCACCATTTTTAGCGATACCGCCTGCCTCAGCTTCTCGACCGACCATGAAACCTGACATCAATAAATATAAACTATTTTGATAAATAATGTTCACAGCTGATAGCTTTCCAGTGAATTTGATCAGAAGAAATAAAACATAATTCTAGTAATCTACTTATATCTGGTGTACAATGATATCTACCCTACTTATATCTGGTGTACAATGATATCTACCCTACTTATATCTGGTGTACAATGATACATATCTACCCTACTTATATCTGGTGTACAATGGTATCTACCCTACTTATATCTGGTGTACAATGATACATATCTACCCTACTTATATCTGGTGTACAATGGTATCTACCCTACTTATATCTGGTGTACAATGATATCTACCCTACTTATATCTGGTGTACAATGATATCTACCCTACTTATATCTGGTGTACAATGATACATATCTACCCTACTTATATCTGGTGTACAATGGTATCTACCCTACTTATATCTGGTGTACAATGATACATATCTACCCTACTTATATCTGGTGTACAATGATACATATCTACCCTACTTATATCATATCTACCCTACTTATATCTGGTGTGCAATGATACATATCTACCCTACTTATCTCTTGTGTACAATGATACATATCTACCCTACTTATATCTGGTGTACAATGATACATATCTACCCTACTTATATCTTGTGTACAATGATACATATCTAACCTACTTATATCTGGTGTACAATGATACATATCTACCCTACTTATATCTGGTGTACAATGATACATATCTACCCTACTTATATCTTGTGTATAATGATACATATCTACCCTACTTATATCTGGTGTACAATGATACATATCTACCCTACTTATATCTTGTGTACAATGATACATATCTAACCTACTTATATCTGGTGTACAATGATACATATCTACCCTACTTATATCTGGTGTACAATGATATCTAACCTACTTATATCTGGTGTACAATGATACATATCTACCCTACTTATATCTTGTGTATAATGATACATATCTACCCTTTTTAGTGTCAGGACATCACTGGTAGACAGAACACTTCACACTCTCTCTTGTTAGTGTCAGGACTACACTGGTTGACAGAACACTTGATGCTTTCTCTTCTGTATTGTCAGGACATAACTGGTAGAGAGAACACATCACACTCTCTCTTTGTTAGTGTCAGGACATTACTGGTAGACAGAACACATCACACTCTCTGTTAGTGTCAGGACATAACTGGTAGACAGAACACATCACACTCTCTCTTGTTAGTGTCAGGACATCACTGGTAGACAGAACACATCACACTCTCTCTTTGTAAGTGTCAGGACATCACTGGTAGACAGAACACTTCACACTCTCTCTTTGTTAGTGTCAGGACATCACTGGTAGACAGAACACTTCACACTCTCTCTTGTTAGTGTCAGGACATTACTGGTAGACAGAACACATCACACTCTCTCTTGTTAGTGTCAGGACATTACTGACAGACAACACTTCACACTCTCTCTTGTTAGTGTCAGGACATTATGATAGACATAACACTTCACACTCTCTCTTTGCTAGTGTCAGGACATAACTTGGTATTCTCTCACCTTTATTGTTAAGACATTACCGATAGAACACCTGGTGCTTTCTCTTCTTTTGTGTCAGGACATAACTGGTAGATAGAATACTTGATTTCAAACATTTTTGGATAATTGGCTAGATAGGAAACATTTTAATCAAAACATTAACAACTTACCAGTAATGTTCTGTAGAAAGATGAGGGGTATATTCCTTTGGCAGCACAGTTCAATAAAGTGGGTACCCTATAATGTAGAAAAAAATTGACCAAATATTCGTCATTTCTTCTTTCAACATATTAAGAACAATAATTCTAAACATTGTCTTATCATGACAAATGTATACATGATCCTAGTTTTAATGCAAGGAAAGCTAAGCTCAAGACAGAAAATGTTTTAAAGGGAATTAACTCTATAATTGAGGGGTCTTGGGCCCTGCCTTTGTTGCACTGCATCTTTCTTTTGTATGACTAATGTATACATCACATTTCAATATCTTAGTTTAAGTGCTGACAAAGAAACGCCCCAAACACAAAATTTTAAAAAAGGGCAAACAACTCTATCATTACGGGCTTGCAATGCACTGTACATTGTCTTTGTATGATCAAAGTATACACCTAGTTTCATTAACCTAGCTTATGTTCATCCAAAGTGATGCTCTGGAGAAGATATTTTGAACAAAGGGCAATAACTCTGTAATTGAGGGTCAAGAGTCCTGAATTTGGTACACAGCATGTTGTATTAGTAAGATCAATAAGTTTCATGATTCTTTCTCAACTCTGGGCAAAGTTTTACTCCGAACAAGAAAGAACAAACAAATGGAAAGGGAAGCAACTATATGTCCCCTTGAAAATATCTGGATCTATTTAAAAAAAATAAAAATGAAAATATTACATAATGTAGATATTTAAGATATTAATTTCTTCCTGTTGTTTGTGAGTCAGTCATAAGGAGTTCGATTGATAAGTTGTTTGTGTGACAGTTATAACATATTTCTGTGACAATTATAACATATTTCTGTGACAATTATAACATATTTCTGTGACAATTATAACATTTCTGTGACAATTATAACATATTTCTGTGACAGTTATAACATATTTCTGTGACAGTTATAAGGTGATGGTGTGTCTATCATTAATATATTTGTTTATTAATTAAAACTTGTGGTACTTTTCCTTTAAAAAACTTAAGTAATTTCCCCCTTCCCATCTAGGGAGCACTGATATACCAGTACAGTTCTGAATTTTTTAAAGTTTTGGCCCTTTATGAATTTTGTGAAATTTTTTCATAGTTCCTGCATTTCCAGTTGTGGGGATTTTTTAAAAATATTCTGAATAATTTACCCCTTTCAAGGTCCCTCCTCTAGCTTCCAATGGAAAAAGGGGCCAGACCCCTTTAATTTTACAATTTTAAATTGCCTTGCTCCAAATATGCATGTGACCAATTAGGTTTTCTTTAAAAAAAAATAGCAATGAGGAGGACAGATAGATGATGGATGGAAGGTGATTCAAACTGCCAATCATTTGATGATGGTGAGCTAAAAACTGGATGGATGGTTTACAAGAAGATGTTAAAAATATACTTTTTTGAAATATAACACTATTTCACACTTCGTCCCCTTCCCGGGAGGCAGCTACACTTGATGTAGGACAGCTCTGAATTTTTATAATTGCTGAAAAGATTTTTAAAAAATTTGAATATTTTGCCCCTTTTGAGGCCCCTGCCATGGCTCATTAAACAGTTTCTCAACCAATCAAAAGAGCAGAAGGTCATTTATCATGAGTGCCATACATTAAACCTTTATCCAACCATTAACACATCTACATAATGGTCTGAAAATAGAATAACACAAGGTATTGAGGTAGAAAAGATGTTATTGTCAGTTGTAAGACGGTTTTGTACCTGTTGCTACAGCTTAAGGGGTTTATCAACTGGTCTTACCTTCAGAGCAGACTCAGAGAAGAGCACGCCATTGTTGCCTATGATGCCAACGGGGTAACCCCAAAGACGGGCAAATCCTGCAGAAAAAATCACATTATCAAACCATCAGCACATAACTTGTCATTCACAGAACTTTGCACAACACAAGAAATATCTTTTCAATCTTTTGATTGTAAATTCATCTTAGCCCTTCTAGAAAACAATAGTTGCATTGTTTTCACTTTTATCTTAAAGGTTTTAAGATTTTTTTTTGGAATTGGAAGTGAATAACTATGATGTCAATTTTTCAAATTTTAAAAATTTTATGATTCAAAATGAACACATCCAATCAATTTGAATCAATTTCACAACAAACTTATGATGCCAACACTCAGATCTAAACAACGGCAGTTATGATCTGGATTATAGGTAAATGTCATTTCATCTATTTTTTCTCTCTCAAAATTTGTCAGGTTTCGACTGAGAAACACCCTTTACCAATTATCATGCTTCTTCAATTTTGGTTTACCTGAAGAAATTTTTTTTTACCGATTTTGACAAATCTCACCACTTTGACAATAGTTCAAGGTCATTTCTTTTCGCAAACTTTATCAAGATTAAAATTAGAGAATATAATGCTCCTAGGCCTTATGGATAATCAGAAGTTGTTTAAAGGTTTTGACAAACTGGAATCCTTTGAATATAGTCAAGGTCGTTTTTTTTTTTTTTTTTCGTAAACTTTGTTGGACTTCGTCATAGGGACCTTTAATCCTTATATCATAATTCTGCACCTTCTGGTTAATCAGCAGGACCTTAAATATCAGTCCTGTAATTTCTGATCGAACATTAATCCTTGCGTTTATATAGGTGCACAAATGGAGGTTTAAATTTATAAAGAAAGAACTGAACTTCAAATGAAGTATACTGTATGACTGCCAGGAACCGAATGCAAAAAATACACGATAACTACCACACAAATGCAGATTAATAACAAGAGACCGTACAGGTCAGATGACTTAACAAGAAGCCCATGGCCCTTAATGGTCATCTGACATAAAATTCAAGATTTCAAATTTTGAACTTGAGAAGAAGTCGAAAATGTGTTTTCAAGATGGCGGCCATGATGGATTTTGGACCAAACGGAAATTAACAAACTTTGGTCAGGATCATGTCACGATCATTTCAGGTAAGTTTCAGCTCAATGAGACGTATAGAACTTGAGAAGTTGAAAATGTTTATGACGGAAGACGTACGACGGACGACGCCAGACAAAAGGCGATCGCAATAGGTCAGCAGACCCTTTGGTCAGATGACCTAAAAATACTACTTTGTTATTGACATTTCACTTTAAGAGCAAATACATTTACTGGATATACTTGTACATAAACAAACCGTAAGTTTTATTTCATTTTACTGTATACAACGTTACGGTGCTGTACATCTATTGCTATGCTTCAGTGAAGTTGCCACGACCCTTCACCTTTTCGTAACCCAGCTAAGTGTTATTGATGTTATGTTATAGTATAGAATGTCAGTGAATATGAATTTATTGATTTTTATTTCAAAATATTGTTAAGGAGACTTGTTAGTGTTAAAGATGTGAACACAATAGTCATGTTTCTTTAGTTATGTGTATGAAAGCGAGGCGAGTATCCATGCATGTGCTGAAATGATGAGTGTTTTCACAATTCATGTTTCTTTAGTTATGTGTATGAAAGTGGGTGAGTATCAACGCCTGCGCCGAAATGAAGAGTGTTTTCACAAATCATTTTTTTGTTTTATATTCATACTAATTATTGTTTATTTGAATACAAGATATTGTTAGAGAATAATATGCTTTAATTATGTATTACAGTCACGCCATGGTATGAGGCCAATCTTTGATGCACAATGCCTCTGTTCATAAAACAAGTCGAACCACCTGATAAGTCAAATATTTCATTTGGTCTTATCAACTTCGTCTTGTGTTTTACTGTACATACATGGATACGGTGTACACAAAACATCAAACTTGGGTACAATTATGACTGGTAATTCAAATCTGGAACCTTGGGATTCACAACATTACTGTACAGGCAGCAAATCATTTTACAGCCCAGCTTGGCAACAATAATTCACATGTGTGTAGTAAAGGAGTAATGTAAACAACGCTCTGACGTAAACAACGCTCTGATGTAAACAAACCCCTGACGTAAACAACGCTCTGACGTAAACAACACTCTGACGTAAACAACACTCTGACATAAACAACGCCGTGACGTAAACAACACTCTGACGTAAACAACGCTCTGCCGTAAACAAACCTCTGACGTAAACAACACTCTGACGTAAACAAACCTCTGACGTAAACAACGCTCTGACGTAAACAATGCTCTGATATAATACAGATTTAAAGAAGAACTTGCTGTGTTGGACTTACTCCTTTACTACACATACCTGGATTTCTAGTGAGTCCTCTGTATACACTGGTATCCACGGCTTGTTCATCGAGAACTTCAACGGATTTACATCTAGAGGGACGTTGTACCTCCACCCCCACTTCCATAATAATTCACATAGTTTACTTAATTTTCAAAAAAACCAACCTTTCGTTTGAGAAAAATCAATGTTTTGATATTGTATTTAGTTTAGTACCATACCTGTGACAAGGGTTTCTCCGTACATCGCTTTAAACTCATCAAACCTGCTTCCATCTACTATACGTGCTATCACCTAAAAATATTAAACAGTATCATACATTTCCAGGTCAAATTTCAATCCACATAACCTGATCAAAATGACATTCGATTATACTGTCAGTGTATGGAAAGCACTTCACAGAGTTCAAAATAACATTACTTAAGACAGCGAAACTTCCCCAAACTGATCCTTCTCAAAACCCATCACCTATTACAACTGAACAAAATACTGATGTACAGAATATCTTCCTTCTCATAAACAAGAGGCCCATGGGGCCTTAAGGGTCATCTGACTATATAGACCTATATATGAAAGAGGCCAAATAGGCATAAAATAAATTGCTCAACTACATTTCCACTTACAGAGTAGACACTGGTTGGTTTATAAAGACATTTTCTGGAAACTTGAAATCATATTCTTTATACATGTACTACACAATTGCCATTACTTCATATTATTGCTTGTTGAAAAAAGCATGCTACAGACCCAGTAACAAGACCCTGGGCCTTTTGGTTTTTGAGAGAAGAAGTTGCTTATTTTAACACATTTGACAAGATCTTGACCTGGGCCTTTTGGTTTTTGAGAGAAGAAGTTGCTTATTTTAACACATTTGACTCATATGATCTTGACTGTAGTCTTGGTAGCCCTTCATTACAGCATGCTACAGAAGCAATATCAGCACCCTGGGCCTTTTGGTTTTTGAGAAGAAGTCATTTCAATGTACTTATTCCTTTCAACTCTGAATACTAAACCAATTTTGTATGCAAAATGAGTAAAATGCACTTCTGAAAAAAAGGGCCTTACCTGAGCAATCAAGATAAGAATTCCAATCAGCAGACTGCCCCCTCCCCCCCAATCCCCCCCCCCTTTCAGACAAAGTGAAAGTGAAAACAAGCTACAGTTAGTGCAACATTTATTCCCCGTCGTTAATTTAATTTTCTAATCAACTCAATCCCACCCTATATATTTTCTTTCAGACTGCATCAAGTTTCAATATAACGGGTCAACCCTTATCATAAGTTATCATCTGGAAACCAAAATATGATGATAAAAGTCTATTTCTTGTAATAGTGACCTTCGTAGTTGACCTTTTGACCCAAAATATAATTCCAATATATAAATAACATGGTTTCAACCAAATCCATCAATCGTTTCTGAAAAAATCTGGAAACCAAAACTTCACGAAAAATATTTATGTTTAGCAAGGATGATAAGACTTTCCTACCTCTCTGTGAGACGTGGACATGACAGAAAGGATGATAAGACTTCCCTACCTCTCTGTGAGACGTGGACATGACAGAAAGGATGATAAGACTTCCCTACCTCTCTGTGAGATGTGGACATGACAGAAAGGATGATAAGACTTCTCTACCTCTCTGTGAGATGTGGACATGACAGAAAGGATGAAAAGACTTCCCTACCTCTCTGTGAAATGTGAACATCATAGAAAGGATGATAAGACTTCCCTACCTCTCTGTGAAATGTGGACATCATAGAAAGGATGATAAGACTTCCCTACCTCTCTGTGAAATGTGGACATGACAGAAAGGATGAAAAGACTACCCGAAGGATCACCTTTCCATGAACCATGGACGTGACAGTAAAATGGATGAAGGAATTTCTTACCTCTCTGACATCGAACGTTTTCTTTAAGTTGTCACCCACGATACCATACAGCTCATCCATAGGGTGAACAGGATCTTCTGGTCGCTCCACTGTCACCTTTCATCAAAATTGTATAAACAATGTATCAATGCTGACAATGTCAGACTGTAGTTCATAACTCCATCAATCTATCTAAAATAATGTGCCATATTTTTCTTAAAGATTTCAAGGTAATGACCTGTGCAGATTTTATGCATTGCTAAAACATTTAATACTGCCATAGAATTTCTGTACCATTTAATACTGCCATAGAATTTCTGTACCATTTAATACTGCCATAGAATTTCTGTACCATTTAATACTGCCATAGAATTTCTGTACCATTTAATACTGCCATAGAATTTCTGTACCATTTAATACTGCCATAGAATTTCTGTACCATTTAATACTGCCATAGAATTTCTGTACCATTTAATACTGCCATAGAATTTCTGTACCATTTAATACTGCCATAGAATTTCTGTACCATTTAATACTGCCATAGAATTTCTGTACCATTTAATACTGCCATAGAATTTCTGTACCATTTAATACTCCCATAGAATTTCTGTACCATTTAATACTGCCATAGAATTCTGTACCATTTAATACTGCCATAGAATTTCTGTACCATTTAATACTGCCATAGAATTCTGTACCATTTAATACTGCCATAGAATTTCTGTACCATTTAATCCTGCCATAGAATTTCTGTACCATTTAATACTCCCATAGAATTCTGTACCATTTAATACTCCCATAGAATTTCTGTACCATTTAATCCTGCCATAGAATTTCTGTACCATTTAATCCTGCCATAGAATTTCTGTACCATTTAATACTCCCATAGAATTCCTGTACCATTTAATACTCCCATAGAATTCTGTACCATTTAATCCTGCCATAGAATTTCTGTACCATTTAATACTGCCATAGAATTTCTGTACCATTTAATACTCCTATGACAAGACATATTTCTGATGTAAAATGGAAAGTGAAAATTAAAGAGATTCCACAGGGATCTTGGTGCCGACCATTGTTTGATCATAATTTGGTCTTTGGGAACCTACATATACAATTTGAGAAAAATCCATCCAGTACTTCTCATAAAAATGTGATAACAAAAATTGTTTACAGATGGACATAAGGACGGACGGACGGACAGAGGGTAATCTGAACAGCAGATGGTGGGCTAAAAATCAATAAATGATACTTGATCAATACATCTAGATAACTTTAAATTGATAAAGTGTATGCTTTGATATACTATAACAATGAAAAAATATCTGCTTTTTATTTGCAAGTAAGGATCAAGTTGGAATTAATTCATTTAACTTCTCAGTATTCATTGAACTCACACAATATAACAGACATTAAGAAGGGTGAATATCTGTTTGGTTGTTAGTAAGGATATATATTTCCAAATACGATGCTTCTGAATCAATTTGTTTTATTGAAATAAGGGAAAAATAATATTAAGCATCTCATGAAATTTTCAGCTGTCATGTATTAAAATGTTCGATAAAAGGGAAAAAAAAGACAAAAGAAATACCTAAGTATTTCTGTTACACCTAACTTCCCACCTAAGTATTTCTGTTACACTGCCTACCGTTTGCTAACTTCCCACCTAAGTATTCCTGTTACACTGCCTACCGTTTGCTAACTTCCCACCTAAGTATTCATGTTACACTGCCTACCGTTTGCTAAATTCCCACCTAAGTATTCCTGTTACACTGCCTACCGTTTGCTAACTTCCCACCTAAGTATTCCTGTTACACTGCCTACCGTTTGCTAACTTCCTACCTAAGTATTCCTGTTACACTGCCTACCGTTTGCTAACTTCCTACCTAAGTATTCCTGTTACACTGCCTACCGTTTGCTAACTTCCTACCTACGTATTTCTGTTACACTGCCTACCGTTTGCTACCTTCCTACCTACGTATTTCTGTTACACTGCCTACTGTTTGCTACCTTCCTACCTACGTATTTCTGTTACACTGCCTACTGTTTGCTACCTTCCTACCTACGTATTTCTGTTACACTGCCTACTGTTTGCATGGTTAATATCTAAGTATTTCTGTTACACTAGCTACTGTAGTGCTACTATAGCATAATCACCACACTTTTGTAACATTTAAGTCTTAAGATGGATCAGAAAACATGTATGGGTCGGTAATATCCATTATGTGGTAAAGAATGTCATGATTTTTTAGAATTCTTTTTCCAAATGTAACCATGGTATTTAATTTTTCTCAACGACAAGCCAAAGTTAATACCTTAGGGTCCTTCTTGTAGTTGATGTTCTTGATGATGCGCCGGGCTATATGTAAGGCATGCTGGTCATTCTGGGCATAGTGGTCAGTTACTCCCGATTTACTAAAAGATAAATTTCAAACACATCTTGACAGCTTTGTTCAATTCCACAATTAGATGGACATAGGGACAGACAACAGAGACGTGACATACAGTGAATGGAGACAGAGATATACAGAGAGACATACAGAGGCATTACATACAGTGAATGGAGACAGAGATATACAGAGAGACATACAGAGAATGGAGACAGAGATATACAGAGAGACAAACAGTGAATGGAGACAGAGATATACAGAGAGACAAACAGTGAATGGAGACAGAGATATACAGAGAGACATACAGTGAATGGAGACAGAGATATACAGAGAGACAAACAGTGAATGGAGACAGAGATATACAGAGAGACATACAGTGAATGGAGACAGAGATATACAGAGAGACAAACAGTGAATGGAGACAGAGATATACAGAGAGACATACAGAGAATGGAGACAGAGATATACAGAGAGACATACAGTGAATGGAGACAGAGATATACAGAGAGACATACAGAGGCATTACATACAGTGAATGGAGACAGAGATATACAGAGAGACATACAGAGAATGGAGACAGAGATATACAGAGAGACAAACAGTGAATGGAGACAGAGATATACAGAGAGACATACAGAGAATGGAGACAGAGATATACAGAGAGACATACAGTGAATGGAGACAGAGATATACAGAGAGACATACAGAGAATGGAGACAGAGATATACAGAGAGACAAACAGTGAATGGAGACAGAGATATACAGAGAGACATACAGAGAATGGAGACAGAGATATACAGAGAGACAAACAGTGAATGGAGACAGAGATATACAGAGAGACATACAGAGGCGTGACATACAGTGAATGGAGACAGAGATATACAGAGAGACATACAGTGAATGGAGACAGAGATATACAGAGAGACATACAGTGAATGGAGACAGAGATATACAGAGAGACATACAGAGGCATTACATACAGTGAATGGAGACAGAGATATACAGAGAGACAAACAGTGAATGGAGACAGAGATATACAGAGAGACATACAGTGAATGGAGACAGAGATATACAGAGAGACATACAGAGGCATTACATACAGTGAATGGAGACAGAGATATACAGAGAGACAAACAGTGAATGGAGACAGAGATATACAGAGAGACAAACAGTGAATGGAGACAGAGATATACAGAGAGACATACAGAGGCATTACATACAGTGAATGGAGACAGAGATATACAGAGAGACATACAGAGGCATTACATACAGTGAATGGAGACAGAGATATACAGAGAGACAAACAGTGAATGGAGACAGAGATATACAGAGAGACAAACAGTGAATGGAGACAGAGATATACAGAGAGACATACAGAGGCATTACATACAGTGAATGGAGACAGAGATATACAGAGAGACATACAGTGAATGGATACAGAGATATACAGAGACATACAGTGAATGAAGACAGAGATATACAGAGAGACAAACAGTATACAGACTTGGAACGGAAGGATAGCCACAAGATGGAGGGAAAAAATGAGGAGGGACAACCAGACTGAGAACAGACTGATAGATAAATGAGGTATAAGTACAAGCAACACGGAACAGACAGGCATACAGACAGGGCATGATGAGACATATACACACAAAGGAGACGGAACATTCACACTGGAGACAGGGAAAAAGGGACATACAGACAGGGTATGGAGAGACATATACACACAAAATAGAAGGAACATTCACACTGGAGACTATGAAAAAGGGCGTACAGACAGGGGATGAAGAGAGACAGACAACATAGATAGGGGACAAAGGGACATCCAGAGGATGGAGGGACATAAAGACAGAGGGTGGAGGAGCAAACAGGAGAAAGAGAGACAGAAAGAAAAACATGGGATGAAGAGACAGAAACACAAAGGATGATGGAACAGAGAGACAGACAGGAGATTGTGGGACAAAAAGACGACAGAGGGATAAACAGACAAAAAGGAGACAGAGGAAGAAAAAAAGATGGGGGATTGAGGGACAGAGAGACAGGGACAATGATACCAGTACTAACATACTTGATTAAGTCTATAGTGAATACAACAATAATGAGACAATAAATATCTATCATCAAGTATGGCAGAGTAAGCAAATACTGTTTAGGTGATGTTCTTAAGGGGACAGTTTCCTGTAGCCTTGTTGAATATATTAAAAAGCAGTATGGCTCAGTTTTACAAATACCTGATCTTCACATGCAAAAGTAGCCAAATTTTGTCGTGGCGATCATGATTGGCATGTTATTTTTTGTGGGCATAACATATGTGACATTTTTAGGGTGCATGTCTCATGTGCCCATGCCTTTTTTCAGGAAATTTTCTTTGCTGAGTGTCCAGTTGCATTCCGAAATGATAAAAAAATACTACATCTACCTTTTTATTTAGAATATATAAATTTTTGGTTCATCTTAGGCCACAGAAGTTTTTTGAAGAAATTTCATTGATATCTGTCCAGGGGTTTTCAAGAAGAAATCTAAAATGTTAAATTGTTTACAAATGCACGATACCAGACAAAGGTGATTGCAATAGGTCACCATGAGACTATGTCCTAAGTGACCTAAAAATTCATTCCCCTTCACACAAGGATGCTTGTGATCAAATTTTTGTCAAAATCTGTTTAGTCGTTTATAGTAGAAATTTTAAGGAAAAAAAGTTGACAAACAACAGATGACACTAAATGCCACATTATCGCATAAGCTCATTAGTCCGTTGAACTACAAGAGCTAAAAGTGTCTTGATTTTACAACCTTATATTTAACACTCTTATTGAAATGAAATAAGCTTTATTGTACCCGCTGAATCTGGATTTGATTCTCAAAAGGCAGAGATGATTCCATGACATCAACTCAGTTGCCTTAACACTAGAAAACTATTACTTACCTACAGTGTAGATCTGCACCACCCAAATCCTCAGCAGAAACCTCTTCTCCTGTGGCAGCCCGAACCTATACAATATATCAACATATATCAGATTTTGACTGAAGATATTGCAGGATATTTCAAAAGAGTTAACACTGTTCTATATTAACTGTAGGTATTGTGTGACAGTTCAGTATGTTAACACTGTGCTATATTAACTGTAGGTATTGTGTGACAGTTCAGTAGTGTTAACACTGTTCTAACTATAGATATTGTGTGACAGTTCAGTATGTTAACACTGTTCTATATTAACTATAGGTATTGTGTGACAGTTCAGTATGTTAACACTGTTCTATATTAACTATAGGTATTGTGTGACAGTTCAGTATGTTAACACTGTTCTATATTAACTGTAGGTATTGTGTGACAGTTCAGTAGTGTTAACACTGTTCTATATTAACTGTAGGTATTGTGTGACAGTTCTGTAGTGTTAACACTGTACTATATTAACTATAGGTATTGTGTGACAGTTCAGTAGTGTTAACACTGTTCTATATTAACTGTAGGTATTGTGTGACAGTTCAGTATGTTAACACTGTTCTATATTAACTGTAGGTATTGTGTGACAGTTCAGTATGTTAACACTGTTCTATATTAACTATAGGTATTGTGTGACAGTTCAGTATGTTAACACTGTTCTATATTAACTATAGGTATTGTGTGACAGTTCAGTATGTTAACACTGTTCTATATTAACTATAGGTATTGTGTGACAGTTCAGTATGTTAACACTGTTCTATATTAACTATAGGTATTGTGTGACAGTTCAGTATGTTAACACTGTTCTATATTAACTATAGGTATTGTGTGACAGTTCAGTATGTTAACACTGTTCTATATTAACTATAGGTATTGTGTGACAGTTCAGTATGTTAACACTGTTCTATATTAACTATAGGTATTGTGTGACAGTTCAGTAGTGTTAACACTGTTCTATATTAACTATAGGTATTGTGTGACAGTTCAGCAGTGTTAACACTGTTCTATATTAACTGTAGGTATTGTGTGACAGTTCTGTAGTGTTAACACTGTTCTAACTATAGATATTGTGTGACAGTTCAGTAGTGTTAACACTGTTCTATATTAACTGTAGGTATTGTGTGTGTGTTCTATATTAACTCTAGGTATTGTGTCAGTTCAGCAGTGTTAACACTGTTCTATATTAACTATAGGTATTGTGTGACAGTTCAGTAGTGTTAACACTGTTCTATATTATATTAACTATATTAACTGGTATTGTGTGACAGTTCAGTGTGTTAACACTGTTCTATATTAACTGTAGGTATTGTGTGACAGTTCAGTAGTGTTAACACTGTTCTATATTAACTATAGGTATTGTGTGATAGTTCAGTAGTGTTAACACTGTTCTATATTAACTATAGGTATTTTGTGACAGTTCAGTATGTTAACACTGTTCTATATTAACTGTAGGTATTGTGTGATAGTTCAGTAGTGTTAACACTGTTCTATATTAACTATAGGTATTGTGTGACAGTTCAGTATGTTAACACTGTTCTATATTAACTATAGGTATTGTGTGACAGTTCAGTAGTGTTAACACTGTTCTATATTAACTATAGGTATTGTGTGACAGTTCAGTATGTTAACACTGTTCTATATTAACTATAGGTATTGTGTGACAGTTCAGTATGTTAACACTGTTCTATATTAACTATAGGTATTGTGTGACAGTTCTGTATGTTAACACTGTTCTATATTAACTATAGGTATTGTGTGACAGTTCTGTATGTTAACACTGTTCTATATTAACTATAGGTATTGTGTGACAGTTCAGTAGTGTTAACACTGTTCTATATTAACTATAGGTATTGTGTGACAGTTGTTCTATATTAACTATAGGTATTGTGTGACAGTTCAGCAGTGTTAACACTGTTCTATATTAACTATAGGTATTGTGTGACAGTTCAGCAGTGTTAACACTGTTCTATATTAACTGTAGGTATTGTGTGACAGTTCAGTGTGTTAACACTGTTCTATATTAACTATAGGTATTGTGTGACAGTTCAGTGTGTTAACACTGTTCTATATTAACTGTAGGTATTGTGTGACAGTTCTGTAGTGTTAACACTGTTCTATATTAACTATAGGTATTGTGTGACAGTTCAGTAGTGTTAACACTGTTCTATATTAACTATAGGTATTGTGTGACAGTTCAGTAGTGTTAACACTGTTCTATATTAACTATAGGTATTGTGTGACAGTTCAGTAGTGTTAACACTGTTCTATATTAACTATAGGTATTGTGTGACAGTTCAGCAGTGTTAACACTGTTCTATATTAACTATAGGTATTGTGTGACAGTTCTGTAGTGTTAACACTGTTCTATATTAACTATAGGTATTGTGTGACAGTTTATTTCAATCTTGTTCTAATTTCTACATCTTCAGTACGTGTACACTGGTCGAATCTGAAAAATTAAGGCACGGCCTGTTTATGAACTTGTCTCTGTAAACCTTATGCGAGTAACCGAGATGTTTTGTTGTTGAAATGAGATGCCAGCCTACTGGTCATGGATGACTGGTCACATGTAACATACCAGCGGTGGGCCTCCTAGAAAGATGGTGCCCTTCTTTCTGACAATGACACTCTCGTCTGCCATGGCTGGTACATAAGCACCTCCTGCAGTACAGCTACCCAACACCACGGCTACCTTTACAAACAACATTAATCACAGGATTATCAATCAAATAGAGTTACTTGTATCTTCCCCAATATTTGTTGTCAACTTTTAACAGATTGACCTGTATATATACTGATAAATAGTCTGGTGACAATGTAACAGAACTGGGGTTTATAACTGAACCTCTAGTTACATGCAGCTTCAGCAGTGAAGAATAAGGAGGGAAAATGAAAAAGAACTGGATTTAATCAGTCCTCAGCACCCAGTATATATTGGTAGTGTGTCAACTAGAGTTCAGAGGCTCCAGGTTCAAATCCTGATCTGCTTTACCACTACTGTCACACCTAAAGCTGGTCAGGCAAATGGACAATGTAACATGAAAATGCTGATTTCTTCATAGTAGTCACAGAATCCAAAGTATTTTTCATTCTTTCTGTATGTTTTTGTACATAAATATGTTAAGATTGAATTTTAGAATATTTGCTATCACAGTTTTTAGCTGCAACTGTATAGGACCTCCTTTTGAAACAACAGTTATAACAAAGCCAATAAGTTTCATTCGTTGGAGATGCTGTCCTACTCTGAGATGACCAATGTCAATTGGTTCCACACTGACTGTCCTGCTCTGAGATGGCCAATGTCTATTTGTTCCACAATGTCATATGGTTTGCTTTGTCTGAGAAACAACTTTTTAACAAAAGGAATGTGAGACAAGTGTGACCAGTCTGAGACTGTTTTTGTCTCTACTGTAGTTGTTGAGGATATAATTCTAAGACAGTCAGATGTAAGTCATAATGGTCCCCCAAAAACTAAGCAATGTAACACAAATGGAAATTTATCCCTTTCCCATTATAAACACAACTTTGGTAAAAACGTGGCATTGCTGTATTTCATACTCCCTATCCATGTTACCCGAGTTTTCAAAGTTTTAATTTTTAACCCATAAATTTGAGCAAATAGATTTATAATAGATCCAAAATTAACTCTTGTAAAGATTTTTCCAACCCATCAAGAATTTATGATGTGCCATCTGCATACTGAGAAAAGAATAGTAAAAATATTAACATCTCTACCAGTTATGTTGTAATTGTTTCCTAACTTGGCAGCTAAGATTTCTGTGTGTAATATGAAAATATAAGGTGCTATCACATCGCCTTGGAGACAGCTGCGCTTCACCTTGAAGAAAGCAGAGAGGTTCCCGCCCTGATTTATTGCAGAATTAGCATTACTTTGTTTTGTTTATCCATTTTATAACACTATCTTTCAATTCGGCACTAAGCATACCTCAACTAGGCACTTAGTGCAACTCAATTAGGCACTAAGTGTACTTCAGTTAGGCACTTAGTGTACATCAGTTAGGCACTAAGTATACCTTAACTAGGCACTTAGTGTACCTCAGTTAGGCACTTAATGTACCTCAGTTAGGCACTAAGTATACCTTAACTAGGCACTTAGTGTACCTCAGTTAGGCACTTAATGTACCTCAGTTAGGCACTTAGTGTACCTCAGTTAGGCACTTAGTGTACCTCAGTTAGGCACTTAGTGTACCTCAGTTAGACAATAAGTGTACCTCAGTTAGGCACTTAGTGTACCTCAGTTAGGCAGTTAGTGTACCTCAGTTAGGCACTTAATGTACCTCAGTTAGGCACTTAGTGTACCTCAGTTAGGCACTTAGTGTACCTCAGTTAGGCACTTAGTGTACCTCAGTTAGTCACTTAGTGTACTTCAGTTAGTCACTTAGTGTACCTCAGTTAGGCACTTAATGTACCTCAGTTAGGCACTTAGTGTACCTCAGTTAGGCACTTAGTGTACCTCAGTTAGACACTTAGTGTACTTCAGTTAGGCACTTACTGTACCTCAGTTAGGCACTTAGTTGATCAAGTCCCCAATTAGTGTGATTTAGATTGTATAGCATGTCAATGTAAACTATGGCAACCGGTGAAAAACAGGAGATACAGAGTGATTTCCCTCCAACAGGTAATCTGGCGGGGCAATAATAACATAAAAGAGACTCCCACAGTTTCCGTGATGGTTGACAGAGTCTGGACAAAGATTTTGGTAAAAGTTCTGAAATGTCAGTCATCAGAAAGACGCATAGCTTCAGACATACCTGTGGAATTCCCAGGGAAGACATTCTGGCCTGGTTGAAAAAAATGCGGCCAAAATGATCACGATCAGGAAATACATCAGCCTGGCGAGGTAAATTGGCTCCCCCGGAGTCAACTATAATTTAAACATAATAAAAAATTTTCGGATGTCAGAAAGTCAGGGATGAAGGGATGAGTTATATCTTACTGAAAGACGTTTATCTTCAAATGACATAAAAATTTTCTAAAAATTTATTGTTGTTCAGAACTTTTTCTATCCAAAGATTTTTTTACTAAAACTTCAATTTGAATATGTTCAATTTATGCCTGTTAAATTTCTTAATTCAATTATAACTTAACAAACAGATGCAATATGATGAACTAATTGAGTTCCTCATTATGTGAATGTTTTGTGCCCTTAAAGTCCAAGATGGCAACTGTCAGCTGTGGCCAAAAATTTACATTTAGATAAAAACACCAACAAGAGGTCCATAGGGCATGTATTGCTAATATGGTTTAGTTTGTTTAAATTAATCAATATCAGCTGAAGAAAAAGTATTCTAAGTACTTCGATCTATTTCCGCTATCAAGCCCCGCCCTACTCCCCAAAAGTGTTAGTACAAAACTGAGTTCTCTTCACTAAAGATAATTCAGTTAAATCCACACATAACTGAATCAATCTGACAGAAGTAGGATTTAAAAAAAACTTTCTCTATTTCCACTAATGGGCTCAACCCCTCTTGCCCAAGGGGGCTGAAATCCAACACTTATACAACAGTGATTCCTCTTCCCCCAAGGATGCTTCAGACCAAATTTGGTTAAAATCTGTGCTGTTGTTAATGGTAATTACCAATTTACAGGAAAAGTTGACAGGTAGAGTCTTTTAAATGTATTATAATGACTGTCTTTGACCAAGTTAAGACAAGAGATCCCAGAAGGATCTTGATGCCCACCATTGTTTGATTGTCATTTGTCCTTTTAAAGCTGGATCTATTCCCTCCTTTTCTTTTTATTTCTCTTATTTGCTCTTGATCATACTAAATTTCAGAATTCCTCTCAAGAAATAGCAATACTCTTTCACCGTCAAATAAAAGATGGTCACCTCTCAGTATTTTTTTTTGCTAAAAGTTCCAAACTCAAAAAGGCACAACAATGGACCAACAGAAACCTGGATATAAAATTTGAGAAAAACCATTGAATGAGTGATAACAAACTTTCTGCATCAAAATAAAAGATGGCCGCATGTCAGTCATTTTGTTTCTAAGATCACACTGCAAACTTAATGGGCACAAAAATGTACAAACAGGAACCTACATATGAAACTTGTGACAGTACTGCCAAAGTAATAACGATAACAAGTTTTCAAAACCCAAGATGGATGCTTTTCATTCATTTTGTTTTTCCGATGAGTCCAAAAATCAAAAAGACACAACTTGGAGCCAAGAGGATCTATCCAGTATTTCTGAAGAAACAGCAAACACAAGTCTTCAGAGTCTTAATTCAAAGATGGCTGCCTGTCAGCCATTTTGTTTCTGTGATAAGTCCATAAATGAAAAGGTTACAACAATGGTCTAAGGAGTCTTTACAAATGAAATCTTTGAATGATATATCAAGGATTTCTCTGGCAATAGTGATAATAAGAATTGTTCAAGAACTGACAGAGAGATGAAGGACCACAGACGCAGGATGATTTGAACAGCCCATCATCTAATATTTGGTATTTGTTTAAAAAATTCACTCATAGCAGATAGCATTGTAGACTACACATTTGACTTGGAGCAACAAAATATCCATCGATGTTTTGAGAAAATATTAACTTGCCAAAATCCAAAATGACCACAGCTGACCATAATGATTTTTAAATCTAACTTCAATCAAGCAAGAAATTGATAAAAAAGTGTAATTGAAAAGTTAAATGAATATACAGAGATTCCTTCAGTAGATATATGATTACTTTACCTAAATATATACAAGGGAGGAAGTTCTGTTGAGCAATTTCTTGTGCGCGGAGATGTTTTGTGACAGTCACAGGATAGTAGGAACCACCCTTTACAGTCGGATCATTGGCCACAATCAGACATTCCACCCTATAAGAAAATAACATTACATAACAAACAGCAAAAATTGTCTTATTAGTGTTAAAAAAAACCCACTCACACTACTTTGTAAGGCATATTGACATATTTGTGGGATATTTACCAAACCTCACTCAACAGTAATCTGTTATCTCAAAAGTAAACTCCCCCTGATATTTCAACAATTATTCTGGGCAAATCTACAGTTATCTTCCCGTGACATTTTACAATTAACTCTCTCTGACATTTCAATATAGTTATATATCCCCAATCAGATCAACAGTTGTATCCCCCGACTTCTCAATATTTAAAAATCACCTTTCCCTAACAGCTGCACAATATTCTATGTCACCTCTCCGTACCTCATACACAATATTCTACATCACCTCCCCCTACCATTTACACAATATTCTATAATACCTCCCCTTACCATTTACACAATATTCTATATCACCTCCCCCTACCACTTACCCAATATTCTGTATCACCTCCCCCTACCACTTACACAATATTCTGTATTACCTCCCCCTACCACTTACACAATATTCTATATTACCTCCCCGTACCACTTACACAATATTCTATATTACCTCCCTTTACCACTTACACAATACTCTATATTACCTCCCCCTACCACTTACACAATATTCTATATTACCTCCCCTTACCACTTACACAATATTCTATATTACCTCCCCCTACCATTTACACAATATTCTATATCACCTCCCCCTACCACTTACACAATATTCTATACCACCTCTCCCTTACCACTTACACAATATTCTATATTACCTCCCCTTACCACTTACACAATATTCTATATTTCTTCCCCCTACCACATACACAATATTCTATATTACCTCCCCCTACCACTTACACAGTATTCTATATCAACTCCCCCTACCACTTACACAATATTCTATATTACCTCCCCTTACCACTGACACAATATTCTATATTACCTCCCCGTACCACTTACACAATATTCTATATCACCTCCCCCTACCACTTACACAATATTCTATATCATCTCCCCTTACCACTTAAACAATATTCTATATTACCTCCCCTTGCCACTTACACAATAGTCTTTGTGTACACAAAGTATGCACATTACGTTTTACAAAGCCATGTAAAAGTTTGTGTATTTTATCCAAATCAGACAGATAAAATTATCTACATATCTATATCCACACCCTCACACTACAGGTAATCCTTCACAACATCCTTTTTTAAATATCTCATGACTTATCTCCTCCTGATAAATCAGTAGTCACTTCATTGACACAACAACATAACCTTATCCTTACCCTGCTACACGACCAATACCAGTGATAATACCACCAGCAGGCACCTCTTCTTTTCCATAAAGTTTGTAACCAGCCATCTGACTCAGCTCCAGAAATGGTGACCTGCAACGGATATAAGCAAGCATTGAATCTGGCAAAGCACCTGAATAAAACTCAAACTTTCAAATTAGAACAGTTTTGTAAAATTCTGAAAACCAAAATCTACTATCTATCAAACTCCTGAATATGTTGTGATGCAGGCTTTTTTCGAATCTCAAGATCGAGGAAAAAGATCAAAATTGTTTACTAAGGTGAAGTACAAGATATATTACTGCACATATTGTCTTCAAATATTCAACCATAGGAATGATGTTCATTTTTTAGCACTTTTCTTTTTTCCCCATAAATATATGCATGTAAATTTCTCTCTACACTCTACCATTTTTTCCTCAGCTGACCAAGAAAGATACCATTTCATGTCATTTTAATTCTTTTTTATTTGTTTTAAACCAAAATTACCCTCTAAGTTTTAATCGCCAGTAAAAATGCACTAATCCTCAAGCATATTGTCCCTCTTTTACTGCCAACTTGGTTATTGCCATGATTTTGCTGCGAACATTTTTTCCTGTCAAGTTAAAGGGTTTTGGCCACAATTTCAGTTTTCATTAAATGCTGCATCATCATTATCTAAATAGCACAACCACCGTGATCATGCCCCTAAAATATACCATGTTTTCAGGCGGCTTTTATATCATACAGAGATAAACAGAAAGGCAAATGTGGCGACTCTATGGCATACTGTTTAGTCCATTCTCCAAACATTTTATCTGATGCCAAATGAAAAGTTCTGAGGATTAGATCTTCAATAGTCAGTAACAGTCTGTGAAGATAAGTATCCCTCTGCATTCAATATTTCAGACCTTAAAACCAACTTTTAAAATGTTTGAAAAAGTTTGAAAACATTGCTTCAGTCATTGTTTAGTGGGAAAGTTTCAGTTTTAATATCAGTAGTAATAATTGGACAAGCTATAATGCAGGCAACAAGACCATACATTCCTTAGTCACTTCTCATATTATAAAAAAATCCCCTGGAAATAAGGCCCAAAATGCCTTAGTACGTTATTGTCATGCATTTTCTCTTCACAAATGATACAGAATCACAGATACACAGAATATAGGGGTGGTTGAGGAAGATACTCACTCTGGATCGAGAAGCGTGTTGATTCTGTCACGTGGAAGAAGTTTATCACGAGATAAATGTCTTTCCACAGCCTTTGGCCCTCCTCCTTAAACAGAGTCATCATATTCCAGTGGTTATGATAGATATATGAGAATTCCTCCGATTAAAGCAATCCTGGAATCTTTGGTGCTCAAATCAATGAGAAAACTTATCTTGCTAAGCCTTACCGTGGCTTGTATTTGCTATAATTGTGTTAATTTATTACATACATGATTTTAGTTACAGAATATGTTGAAAGTATGCGGATCTGTTTAAATAGTTAAGAGTCCTTGCTAAACTCAAAAAGCTAAAGGGTACCAGTCCTTGCTAAACTCCTACAGCTAGAGAGTACAAGTCCTTGCTAAACTTCTACAGCTAAAGAGTATAAGTCATTGCTACACTCCTACAGCTGAAGAGTCCAAGTCCTTGCTAAATTAAAAAAGCTAAAGAGTACAAGTCCTTGCTAAACTTCTACTGCTAAAAAATACAAGTCCTTGCTACACTCCTACAGCCAAAGAGTATAAGTCCTTGCTTAACTCCTACAGCTGAAGAGTCCAATATCATTGCTAAGCAATCTTTAGCATTGCTAAAGATTACAAGTCCTTGCTCAACACATTCTGAGATTTAAATTTTGATAAAGCTTCTTACCTTGCATTATGGTGGAAACCTTGTCCCGCAAATCTTTAACCAAAGCCTGCATTCGCTCATAATTTTCCTAAACACAAAAGGACTTTTCCATTAATTTTCTACTTTGGATAATTTGAAATAATATATATACAATTAGCAGTTTCTCACCCATATGTAGTTTGCAGCTGTAGACTGTATGATTAACATCGACTATATGGACCCTCTATGGTAGGAACACAAGTCTGCCAGGTTCAGGTCTACACGGATTTTCCCTTGTTTACAGTAGAAGTGTTAAAGATGTCTACAGTCTAAACTGTGTTTTGAACATGGTAATATAACTTCATAGGCACAAATTAAATCATCAATGAAAAAAAGGCCAATAGTGGTCGCCTGAATCATAATACAACAGGCTCATAGGGCCTGTATCTTAGGAATTTTTGTTTTCATTTTAGAATTCTTCTATTCACAATCATTTTGTTTTATTTTTCTTAAAGATGAGGGAATTCACTTCACTTCAATCTAAATTTTGACAAAAGACCTTCATGCAAGCAGAAAAAAAAATTATTTCAAAGTCTTGGTTCTATTACCAATCAAGGGTCATGCCCCTCTGCAGACTGTTGATTTACATAAAATTGAGTACCCTCAGGCCCCAAGGGGAAAAGACCCATCTTTGATAAAAAAATTGGTTCCCCTTCCACCAAGGATGCTTCTGCTGAACAAATTTGGTGACAATATCTTTATTCAAACACTATTTATCATAGTAAGCCCAAACCCTCAATCCTCTTGATTGTCAGACTCTTTGTTTATCCAAACTTGAGTGCCCTTGACTGTAAAAAAATGCTTCAGACCAAGTTTTAAATAAAATCCTATCATTCCTATATCCTTATTTTGAGCTTGTGCCCTGTGTCCCCAGGAAGATCTACCCAACAATTCATACAATTTTAAATCCTCATTGACCCTGAAAACTTCCAACTAGTGATAAGTGACATTCAGTTTTCGAAAAGACATTTTTTGTCGAAATACACTGAAGTCTCACCTAACCTCAAAATTACGACCGTACTGCTATTACGGGCACATTTTTTCAGACCCTTTTTTTTTCACTATATATCTTTGTATCTTTAGCATAATGGCTGGTCATAGCTCTGGTCAGCTAGAAGGGGACCGGATGGTGACAGAATGATGGCTAAACGAAGAGGATATTTATCTGTAAACAGCACCAGCATTTTTGATGCAGGACCATTTCTCATTTTTCACCAAAACTTTCCTCTCTAACGCTGCCTTACTTGAAGTTACAGAATTTCAAAATCTCTGTCCTATCTTCACCATGTTTTTGGTGATCCAAAATGACTTCCAGATCAAATATATACCATTTTCATTTCTGAATGTTCATCTGACATAATGCCATTAGGTGATTTCTATAATAAACACAGTGTACTCTACCAACAGAAACACTTCAATTATTATTTGTACCCTCTACTTATTAAGGATGCTTTTAAAAGGCAAAGACTTAAAATGGCAGAACTGTAGTTTTAACAGATAAATATGTTTACACTGATAAAGAGATCTCCAGGAATCAACACACTATGACACGTTGGATGTGGATACATGCACTTTGACGGCATATTTGTGCAGGGTTTTCCATAATTTTGTTAGTAGTAGGCTGTGTAGTGAAAGTAGGAGGCTGGCCTGCTGTGTACATGTAGTCGTGTACGGAACATTAGTACGGAACTGGATTGGTGTAGGCGGCCAAATGATCAAAGTAGCCGGTCAAATTGGCAGACGACCGGCTTTTATGGAAAACCCTGTTTGTGATTTTTTTATGCTAATTTTTTGTACACAAAAAACATTCATAGTATTAAGGCATTTTGATGTTGATCTGCTGTTAACCACACAACAACTTCCATGTGCTGCCTTCCTGCCATGTCAATTACAGGTCGGCCCTTGGATCTGAGTGAACTTCTTACACAACTGTCGACAGGTATACATGTGTGAGAAGGACATATCCTGCTGATTTACTCATATTGAAGAGACTGTGACAATATTACTGCCATGTTCCTGACCATTCCAGTGACAAACCATGGTGTAATGGATGACTTCATTGTTGACCATGCAAAGGTGGTGTTTATTTTAGAAGTAAGAAAACTTGTCAAATGTATTTATTTTTTTTTTTTTTTTTTTGGGGGGGGGGGGGGGGGGGGTAGAATTAATTCTTATAATTTCCTGTTCCAGCTTCCAACCTATAAGTCACCTGTACAATTCTCGTGTTCAATCCAGCGTGACGATCCAGCACGGAGGGGATTAAGCTCAAACAATAGCTGAATGGTGCGACACTAATAGACAGGGCTCTCACACCCCATTTTGGGACTGGGGCCCGGGGCCCTCAGAATTGGGGAAAATAACGTTGATTTCCTTAGAATTGGGGAATTTGGGGTCTAAATTGGGAAAAAAGATACTAGTTTGCATTGGGAATGGGGCCGAATATTGGCCCGAAACCTGGCAGATCGAGAGCCCTGATAGATGATAATTACTCTGGCCAAGGTGACCGTAAAGTCGTTTTATACCTGTACTACTAAGATCATATGACACATTGTAGTTTCTTTTTACAAAAGGATGTATTGCGGGGGAGGGGGTCCTAAAAATAAACCTCCCAATAGGTCACTATAGGAAATATTATTGTTTATTAAAAATCGGTGCATGCCTGTCTTATAATACCTGGTAATCCGAAGATGACGTGTCAGGTCGTGTCCCTATCGGTGCCGCCTCATCTACGTGAAAACGTCGCCTGCATTGTCGTTTAATCTCATTACGGAATCCCAGCCGGACCAAATTACGCGGCAGCATCTTTCACTTCTCTTCGAATGAGAGTGTGGGTCTGAAGGTGAAAATTGTAAACATAAACAATTTATGTCGCTGTTTCGCATTAAATGAAATAAATAAACATCCATGAAATGAAGAATCAAACTGATACATTAATTTCTATTCAGTTTTGGTGTTTCATAATTGTAAAAACGATACATGTGTGTAGCATCTGTATAAAAATGTTCGAAAATAAGAACATACGAAACTAAAGCTAATCAATACAAACAGCAGCTTCCTCCACGTGTGTACCGGTAGCATTTCGGGTCGGTTGTGTCTTCTCGGATTTCCCCCCAAATGACGATGTCTTACATACCTGTTAGCCCCGACAGTGACTTCCCCATACAGAATATCCCGTATGGTGTATTCTCGACCCCCGACAATGTAAGTACGACTTACAGGAAATGTAAATTTGCCATCAGCAAGAAGCCATTGGAGGTGTGTCCTTGAACAGGTCCGGATTAACCAATCGAAATCGGCGAACAGCTAAGTCGGAAACCGTTATATTTGCTCCATGCTCACTAATCGTTATGCATCATCATGTATTGTCTAGATACGCCTATGTACGGAACTAAACATGATGGTTTGACCATTGCATTGTCGTAATGACAACATGAAACCAGATCATTAATATTTGCTTAAACCTAAAGCTTGAAGTACTGCACGTAGGCTAGTCAATACATGATGAACATAACGATTAGTGAGCATGGAGCAAATATAACGATATTCTGATAACCCGCAGTGAAGATATATGACACAAAGACTATAGATCAGGGTAGATTCATCCATTAAATTATTTAAGACAAAAGCTTTACTGTAAACATTTTCCAACTTGTGTATGTGAATTGGGTGAAATCAGGACTTATTCAAGAATGTAATTTTTATCAATTCACAGAATGATTTACAGTAGGTGCTTTGGCTAAGCAAATATCTTAGTATTATAACAGAAGTAATTACATATTTCATTGCCTCTGCTAGGATTCAAACTTGGGACCTCTGGATTACTAGTCTGGCGCTCAAATTATTGAGGTAAAGAGACGTTCGCTCTAGCCTAGCAGGATTTTGCTTATTTTACCAGGGTCACAGTATCTAAGAACCAATTTACAATATACTTTTTTTCGCTGTTGTGAGTATATAACAGGATCTACATAGTTCTGCATCTTAGTTTGTTACTTTGCTTATTACAAAATGGTATTGAAAATTAAAATTTTAACAAAGGCAACACTTATGGGAAGGGAGGTAACTCTGTCAAGTCTTTTAGTTCTCTCCCATACTCTTGTCATCAAAGAGCTACAGTTGGGTGACAGCAGAGCATAAAAGCTCTGCTCTCACAATATCTTTCAAAGTGCTTCCAACATGAACTGCACAAAAATTATATATTATTCTATGAAATGCATAATGGCTCTATGTTCATGAGTAATAAAAATTCTATTTATTAAACTAGAGACATCTGTTAAAGCATGCATCATTATTGGTTAATATGATGCTTTACACCATGCAAGAGGCACTTGGAACTGCTACTGGTGGTTTGCTATGGTAGCTCTTAAGGATTGGATTATAATTTCTTCCCTGCCAACTTTTCCGATTAAGTCAGGAGTTTCTCGATTTTCACTCCCTATCCCCGCCTCCCGATCACATGGATCAAAGTTGGGGTAATCTCTCAGTTTCAGAGATCTGCTAGGTAGGTCATCAATAACTTTGCTATCTTTTTCAAATTGGTAAGGCTGACCACCTGGCCACGTAATTAAGGCCGGGCTAGATGAGTACACAGCTTAATTATCTAATTAGTGTCACCCAATTCAAGTTAAACCTTGCTGACCGCTATGCTTGGGAGCACACTGGTACATGGCCGATTGTTCCCTAACTTATTAATGTTAGACCATTGGTCAGGACTCTGGAGTAGGCCCTGGTAAATGTCTTTTTACAGATAATAAAGTGGTTAATACCATGTTTATACTAACAATTCCATCAAATAACAAATTCAACAAGAAAATGATTTGAAAACAATCTTTATGATGTAACCATGTGCAAGCATTCCGCAATCAATACCAATAATTTAACCACATCAGTCCTTAACATACAACTAAGTTGGCATCATGAGTAAAATATCAGATTAAACAAATATTTCACTCAGTGAAAAGTTGACTTAAATTTCAAGCATGTTTGGTTGTCCACAAAAACCTGATAATGGTCAAACAGGAAGTAGATACACTTATCAAAATAGGAACAGATCCGGACCAAATTTCTGGATTTGTAGCTGTCTACAGTTATTTTCCTAAATATATATTTCAAAGAAAAATATTAAAAATGGCCACTGTCCAGGTATCTTGAATTTCAAGGATTAACAGTACATGTATATCAATGCAGGGCTCTCGATCTGCCAGATTTGGGGCTGAAATTCGGCCCCATTCCCAATGCAAAATAGTATCTTTTTTTCCCAATTTCGACCCCAGGTTTTCACAATTCTAAGGAAAACGCTGCTATTTTCCCCAATTCTAAGGGCCCCGGGCCTCGGTCCCAAAATGGGGTGTGAGAGCCCTGCAATGTTAATTTTTACCTTCAACACTATATCTTCCGAAGGAGTTGTCTGATTTTTAAGAAACTTGCTCAGTATACTTGTATGTTCAGTAAGTTCTGTACATATTAATTAATACAATCTGATTCCATTTGGCATGACAAATATGATTTATGATTAATTTGTATATATTTGAATGGTATCACTTGTACTGTGCAATGATATGTTATGGTATACATGTACATATATATATATATACGATATATTAATCATTAAGTAATAACATGTATACAAACTTATTATATCATTACTTATGTTGCATGTACATAGTATACAATGTATGTATTCATACTTACCATCTGGCTGAAGAACTTTATTTAACTTTGTTTTTATATCTTTTCTCTGTACTGTATGGTTAAAGAGAAATAAATAAATTGAAATTGAATTGAAGCGATCTTCTGATAGTCAAGAAATTTGCTTCTTATACTTATCGTTCCGATCCCTTGCTGATTAACACTGTTCTTTGTTTCAGCCAACACCGAGGCTTGGGGTTGCTATCGGTGATCAGATTTTGGACCTTAGTGTAATCAGGCATCTGTTTGATGGTCCGATTCTTCAGAGCCAGCAGTCTGTGTTCAGTGAGGTATTGTGCAAGGGCTAATTTTTCCTTTTAGTTTTAGAAAAAGTGTTTTGGCTTATTTGATGATTTCTAGAGAAGGACTTGTTTGATATGTTATAATTTTCAGGTTGTGCAATTTAGTATCATATATCAGTGTGGTTATCACAACAGCGTTTATCAAAACCAACATGAAATTATAGATAATTGTGTACAAATTAACTCCTGAAACCTTTGGAGGCTTATAAGAGAAGATCAACCACAGAGAACTGTTGAGACATCTAATCCTTGTTTAAATAGTTGAACACTATTTCAATTATTTATCCTCTGTATAGAGAACTTTGTGTCTGAAGATGTTTTAACTCCAGATGTTGCTGGAATCAAAGTCAGTGATGGCGATCAAATGTAGTGAACAACTCATAGATTATTGTAAGGATTTATGTCAAGCATTGTATGGTCATACAGGGCTCTCGATCTGCCAGATTTTGGCCCGATATTCAGCCCCATTCCCAATGCAAAATAGTATCTTTTTTTCCCAATTTAGACCCCAAGTTCTCCCAATTCTTCGGAAAATGCCGTTATTTTTCCCAATTCTAAGGGCCCCGGGCCCCAGTCCCAAAATGGGGTGTGAGAGCCCTGTCATAACAACCTTAGTCAATATCTAGGTGACAGGTTCAGTAAAAGATTCTTCAATCATTTTGTCTATAAGTATTTATTCACATTTATAACTTAGATATGTCTCATGATATAAAATGCATTTATCTATCCTTTATGATTATAATAGTAGACACTAAGATCCCACGAGGATCTCTCATTAAAACATAGGGAAAATGATAAAAAAAATATTTGTTACCTACTCTGATTGTTTAATTATATTTTTTGTCTCTTATTTCAAGTCAACATTGAATGCTTTTATGAGCCTTGGTCGTCCAGCTTGGAAGGAAGCCAGAGAAACATTGCAGAAACTTTTATCTGCTGATGAGCCTATCCTTAGGGACAACAGTAGCCTTAGAGACAGGTGTGGAAATGTGGAAATATAGAGTTACAGATAAGTGTAGAAAATGTATTATAGAGCTAGAGACAGGTGTGTACAATGTATTATAAAGCTAGAGACAGGTGTGGTAATATAGAGTCACAGATAAGTGTAGAAAATGTATTATAGAGCTAGAGACAGGTGTGTAAAATGTATTATAGAGCTATAGACAGGTGTGTACAATGTATTATAGAGCTATAGACAGGTGTGTACAGTGTATTATAGAGTTATAGACAGGTGTGAACAATGTATTATAGAGCTAAAGACAGGTGTGTACAATGTATTATAGAGCTAGAGACAGGTGTGTACAATGTATTATAGAGCTATAGAGAGGTGGGAACAATGTATTATAGAGCTATAGACAGGTGTGTACAATGTATTATAGAGCTATAGACAGGTGTGTACAATGTATTATAGAGCTATAGACAGATGTGTACAATGTATTATAGAGCTATAGACAGATGTGTACACTGTATTATTAATTTCGTTAACAGATTTGAGTAAGTCATGATTATAAATTTCTCTAATGCCAAGGTCGATTATCTGCTTCATTGAGAAAGATTATCGCCATATTTGGGCAAGTATCAAAATGATGTACATATTTACAAAGGTTAGATTTACTGTCTGGTTATGTTTACTTTCAGAGCATTTGTACCCCAGCACTCAGCACGGATGCATCTCCCAGCCAGAATAGGTATGGTATCCAGCCTTTCTAATTGTCACGTCTTTAAATATTTTACATGGGAAGACATTTTAGCACCCATCATCTGGTGTGATTCATCTGTTGCGTTAATTACTACTTCTTCAGAAGTACTTCGAATGGATCTTTATCAAATTCCTATGTAGATTCCCCCTAGGTCTAAACCATGATCTTCTGTGTTTTACTGGTGGATAATCTGCAGGATCACAATTAGATATATTTAAGTATTCTGTAGAAGTTTGGAGTCATACATTGAAATCTGCTGGTGTATTATAAGGGTAAAATATAGATATGGTTGCACTTACGTGAATGATAATGTTGCCAAGCGAAATACACTGTTGCCAAGCGAAATACACTGTTGCCAAGCGAAATACACTGTTGCCAAGCGAAATACACTGTTGCCAAGTGAAATACACAGATGTTCTTGTAATTTTGTCACTGAGTGCTACTCCTAGTGTTTTCTTTAATTCATTTATTATTTTTTAAAGAATAATGAAAATGTTGTGTTAAATTGACATTTTCTACATAAGAAAATCCAAAATAGTGTTTGCTTTACATTGTGAGAGACAAAAAGCAGCATACAGCTGTACAGTATGTAATAAAATTACAACCTGACTCAGAAGATAGCCAGTCAAATTCATCTCAAGATATGGCCCAGTTTATACTCAGAAAATTACAGTAAATATGCCTGTTCAAATTTGGTAGTAACCAGAGAAAACAAAACAGGTTGTGACTGAGACTGTGTTGTGACAAAGGTTTTACGGTGACTGAGACTGTGTTGTGACAAAGGTTTTACGGTGACTGAGACTGTGTTGTGACAAAGGTTTTACGGTGACTAGGTTTTGACTGTTTTGGGGTGGTGACTGAGACTGTGTTTTGACAAAGGTTTTACGGTGACTGGTTTTGACTGATTTTGGGGTGGTGACTGAGACTGTGTTGTGACAAAGGTTTTACGGTGACTGGGTTTTGACTGTTTTGGGGTGCTGACTGAGACTTTGTTGTGACTTTTTCTGTTTTGATTGAGTTTGTGCATTTCTATCTCCACAGGTGATTACACCGACTTCTACTCGTCCAAAAACCATGCATACAATGTAGGCTGTATGTTTAGAGGACCTGAGAATGCACTCATGCCAAACTGGTAGGTTTAATAGCTTTTCATTGCCTTCAGAATGTAATGGTACATGAGGGTGACACCCAGCAGTTTGCAATAGACAGATACAGAAGTAGAATGTTCCTCTAAGATTTGTGAATGAAAATATTTATACTCATAATTTGTTCATGAATATGGACTTATTAATGAACATAAAATAAAACAAAAACATGTGTGTTGTTTATAGATTGTTACATGTAGTTACCCCCATTAACATTACAATAAGGAATTAAACAATCCCACAAAACAACCGTAGATCTGTCGATAAAACAAAGGAACATCACTGATAACAGCCACAGGAACTAAGTTCCAAGACCAAATTACAAGATTAATGTTCTTGAGTAGAAAAATAGATTTACCGTAATGCTAGCGTGAATGGCAGATGATTAAAACATTCGAAATTTATTTTATTTTATTTTTGTTGTTGTTTTTATCTCCAAACTATCATATATGACCGACGACTTTGACATATAATTATGTGAAAGGAGGTAATTCAATATGGCGGACGCAGAACTCGGGAATGATAACCCCAAGAATGGCATGTTCCTGCGTATAATGCGCACCCCCTTTTTGACACCACAGTTTTAGCTTGAAAAAGTGCGCACTATACGCAAAAATTTACATTACTTTTTCGGTCACCTGACTCTAAGGGTAAGTGACCTATAACCATATAATGTTTTGTCTTTCAACATGCATAAACTTTCTACGTTTTAAAATTGTTCTCAATTTCCAACAATACGATTAAGCTCAAACTTGCTTGAAGTGATTCCTAGATGGCCCTGCTGTCCGAAATTCACATATAATCTTTTCTCTAATTTCACTGGTGTAAATCAGTTGAAATTGTGTGGAAATGTTGAAAAACTGAACTGAACATTGTTATCAAAATGTTCCTAGAATATTCAGAAATGTTTTAATTATTATATAATTGTTCACTCAACCATATTTCTGTTACGTCATTTATGGCAGGCAGTTCAAATAACTCTTCATATATGGTCTGTCTTCCCTCCGTAAACAATCCTGAATGACATTTTCCGAAATGATTCATAGCCCATAAGTAACTAGTCAATTGTTACCTTTAACTAGATTTTTCATTGTGTAAAACTTTGTCTTAACATGTACCACATGGCTGATCACAATGTGTAACAAGTACTTTCAACTGCCGAAATGATGGGTATCGGTACATATTTGAGCGGTGCCATCTGGGTGGTTGTGCTATATAAATTAAGATGTAACAGAATAAATACAGGGCTCTCACACCCCATTTTGGGACTGGGGCCTGGGGCCCTTAGAATTGGGAAAAATAACGGCATTTTCCTAAGAATTGGGAAGATACTATTTCTCATTGGGAATTCGGCCCCAAATTTGGCAGATCGAGAGCCCTGAAATACCAAAGTTATGGTCAAAACCCTTTCAAGAACAAATAAAGATTGAATAAAGGTGGGCCTCGCATAAAGATGCATCAGGGATTTTTCAGTGATCATAATAATTTGTATTGAGAACTGAAGACAGTGAACAAGTTCAGGCTTACTTAGACATGCTGTTGTTTGTTTCAGGACACGTTTACCTGTAGGATATCATGGTCGGGCTTCATCATGCTGTTGTCTGTTTCAGGACACGTTTACCTGTAGGATATCATGGTCGCGCTTCATCATGCTGTTGTCTGTTTCAGGACACGTTTACCTGTAGGATATCATGGTCGCGCTTCATCATGCTGTTGTCTGTTTCAGGACACGTTTACCTGTAGGATATCATGGTCGCGCTTCATCATGCTGTTGTCTGTTTCAGGACACGTTTACCTGTAGGATATCATGGTCGCGCTTCATCATGCTGTTGTCTGTTTCAGGACACGTTTACCTGTAGGATATCATGGTCGCACTTCATCATGCTGTTGTCTGTTTCAGGACACGTTTACCTGTAGGATATCATGGTCGCGCTTCATCATGCTGTTGTCTGTTTCAGGACACGTTTACCTGTAGGATATCATGGTCGCGCTTCATCATGCTGTTGTCTGTTTCAGGACACATTTACCTGTAGGATATCATGGTGCTTCATCATGTTTCAGGACACATTTACCTGTAGGATATCATGGTCGCGCTTCATCATGCTGTTGTCTGTTTTGGGACACATTTACCTGTAGGATATCATGGTCGCGCTTCATCATGCTGTTGTCTGTTTCAGGACACGTTTACCTGTAGGATATCATGGTCGCACTTCATCATGCTGTTGTCTGTTTCAGGACACGTTTACCTGTAGGATATCATGGTCGCGCTTCATCATGCTGTTGTTCGTTTCAGGACACGTTTACCTGTAGGATATCATGGTCGCGCTTCATCATGCTGTTGTCTGTTTCAGGACACGTTTACCTGTAGGATATCATGGTCGCACTTCATCATGCTGTTGTCTGTTTCAGGACACGTTTACCTGTAGGATATCATGGTCGCACTTCATCATGCTGTTGTTCGTTTCAGGACACGTTTACCTGTAGGATATCATGGTCGGGCTTCATCATGCTGTTGTTTGTTTCAGCTAGGACACATTTACCTGTAGGATATCATGGTCGCGCTTCATCATGCTGTTGTTCGTTTCAGGACACATTTACCTGTAGGATATCATGGTCGCGCTTCATCATGCTGTTGTTCGTTTCAGGACACATTTACCTGTAGGATATCATGGTCGCGCTTCATCATGCTGTTGTTCGTTTCAGGACACATTTACCTGTAGGATATCATGGTCGCGCTTCATCATGCTGTTGTTTGTTTCAGCTAGGACACATTTACCTGTAGGATATCATGGTCGCGCTTCATCATGCTGTTGTTCGTTTCAGGACACATTTACCTGTAGGATATCATGGTCGCGCTTCATCAGTGGTTGTATCAGGTACCCCGGTCAGGCGCCCAAATGGACAGACCCGCCCTGATGATGGTAAGTTGTCATAAGTAGTATATTGTTCAATCCTTCCATTGTCCTTTGTCTATCAGACTCTGCATCCATCCTGGAACCATGTAATAACTTTTTCTCAAAGTTATTGCATGAAAGTACATCTTCTATTTTGGGACTGATCGGAAGACGATATGACAAACAGATGGATCTCAAGATGTTCTTAATGTTTCACTGGGTGCTTCTGATAAAATTCCTGATCAGAAATCTTCTGTGAAGTGGTCATAATGTTAATTATTGTATTCAGACAGGATACCTCAATTTATATGTAGTTTCCATCGATCCTTGACTGCATTCACCTGCTGTCACTTTGAATCATTGAGGGGTTAAAGGGACCTGTCCGTCTGTATTTCAACAACATGCATAATCCAATGACGTCCCGCTCTATCAACGTTTTTTTTTATCAAGAAGCTGCACATGTTTGGCATCAGAACATTCTTGGATCAAAATTGAAACCATTGCAAACCCCAATCTTACTTATAATTAAACACTGGTCTCAGAAACTCCAGGAATCTAAAGTCAAGAAAATGCTAATCTCTTGGCAATTCTGAAGAAAATTAACTGATTGCGGAAATACAAATCCAAAGAACTTGATGATGGTGTTCCAACTACACATAACATCAATATGGCCAAGCTTGTGCGTGTAAAAAAAACTAACCACAAGTCTTAATGCTAGATCAACAAAATTGGAACACAGTATGACTGAAAAATCAAAACTGATTGACAACAAAATAGATTAAAAAAACTTCACATGGTCAAACAAGATTTGACATGACGCATCAACACAAAGGACGAGGAACATTACAATATGATTCAAGATAGAGGGTTTTGTAAATAACATCTTGCCACTTAAAGCATAATCTGGACATTTCTGACCCAGACACCAATTTAACTTCAGGGAATTATTGATGCACTACAGCAGACTAAATCTTGCAAAGTCACTAGCATCAAGAAGCACTCAAGCACATGGACGGATGGATAATCCGTTTTCCTTAAAAAGTTACTGTTTTCACAAGTTGTGGATGAATGGAATCACAGTGTGTGATCAACCCAATTCTAAAGCCAAGTAACACAAGTAACACTGTGGATCCTTAAACCTGTTGTGGTATAAGCTTGCTGCTAGGATTAAGGTCCTATCCTCAACTGTCGTCTCACAACTTGCGTTTTTGCTCTAAATACCTACACATCTTTACAAATAACCAAAGAGAATTTTTATCATATACAGAAACTCAGGGTTTTCCATAATTTTGTTAGTAGTAGGCTGTGTAGTGAAAGCAGGAGGCTGGCCCGCCGTGTACGTGTAGTCGTGTACGGAACATTATTACAGAACTGGCCATGGATTGGTGTAGGCGACCAAATGATCAAAGTAGCCGGTCAAATTGGCTGGCAACCGGCTCTTATGGAAAACCCTGGAAACTATCAATGATACATTATATACACTAGGTATATATAGAAATTAACAGCTGTCTTTTTTGTATGTAAAATTTATTGTGTAGATATGCCTTCATATTGCTAGAATTTTGTATGGATTCATTAACGACACAACGTAACCACAAGCATAGCTCGCTCACTACATAGCAGCCCTCTGTATTAACACACAGTGTTTTTATTTTATAGCCAGTCCACCTGTGTTCACCAAGTGTAAACTGTTGGACTTTGAGTTGGAGATGGCCTTCTTCACCGGCCCAGCAAATGAGCTTGGTCAGCCCATTACCATGGACAAAGCCGAGGACCACATCTTTGGGATGGTACTTATGAATGACTGGAGCGGTATGTTGTACTGTTAACCAAGGTAGCAGGAAAAGTTAATTTGCATTTTTCCTGAAATTATTTGTCATGTTTGAGATATACAGGTATAGCAGATTGGTTATGAAAAATACATCATTACCTGTATATATATTTTTTGAACTACATAACAATTACATTAACAGCAGAGAGATGAAATTTATGTAAATAAAAAATTTCCTCTGATTTCTGACATTTGATTGTGATGGTTACCTGCTGAAAAAATGCTAAAAATGCAAAAATACTGCTAATTCCAACCTAACACTACAACTTTCTAGAAGAAATTTATTTCTGAACACAACATAGTCATGGTAACAAACTACTTACATTTCAGTACTGCTACCTAAATGCAAGACTCTTCCATGACTTCTCAATATTTCAATGTTAAATGTTTTCTGTGTCTCGTTAATATTGATGCTGGTTGCGTGATTCCTCGGAGTTTTTGTAAATGTTTTATATTTCTTGTAACAGCTCGAGACATACAGAAGTGGGAGTACGTTCCGCTCGGCCCATTCCTGGGAAAGAACTTTGCAACAACTATTTCCCCCTGGGTGGTGACTATGGATGCCCTCAAATCTTTTACTGTTCCAAACATGCCCCAGAATCCAGTCCCCCTACCGTACCTTCAACATGAGGACCCATATAGCTTTGACATCAATCTACAGGTCAACCTAAAGAGTGAGTATCACAATGGTGACTGATCCAGTCATGACAAGAGTGAGTATCATATCGGTGACTGATCCAGTCATGACAAGAGTGAGTATCACTATGGTGATTGATCCAGTCATGACCAGAGTGAGTATCACATCGGTGACTGATCCTGTCATGACAAGATTGAGTATTACATCGGTGACTGATCCAATCATGACAAGAGTGAGTATCACTATGGTGATTGATCCAGTCATGACAAGAGTGAGTATCACTATGGTGACTGATCCAGGCATGACAAGATTGAGTATCACATCGGTGACTGATCCAGTCATGAAAAGGTCTATTGTTTGATGTGCGACAGACATGGAGCAAACCATAGGTGTTAATTTTCTGCTGACACCATTACGTACATTTGATTTTAACTCCAAATTGTTTGATTAAATAACAAATGCGATCAACGCTAAACATGCTTAATGATTGTATATACGCAAGAGCATCCTAGTACATGTTTTCAATTAATAATATTTACCATATAGTTAATAATTGACTTTGTTAGTTAATTATATTGTTTCCCAAAGTAGATCTAGTTACTGGAGTGATAACTGACAGATAAAGGGTAGTCTTGGTGTCCTGTTAGTAGTCTTGGTGTCATGTGAGTAGTCTTGGTGTCCTGTGAGTAGTCTTGGTGTCCTGTGAGTAACCTTGGTGTCATGTGAGTAGTCTTGGTGTCCTGTGAGTAGTCTTGGTGTCCTGTGAGTAGTCTTGGTGTCCTGGTGTCCTGTGAGTAGTCTTGGTGTCCTGTGAGTAACCTTGGTGTCCTGTGAGTAGTCTTGGTGTCCTGTGAGTAGTCTTGGTGTCCTGGTGTCCTGTGAGTAGTCTTGGTGTCCTGTGAGTAGTCTTAGTGTCCTGTGAGTAGTCTTGGTTTCATGTGAGTAGTCTTGGTGTCCTGTGAGTAGTCTTGGTGTCCTGTGAGTAACATTGGTGTCCTGTGAGTAGTCTTGGTGTCCTGTGAGTAGTCTTGGTGTCCTGTGAGTAGTCTTGGTGTCCTGTGAGTAGTCTTGGTGTCCTGTGAGTAGTCTTGGTGTCCTGTGAGTAGTCTTGGTGTCCTGTGAGTAGTCTTGGTGTCATGTGAGTAGTCTTGGTGTCCTGTGAGTAGTCTTGGTGTCCGGTTAGTAGTAGGCTGTACATGACCATCGTAAGCAACTGATAGTGCTAAATCATACACATATGTGTCACTTAATTAGTACTGATGAAGTGAGATTTCTTTCACATCTTGTAACACTGTACCAGCTTACACAACTTGTTCCTAATGATGCAAAGGCCAGTTTGGGATAGGTCAGAAAAGCAACATAGTTGACAGGAAGCCATTTCAATTTTTTGTAAGTCATATTTTGTTAATAATAACTGTTTCTGGAGAGGGCATGCATGAATCTTTCTCAAATTTCATATTCAGATTCTTACTGGTCCCTAGTTGTGCATACTGGTAGTCCATTTTTGGACTTATTGGTAAAACAATATGCCTTACAGTTGGCCATTTTGACACCGAAAATTTGTTTTTGCTATTTTAGTTTTAGATATTTTTCAAATTTCATAATTATGTAGGTTCTGAAGGTGGCAAGTTGTTCTGTTTATTGATGTTAGCATTAATTCAGCTGTCAATATAACATGTAGATCTATTGACTCGTACAGTCATTTGACTCCTACAGTAATATATCTATTGACTCATACAGAAATATATCTAAGATCTATTGACTTGTTCAGTAATATATCTAAGATCTGTTGACTCGTACAGTCAATTGACTTGTACAGTAATATTTCTAAGATCTATTGAATCATATGGTAATATATCTAAGATATAGATCAGAAATATATTGACTTGTTCAGTGATATATATATCGTACAGTGATATATCTAAGATCTGTTGACTCGTACAGTCAATTGACTTGTACAGTAATATTTCTAAGATCTATTGAATCATATGGTAATATATCTAAGATCTATTGACTCATACAGAAATATATCTAAGATCTATTGACTCCTACAGTAATATATCTAAGATCTATTGACTCATACAGAAATATATCTAAGATCTGTTGCCTCCTACAGTAATATATCTAAGATCTTTTGACTCGTACAGTAATATATCTAAGATCAGTAATATATCTAGGATCTGTTGACTCGTACAGTCAATTGACTCGTACAGTAATATATCTAAGATCTGTTGACTCGTACAGTCAATTGACTCGTACAGTAATATATCTAAGATCTATTGACGCCTACAGTAATATATCTAAGATCTATTGACTCATACAGAAATATATCTAAGATCTATTGACTCGTACAGTAATATATCTAAGATCTGTTGACTCATACAGAAATATATCTAAGATCTATTCACCAAAGCATGTGTGTAATGGATGTAAAGCAATTATCACAAAAATAACTATCAACAATACCACAAATATCAGATTGTATTTGTCTTATGTTTGAAACCTGTTTGATTTTACTCTAATAGGTGACGGCCTCAGTCAGCCACATGTTCTTTGCAGGAGCAACTACAAGGTAAACTACGACCATATCTGTCAGTTTTATATGATCTTATAATTCAGTGTTCAGAACAAAAATTATAGTCAACTTCATCGCTTTGTACATCTAATTATATACAGGGAAATCTGGAAGAGTCCCATCTGGAGGGACTCCAAAGATTTCAATATTTCATTACAAAATGAAACTTTGGGTCTAAAATAGCCTGGAGAGTAGTGATTCAGCCTTATGTTAGTGTTGTATTGATCTGTGTGGCTGCATATTGATTATTTAGCCCACTATCTGCACATATAACATTTAGTTTATAAATCATTCACCCTAAACTACCAGGTTATAAACTCCCTGTTTCCCCACGAAGTCGGGGTGGGTGGGTTATACCGGTATCAGCTTGTCTGTCCGCCTATTGGTAAAAACTATCCAGACGACTCCTTAACTTTGTGAACAAATATCAAAGAAACCACACAGGAAAGTTAGAGAGCCATGTGATGTAGATGTGCATGCATGTCCATGGTCCGTCTGCGCTCTGTCCATCCACAAACAATTTTTGTTATCATTATTTCTTGAGAAGCACTGGATTGATCTTTCTCAAATTTCATATGTAGGTTCCCTTTGGTCCCTAGTTGTACCATATTGATTGGGTCAGATCAAAACCAAAATGGCGGACAGGTGGCCATCTTGGATTTTGAACTTGCAAGTTTGTTGTCACTATGTCTTAAGAAATACTGGATGGATCTCTCTCCAATTTCTTTGTCAGTTACCTTATGTCCCTGGTTGTGTCATTTGATTTTGGATCCAATCAGAAAAACAATGGCCGACAGGTGGCCATCTTGGATTTTGACTTTGCAATTTTATTATCACTATTATCACCCCTTCGTCCCTTTTTTTTTTTTAATTTGATTTTTATTTTGAATTCATTTAATCATTCATACGGAGACGTTGATTTGAGCCATTGTTTTCTTGGTATTTTAATGTGATAAAGAACAAAAAGAAAATACCAACATGTCAAGATAAACTTAGTCCAAACTAAGATTCAACTAGGTCGAAATAGGAACAAAAGAATTAATTACACAGAGACTTCTGGAAAAGTACATGAGAATGAGACCAGGTGTTCTAGAAGAGTAAGCGTCTTTTGCTTCATCGATGACACCTGCCATATTAATCTTGGTCAATCCCAGTTAGTAATGTCACAATTGGAAATTAGAACAAGGTATACAACAACAAAACCAGCAGGCAAACTAATGAGCATCAGACACTTATGATATTTCTTTGGTGTCCTTGGAAACAGCTTGTCAATTCACTGATTTCAGGGTTTCCAGAACATATCTCAACAAAACTGTTAAAAATAACTTTTTTTACAATAAGACTGCAAGCACCAGTTCTGTTCCACCCTTCATAACGACTATTTATATCTACACTTCCATATCTCTACAAGATGTCAGGTTTGTGAATGAGCTCCCTTCACTCAGCTGAATAACTATCTCTCGGCTTTATAAAAGCCAAATTTTAAAATGGAGTCAATCATTTTGTTTTAACTAATTTGAAAATCTTTCTGACATTTTTAACAAAGTATTCCTATTATGATAAACAGTGTATTTTTTTTATTTCATTATCTAACATTATCACTGATATTTACATATAAAAATAAATTTCTGTGTAGAACATTTATTTAAATAAGTTTGGTAAAACAATGGTGCAGATGTCAGGAAGATTTATCATAATGGTCCAAATAGTTTCAAAATAAAAATTATTGACTTCAGAATTCTCAGATTCCTGCAATAGTCCATTCATTTCTTGCTTTGTTGTATTTTTGTGTTTCAGTACATGTATTGGACAATGAAACAACAACTGGTTCATCACACAGTGACAGGCTGTAACACTAACCCAGGGGACCTCCTGGCTTCAGGCACCATCAGTGGAGAGGTGAGTCACCTCAATTTTCTTCAGTTACCATGGAAACAGACAAAACTATCAGGAACTTTAACTTAAACTTTAGGAATGAGTGGATTTTGCCCAAATATGGTCTGAAGCATTAGTAGTGAAAGGGTGAACAAATGTTGTATAAATGTTTGAGTCTCATACAAGCAAAACCAGGTTAGTAATACAGGCCCTATGGACCTCTTGTTTTCAAATCAGTGATGTAATTATACATCAAAATGTTATGTCCTTAATGTGTTGCAGACCACAGATTCATTTGGCAGTATGTTGGAGCTGTGCTGGAAGGGCACCAAGCCAATAGAACTTGGTGGCGGAGTCACTAGAAAATTTTTACAGGACGGAGATGAGGTCATCATGTCAGGTAACATTTACAGCGTCCTGGGATTAGACTTCAGTTTCTTAAACATGATGATGATCATTTAAACAAACTTGTTCGTCAAAATGACCAAGCAAGATCAGAACTTTTTCTGTCTGGAGTATAAAGATTAGGACATCATTTGTCTGGTATATTAAAATTAGGACATTATCTGTCTGGTATATTAAGATAGGACATCATTTGTCTGGTATATTAAGATAGGACATTTTCTGTCTGGTATATAAGATTAGGACATCATTTGTCTGGTATATTAAGATAGGACATTATCTGTCTGGTATATTAAGATAGGACATTATCTGTCTGGTATATTAAGATAGGACATCATCTGTCTGGTATATTAAGACAGGACATCATCTGTCTGGTATATTAGAATTAGGACTTTTTCTGTCTGGTATATTAAGATCAGGACATTATCTGTCTGGTATATTAAGATAGGACATTATCTGTCTGGTATATTAAGATAGGACATCATCTGTCTGGTATATTAAGATAGGACATCATCTGTCTGGTATATTAAGATAGGACATCATCTGTCTGATATATTAAGATAGGACATTATCTGTCTGATATATTAAGATAGGACATCATCTGTCTGATATATTAAGATAGGACATCATCTGTCTGATATATTAAGATAGGACATCATCTGTCTGATATATTAAGATAGGACATTATCTGTCTGGTATATTAAGATTGGACATTTTCTGTCTGGTATATTAAAATTAGGACATTTTCTGTCTTGTATACTAAGATAGGACTTTATCTGCAAGTTTCCACTAATGGAAGTTTCCTTATTTCACAGGATGGTGTGAGAACAACGGTGTGAGAATTGGCTTTGGGACATGTACCGGGAAAGTGCTACCTGCACTTGACATGTGATTGTTTAAGAAGTTTTAATCATAAACATTTGGAGGATATGATCTGTTGATCTTAATTGTGTACAGTTCTGTGGCTAACAATAACCTCTCTATTGTTGGACAGTACCACCTTGAAGCTGGATTGGAGAATTTTACGGAAAAAACAGCAATTATACAATATTAATTCTGGTCAAGGCTTTGTACGATTCTCAATTGTGTACTGAGTAATGATTTAGTTAAAATCTTTTCTCAACAATTTATATTTTTCTGTTATTTTGTTATCATTTAAGACCATTTGTTTGTGAGATGGTGGGACGGTTTGTCAAACAATATCACAAACAAACAAGAAATTAATGAGAGGTTCACTCCAAAACGGGCCCAATATTGTCCCCACTTTCAAAATGTGTAATCAGAAATTTTCCGCTTGATTCATCTATATCTGTAGAATTTAAACCTGATTTAAACCATTCACCTATATCTCCAAGTCCTTTTACCTGTGTCACGACATTCACCGATATCTGTAGGAATTTAAATTTGTGTCACAACATTCACCAATATCTGTTGGAATTTAAATTTGTGTCACAACATTCACCAATGTCTGTAGGAATTTAAATTTTTGTCACAACATTCACCAATATCTGTTGGAATTTAAATTTGTGTCACAACATTCACCAATATCTGTAGGAATTTTAATTTGTGTCACAACATTCACCGATATCTGTAGGAATTTAAATTGTGTCACAACATTCACCAATATCTGTTGGAATTTAAATTTGTGTCACAACATTCACCAATACCTGTAGGAATTTTAATATCTGTAGGAATTTTAATTTGTGTCTCAACATTCACCGATATCTGTAGGAATTTAAATTTGTGTCACAACATTCACCGATATCTGTAGGAATTTAAATTTGTGTCACAACATTCACCAATACCTGTAGGAATTTTAATATCTGTAGGAATTTTTTAAATTTAAATTTGTGTCACAACATTCACCGATATCTGTAGGAATTTAAATTTGTGTCACAACATTCACCAATATCTGTTGGAATTTAAATTTGTGTCACAACATTCACCAATACCTGTAGGAATTTAAATTTGTGTCACAACATTCACCGATATCTGTAGGAATTTAAATTTGTGTCACAACATTCACCAATATCTGTAGGAATTTAAATTTGTGTCACAACATTCACCGATATCTGTAGGAATTTTAATTTGTGTCTCAACATTCACCGATATCTGAAGGAATTTAAATTTGTGTCACAACATTCACCAATACCTGTAGGAATTTTAATATCTGTAGGAATTTTAATTTGTGTCTCAACATTCACCGATATCTGTTGGAATTTAAATTTGTGTCACAACATTCACCAATGTCTGTAGGAATTTAAATTTGTGTCACAAATTTTAACGATATCTGTAGGAATTTAAATTTGTCACAACATTCACCAATGTCTGTAGGAATTTAAATTTGTGTCACAACATTCACCAATATCTGTAGGAATTTTAAGCAGTGTTACACAATTTACGTGCATCTTGAAGATTGTATACCTATTTTCAACATTCACCTATTTGTGTAGGATTCTACAAATATGTTTAGGATTCTAACATATGAAATACTTAAGTATTTAATTCCAAATGATGTCATATGTTGTACTAAATTTGCATCACAGAAAAGTTCAGTATCTTTGTGCTGCATGAAGGGACACATTTTTCTTCTCCATCAGGTGAGTGTAAGGTAGAATGATTTCACAAATTTGTGACTGAATGTACCTTGTGTGATTTCTCAATGTACTGTTAGTATGCTTCTGGAAAAAGAACTTGTGGTATGAACAGAAATAAGAAAACAAACCTGTTTTATCCATAACTCCATTTATTGATACATAACAAGCATCCCCACATTTTCTTCAGAAATTGTCATCAACACAAAATTGTTTATTGCACATTCCACAAACATAAGGTAAGTTTCACATGGAAATATTTTTCCTCAAAATGGAAAGACGATAATTATAACACAAATGTGTTTGAAATGAAATAATTCAGTTTACTATTAGGTTAGTTTCACATGGAAAAAATATTTTCCCTCAAAATGGAAAGACGATTATTATAACACAAATGTGTTTGAAATGAAATAATTTAGTATACAATATATGAATAGCTTTGAGGTTTTCCTGTACCAACGGTTATTTGACCAAATACTTACACAGTGATGCTCGGTTATAGCTTAATTGGTGAATACCTTTCTATAACAATAACTTTGATATGTAACTAAATTTTAAATTGTTTCATCACCTGTAACTAACTTTTGTTTGAACTGTGATTAAAAACAAGCTCTAAACATGTGTGAATCAGAAATAAAACAGACATGAATTCATGTTATCAAAATAAATCAAGGCCATCATTTTTCTTTATTTAATGATATATTTCTGGTAAATATAGATTTTTTTTCATTTTGCATGAGTATTAACAATAAATCAAGGACGTCCTTGCCTTAACTTCTTATATTTATTAAACTTTAGATAAATGAATAAAGTGATCATGATATGAATTTTTATTCTGCATTCAATTAAAACATTACAAAAAAAACACAAAAATCACTTACTCTACAGTAAACAACAATAATTTTTGTTCAATTTTGTCAAATATCACAAATAGAAATTATTTCCAGTCTTTTTTATCATTTTTCCTTTTTGGTCTATACCTAGGCAGGATTATTTATGGTGGTTCTGATCCAGATCACAAACAGGTGGCTTTTTATGTACTTTATTGTGAAATGTTATAGTTATATTGCCCAGTGAAGGGATAATTGATCCTGATTCCCATTCAATATCCCAAGCTAATGATTCTCAAGTGAGCTCCGACTGTAAAGTATGTGTTTTCACTTAGTTATCTACTTCAGTGAAAAAACAAAATTTGTCAACAAGACTGTTCTGAACACTGATTTTATCTTGTAAAAAGTGCTTTATTTCCATGACTTAAAATCCCAATGATTGATTTGAAAAGAAATCAAACTGATTTCATCATCAGTCTCAATCTTGATGATTATAACAACCAGATTTTACTGACTACAAGAAAAGAAATGAAGTTGAACAGTATTGAAGAAAAAGTCCATTCTTAATAAACACAATTATCATTTAAATACAAATATAAATGTAGTACATGGAATTTCTACAAAACAATACCCAATCACTATAGCTTACACAACAGTTCTTTAGTTACTGCCTGATTTCCCATCACGTTAAATACGTGTATAAATTTAATCGATTTTTTTTATCTGATATATCATACGGTGAAAGATGAGATGGTGATTAAGACAAAAAAAATTCTGTGTGTGTTTTTCTTAAATCAGTAGAATTCTGTAATTTTTGTTTAAAATTCATCATTCATTTTAACTTCATATCCTTAGTATGGCATGTCATTTTGCTACACTTAAACATCAATACTTCAAAAATTATAAATTTCCCTATTTGTTTTCACACCTAAACATACAACTTATCTTTATCACACAGAATTAACTAGAAGATGTTAACAATCAAGAAGTCAGGATCCCACTGGTGGTTTTCTTGTCTGTAAAAAATCCCTTAAGGATGAAAACTTGTCCGATTCCAATGGACATGATGATAAGGAACTCGCCCAGTGACCAGTAAAACACTCGTTCATTCAGGTTCTCAGCATACACACGACCCTGGGCCTCGCGAAGTCGGAAATGCGTCTGTACTTCCACAACATTGTTCAGTGCGTCGTGAATATCTTCTGATGCAGACTCCATCTAACACGGAAAAGGAAGACAATGTTTAGTGATGTCACTTGAATATTTTATAGATCCTTGGCAGTTGTGACAGAAGAAAGAGGTGTCACATGAACATATTATAGACAATCTGACATAATTGAGTGATGTCACACGAATATATTATAGATAATTAGACATAATTGTATGATGTCACATGAATATATTATAGATAATTAGACATAATTGTGTGATGTCACATGAATATATTATAGATAATTAGACATAATTGTGTGATGTCACATGAATAGATAATTAGACATAATTGTGTGATGTCACATGAATATATAATAGATAATCAGACATAATTGTGTGATGTCACATTAATATATTATAGATAATTAGACATAAATGTGTGATGTCACATGAATATATTATAGATAATTAGACATAATTGAGTTATGTCACATGAATATATTACAGACAATCAGACATAATTGCGTGATGTCACATGAATATATTACAGACAATCAGACATAATTGCGTGATGTCACATATTACAGACAATCAGACATAATTGCGTGATGTCACATAAATATATTACAATCAGACATAATTGAGTTATGTCACATATTACAGACAATCAGACATAATTGCGTGATGTCACATGAATATATTACAGACAATCAGACATAATTGCGTGATGTCACATGAATATATTACAATCAGACATAATTGAGTGACTTCACATATTACAGACAATTAGACATAATTGTATGATGTCACATATTACAGACAATCAGACAAGCTCCAGTATAGATTCCAGGTGGTTTTTCCTTTTCTGGTGTATACACGACATGCATGAACGAATACATCAATGTGAATGTGTAGATTTTGAGACAGAGCTAAGGTATTTTATAATTTCTTGCCGTGAACTATAAAAATTCATATTTAACTATTTATTCCTAGCTTTATTATGCAACTCCAACAAAAGCAAAATTTCTATCCAGCATAATGTGACCCCTTAAATACAGTTATTGCCCTTTGTTGAAAATGTCTTGTCTGGAGCATGACTTTGCACACAATTAACCAAGGATCACAAAACTTGGAGTATGCATTGATCATACTAAGACAATGTGTTGTGTTTTAAAATTCAGGGCCCTCCAGCTCTAAATTGCAAAGTTATTGCCCTTTGTTAAAAATATATTTGCTTGCATTTAAAGCAGGATAAATAGAGGTTCTACAACGAGTGGTAGTTGATTATCATCGTTATCTAACTCAAGTTAGTTCATTTTCAAATTTAGAAAAGACACAAGGCTCTGCCACAGATCATTGTTGGGTCAAATGTCAATGCCTCGTCCAATAGATTTAGCTGTCACCAATAATACACGTGTGTATTATGCATATGAATAAACAATGGATATGGTGTTTAATGAATAGTCTGGGTGTGAGATAGCATACGCAGGTTATGGTAGAATGAAATTTAATTATACATTGATCATACAAACACAATGTGCTGTATTCCAGTGTACCAACCCCTTAACTATGGAACTATGGCTATTTGTTAAAATTTTGTGTCCAGAGAATTAATTAGTCTGTGTTTAAACTAGGATATTGAAACATGACCTATACATCAGTCATACAAAAACAAGGTGCAGTTATGACCATAGTTTTGTTTGCACTCAACTAGGATCATGAAACTTGGTCATACTAAGAAAATGTGCAGTATACCAAATACAGGGCCTGCAACCCTCAGTTACGAATTCTTGCCCTTTGTTAAAATTTTGTGTCCAATGAAGTCTTTCTCAGAGAGAATTCATCAGTTTCACTGTTATCACATTTTTGTTTGATGAAGTCTTTCTCAGAGAGAATTCATCAGTTTCACTGTTATCACATTTTTGTTTGATATTTTTGATATTTTTATTTCCATTTAGATATTGCGTGGAATTTTTTGGTGTATACAAACTAATTCACAAAAATTTTTAAAAAATTGAAACAAACGCAATTTTACCACAAGTGTACAGTGGTCTGGCTTCCTACATGCCAGTCTTGACATTTACTGAAGTAAAAATATCAGTTTTTTTGTAAGGCTGTTGTAGAGGACATATACCAGAACTGTAAATAGTACTACTTATGTAACATCAGAAACCATTGGATCAATAGACAAAAGAATTTGGTACATATTGGGTCTAGTTGTGTCCTTAAGGGTAAGACAGAGAAATGTCTACCAAAGGAGGAAAATGGTATATATTGGGACTAGTAGTGTCCTTAAGAGTAAGACAGAGAAATGTCTACCAAATAGGAAAATGGTATATATTGGGACAAGTAGTGTCCTTGAGGGTAAGACAGAGAATCTCTACCAATGGAGGAAAATGATATATATTGGGTCTAGTAGTGTCCTTAAGAGTAAGACAGAGAAATGTCTACTAGAGGAGGAAATTCTATGACTGTGTAGCAGGGGAGGGAATTCTTGACAGTCTAGCTCAAGGATGGGTATCTTGACTGTCTAAGACGAGATTCCTGACTGTTGACCTACACAGGGAGGAGATTCTTGACTGTTTTAACTTGGGGAGACACTTTGCTGTCAAGTCCGAGGAGGAAATTCTCGGCCATCTTACATAAAGAGGAGATTATTTACTATCAATCTCAAATAGGTGAATCAGAACTGTCACGCAAAAAGACAAATTCTTGTCAAGCCTAATTAGGAATATTTTGACTGCTTTAATCAGTGAAAGGAGATTCTTTTATAACTAATGCAAGGAGATTATTTGTCTAATAGGAGAATCTTCTCTGTCTAATCCAAGGAGATTCTTGTCTGTCTCATCCAAGGAGATCTTGTCTGTCTCATCCAAGGACATTCTTGTCTGTCTCATCCAAGGAGATCTTGTCTGTCTCATCCAAGGACATTCTTGTCTGTCTCATCCAAGGACATTCTTGTCTGTCTCATCCAGGGACATTCTTGTCTGTCTCATCCAAGGACATTCTTGTCTGTCTCATCCAAGAACATTCTTGTCTGTCTCATCCAAGGAGATTCTTGTCTGTCTCATCCAAGGACACTCTTGGATGTCTCATCCAAGGACATTCTTGGATGTCTAATCCAAGGACACCCTTTGGTGTCTCATCCAAGGAGATTCTTGTCTGTCTCATCCAAGGAGATTCTTGTCTGTCTCATCCAAGGACATTCTTGTCTGTCTCATCCAAGGACATTCTTTGATGTCTCATCCAAGGAGATTCTTGTCTGTCTAATCCAAGGAATTCTTGTCTGTCTCATCCAAGGACATTCTTTGATGTCTCATCCAAGGAGATTCTTGTCTGTCTAATCCAAGGACATTCTTGTCTGTCTCATCCAAGGAGATTCTTGTCTGTCTAATCCAAGGAATTCTTGTCTGTCTCATCCAAGGACATTCTTTGATGTCTCATCCAAGGAGATCTTGTCTGTCTCATCCAAGGACATTCTTTGATGTCTCATCCAAGACGATTCTTGGTTGTCTAATCAAAGGAAGAGATATAAAGGAGGCTGCCGAGGAAAAAATATAATCCTAATGCTACAATTAGATCAATTCAGTTTGGTTTTCTGTTCACTCAATCAGATTATGGTATAAAATTCTGATACTTCTGATGATAATCTAGGGGTTTGTGTGGGTTCTTTGTCATGGTAATCTAGGGGTCTGTGTGGGTTCTTTGTCATGGTAATCTAGGGGTTTGTGTGGGTTCTTTGTCATGGTAATCTAGGGGCCAGTGTGGGTTCTTTGTCATGGTAATCTAGGGGTCTGTGTGGGTTCTTTGTCATGATAATCTAGGGGTTTGTGTGGGTTCCTGGTCATGATAATCTAGGGGTCTGTGTGGGTTCTTTGTCATGATAATCTAGGGGTCTGTGTGGGTTCTTTGTCATGGTAATCTAGGGGTCTGTGTGGGTTCTTTGTCATGGTAATCTAGGGGTCTGTGTGGGTTCTTTGTCATGGTAATCTAGGGGTCTGTGTGGGTTCTTTGTCATGGTAATCTAGGGGTCTGTGTGGGTTCTTTGTCATGGTAATCTAGGGGTCTGTGTGGGTTCTTTGTCATGGTAATCTAGGGGTCTGTGTGGGTTCTTTGTCATGGTAATCTAGGGGTCTGTGTGGGTTCTTTGTCATGGTAATCTAGGGGCCAGTTTGGGTTCTTTGTCATGGTAATCTAGGGGCCAGTGTGGGTTCTTTGTCATGGTAATCTAGGGGTCTGTGTGGGTTCTTTGTCATGGTAATCTAGGGGTCTGTGTGGGTTCTTTGTCATGGTAATCTAGGGGTCTGTGTGGGTTCTTTGTCATGGTAATCTAGGGGTCTGTGTGGGTTCTTTGTCATGGTAATCTAGGGGTCTGTGTGGGTTCTTTGTCATGATAATCTAGGGGTCTGTGTGGGTTCCTTGTCAGGATAATCTTGTCATGGTAATCTAGGGGTCTGTGTGGGTTCTTTGTCATGGTAATCTAGGGGCCAGTGTGGGTTCTTTGTCATGGTAATCTAGGGGTTTGTGTGGGTTCTTAGTCATGGTAATCTAGGGGGTCTGTGTAGGTTCTTCGTCAAGGTAATCTATGGGGTCTGTGTGGGTTCCTTGTCATGATAATCTAGGGATCAGTGTGGTTCCTTGTCAGGATAATCTAGGGGTCTGTGTGGGTTCTTTGTCATGGTAATCTAGGGGTCTGTGTGGGTTCCTTGTCATGGTAATCTAGGGGTCTGTGTGGGTTCCTTGTCATGATAATCTAGGGGTCTGTGTGGGTTCCTGGTCATGATAATCTAGGGGTCTGTGTGGGTTCCTTGTCAGGATAATCTTGTCATGTTAATCTAGGGGTCTGTGTGGGTTCTTGGTCATGGTAATCTAGGGGTCTGTGTGGGTTCCTTGTCAGGATAATCTTGTCATGGTAATCTAGGGGTCTGTGTGGGTTCCTTGTCAGGATAATCTTGTCATGGTAATCTAGGGGTCTGTGTGGGTTCTTGGTCATGGTAATCTAGGGGTCTGTGTGGGTTCTTTGTCATGGTAATCTAGGGGCCAGTGTGGGTTCTTTGTCATGGTAA